TTTTGCAAGAGAAGAGATTCTTAACCATGCATGGATTAAGAATAGTGGGGGGAGTAGGGGAAGAAGACATACTTGGTATGCCTTTTATTTTGGTGGAATGTGTTTTTCTAGGGCTGCTGGAAATGTGAAAGTTTCAAGATTGTTAATGAGGGTGAGGGATAGTCTAAATTCGAGCTCTCTTGCTCCAGTGAACCTGAGGATCATTCTCAGCAGAGCCCTAAACTGCCAAATTGTAGAAGAGGAATAAAGTCACTGTGAGGCCTGCCACTCTGAGGCTGCCAGCCCAGGGCAATAAACTGGGTGTGCAACTGGTGGCTTTATCGCCAGCACAGCTGTAGCTGCCCAGGTTTGGCAAATTGAGCTCTTCTAATCCTAGAAGAGCTCCAATAACTCTAATACTTTGGCCACCTGATGCAAAGAACTGACTCCTTGGAAAAGATGCTGATGCTGGGAAAGATTGAAGACAGAAGAGAAGGGGACAACAGGATGAGATGGTTGGATGGCATCACTAACTCGATGAACCGGAGTTTGGGCAAGCTCTGGGAGTGGGTGATGGACAGGGAAGCCTGGCGTGCTGCAGTCCATGGGGTCCCAAAGAGTCAGACACGAATGAGTGACTGAACTGACCTCAGCACCTCAAGGTGAAAAGAAAGCATATAAAAGTGACTGGGGCTGGGCAGCTAAAGCCTTACATGAAACTAATTCTAGGTTATGTGAAAGCTACTGCCAAGATTTGAGAGGCTTCCTAGGGAAGTTAGACCGTTTGCCTACAGGGTAGCTTGAACAATGTTCAGGCATAGCAAAAGGGTAAGCACTTCTCTGGGTGGGACTTCTACCACTGTCATCCTGAGCAAATGGGCAGAAGTCTTACCGAATCTGAGTCTTCCTTTAATCCCAGCAAGCAAAAACCATTGTACAACTCCTAACTGCACGATTGGAACCACAGGCTGCCCTCCAGTTCCTCTTATTTGGAAAAACAAAGCCACAGACAGCAGCCTTGAGGATCTTGGGTTTAATGAGTCAGCTCTGCTTGGCTGCGAGTCTTGCCTACAGAACCACCCACACTGGTGAGGGTCCCAGGGCTCACTCGTGGGCTGATCCTTCAGTTGCTCAGTCATGTCTTACTCTTTGTGACCCCATGGACTGCAGCATGCCAGGCTTCCCTGTTCTTTACCCTCTCCTGGAGCTTGCTCAGACTGATGTCCAGAGGATAAGATGGTTGGATGGTATCACCAACTTTGATGGACATGAGTTTGAGCAAGCTCCAGGAGATGGTGATGGACAGGGAAGTCTGGCATACTGCAGTCCAAGGGTTGGCAAAGAGTCAGACATGACTGAGCTACTGACTGAACTGAACTGAGGAAATGGGATGGTCTGTGAGGTTGATTATAGGTCAGGCAGGGCCTACTTCACTACCTCCAAGGGTGTACCCAAAGTCCTCTGAAAATGCATTCAATGAATACTTACATTAGGGCATGCACATGTATGTGAAAACTAAAGATACACAATTTGGAAGCATTCAGTTCAATCATTTGTGTCCGACTCTTTGCAACCCCATGGACTGCAGCACGCCAGGCTTCCCTGTCCCATCACCCACTCCCGGAGCTTGCTCAAACTCCTGTCCATGAAGTCGGTGATGCCATCCAACCATCTCACCCTCTGTCATCCCTTTCTCCTCCTGCCTTCAATCTTTCCTAGCATCAGGGCGTTTTCCAAGGAGTCAATTGTTCACATCACGTGGCCAAAATATTGGAGCTTCAGCGTCAGTCCTTCCAGTGAATGTTCAGGACTGATTTCCTATAGGATTAACTGGTTTGATCTCCTTGCAGTCCAAGGGACTCTGAAGAGTCCTCTCCAACACCACAGTTCAAAAGCATCTTCAGTGCTCAGCTTTCTTTATAGTCCAACTCTCACATCCATACTTGACTACTGGAAAAACCATAACTTTGACTAGATGGACCTTTGTTGGCAAAGTAATTTCTCTGCTTTTTAATATGCTGCCTAGGTTGGTCACTGCTTTTCTTCCAAGGAGCACACATCTTTTAATTTCATGGCATTGACTTAGTGCTTCTGTGGTACTGGATGTAGACTGAATGACTAAATGTTACCCAAGCTTTTGCCTTTGTAGACATACCGTGCTTACTTGTTGCAGCCAGAAGGTATCACATTTTCTAAAAGCAAATCCAGCTATACCTTCTGCATAATTTTTCTCACTGTCTTAAGGACTTGACACTTTGGCCCTGAGAACAACAGCTGGTGCCTGCCCCAAACCTAAGGGTCTTCAGCTGTGAGATGGCAGTATTTCTGTTTCTCATGCCCACTGGCCACACCTTTGTTTCCTGTTGCTGCTATGAGCTCCACAGTTTTTGCTTCGGCTTAATTTGTTGCCTATGGACTACTTGAGAACCAAGCCTTTCGTTTCCTCTGAGATGGTTTCCTTGCCATTTAATATGCATTGTTTCCTATTCTTTTATTTTTTAACAAGAGTTCTGGAAAAGATACAAGTTTTGTGGCTCTGTTACGAATCCTCCTCGGGGTTTTTAAATATGTGCTTCACCCTGCTTCATCATTTGGGGGATGGCATGCAAAGAATTTGAATTGGGCTTCTGTAAGTCTGGGAACTACCATGCCCATCAACTTTTAATTTTGTAGTCCAGGAACCTTAACACTTAAAAATTAAGCATCTTATCTCTATCAGAAAGCCAGTAGGGAAGAGAGCTGGATGGGGAATCCCATACGTCCTCATCTCTAAAGGGACATCTCCCTCTGCACATTGCTGAGAGCTGAAGTCTGCCTTTATCTCTTCGTGGAATTCAAAGTTGTCTTCATGCCTTGTGTGTTTACAGCTGAGACATGCCCTTCAGGCAGATCACAAATTAATTCACATTTTGCTTTCTTGGGCTTCCCTGGTGGCTTACCTGGTAAATAATCGGCCTGCAATGTGGGAGACCTGGGTTCGTTTCCTGGGTCGGGAAGATTCCCTATAGAAGGGAAAGGGTACCCACTCCAATATTCCGGCCTGGAGAATTCCATGGACTGTATAGCCCACGAGGTCACAAAGAGTCGGACATGACTGAGCAACTTTCACTATGTATAATTTCCGGGCACTGGTCCCACAAAGATGAATCTGCCAAGTCCTTGGAAACAAGGGGCTCGCAAACCCTTTGGGATGAAGATCTTTCATGGTGACTATTTTTTAAATTTCCACAAAGCTTCACAAAGCAGGGACTTCCGTGGATGACAAAAGTAGTTGCCCAGCTTCTCTCTGTATTAAAAGCTTCTACCCCTGCTAGTCAACCACTCAGGACCCTCCATAGCTTGGGCCGCTGGTTTTTCTGCCTCCTTCCCACACATACCTGGTGGAAAGGTACAGGTGATTAAACTTTGATTGAAGGAGTTTGAAGCAACTAATACTGTTACCCAAAGTGGGGGTCCAGCTGCGCGCCACTCTGAAGCCAATAAAGAAGCAAAGTTGCCGGAAAAGAAATTTGCTTTATTTTCAGTGCCGACGACCTGAGAGGAGGGCAGACTCCTGTCCAAAGGCTGATTTCCCCCGCAAGGTAAAGGGAAGAGACTACATGCAGAAGCAGCTCTGACAGTCATTTTGAAATTGGTCATGTGGTGGTTTGATCAGTGTCATCTTGATTTAAGTATAATTAGTCTTTAGTGCCAGGGTCGGTTTATTTCTATTGCTTTAAGGCTAGCTCTCAGAATTGTAGCAGCTTAAGTCATGGCTGCATGTCTTCATGTGGTTAACTTCTTCCACCTGGTGGGGATTTTAGTCTCTATAAGATAGTTCAGAGGATATGGCTCAGAATATTATCTATAGCCCTTGAAAAGGAACTAAAAATCCTTGATTATGCTTAATGACCAAATCTTGTTTGACTGTTTTCCTTTGTTTCTGCCTCCTCTCACTTCTCTGATTAAATTTATTCTTTGGCTGAAGTTTTCTTACAGACAAAAGACTGGCTGAGGTCATAGTCCCCTAGGACCATAGGGTCCTGCTCTTTTTTGGTGTCTCCACCAGTATTTATAGTTTCAGCTTTTTTACTTCTTAATCATGGAATGAAAATGTGAAATACTTCCAACCACACATATAAAGCTGTCAGGACATCCAGAATTAAAATGTAGCTTCTGTGTGTATGTATATATATATAGTATATATATATATATACCATACAATAAGAATTGTATATAATTCTTGCAGTTTACTACAGGGAGCTACTGGGTTAAACACAAATATCTAAAGGTTAAAATTAAAAGTTGATAGGTTACGCACACTAGAACATTAAAAGTGGATAAAAGCCACAGAAAGATGTCAAAAAGGGACAAAGAAAATCTGGCTATGATACACTATACATGGAATGCTGCTGCTATTTAGTCATGAAGTCATGTTGGACTCTTGTGACCTCAAGGACAGTAGCCTGCCAGCCTCCTCTGTCCATGGGATTTCCCAGGCAAGAATGGTGATGTGGGTTCCCATTTCCTTTGCCAGGGGATATTCCTGACCCAGGAATCGAACCCCAGTCTCTTCTCCTGCATTGGCTGGCAGGTTCTTTACCACTGAGCCACCAGGGAAGCCCATACATGAAACGAGCTAACGATAAATTTTGAGTAGACTCATGCTGGAAGAAACACCATCATGTTAACAGGATTATCTCTGGGTGGTGGAGTAGGTGTGGTTTGCTTAACCGCATTTTCTTTTTTTTTTGTAATGAGCACACGTTATGCAATGACACTTTTTTTTTATGAAGTATGGAAACTATAGATTATGCAATAAGAGACTTTTGTTTTTAAGTGCTTACTATGCACAAGGAGTTGTGCCAGACTGAGCTACTTTTGCTTTATGGTATTTGATTAAAAAAAAAAAAATCAAGCCACCTTCCAGATTTCAATGAAGATGCTAGCCAAAAGGCCCAATTATTATCGTCCAACGGCAGTAACAGAACACACAGGTAAACAAAGGGCAACTGCCATGACAAATAGAAACGATGCCAAAGTCAACATTTTCGCAAGGGTCGAAGCAATAAAATCCTGCGGAGTCCAAGGCGGATGGCACAGCGCTCCCTGAAGCACCGCTCGGGGGCTGGGAGACCAGAGCAGAAGTAAGTACCTTTGTTTGTCTCCCGACCTTGGCCAACGCGTTGCTTAAAAACGCGAGGGGCGGCTGCGGGCTGGCTTTCCAGCAACGCGATGCACCGCGCTCGGGAGAGCGGCCCTAACGGGGTCGGCCGGCGCCGCGCCCCCCGCCTTCCCTCGGTACGGAACACAGGTGTCCCACGTGGCTCCCGCCCGTGCGCCCTCCCCGGGCTTAGCAGCGCCCCCTGGCCCGGGCCGGATCCCGCCGCGCGCTCCGAGCCGTGAGTCCAGCCGGCGTGGTTTCCTCGTCGCTGGAACCCCCTTCCTTCCCGGCGCTCGCACCGGAGGAGACGCCCCGCCCCCGGGCGCCCCTGCCCCGCGTGCAGAGACGGTGCGTCCCGCTTGGATGCGGCGTCGGCGCGGCGGGTTCGGTTCGTCATTGTCTGCGCTCCACCCGAGCACAGCGGCGGGGCCTGCACGCCTCTCCGGGAAGTTGGCGTCCCGGGCAGAAAGCACCTGGCGCGCCCCTCCTCGGGGCACCCCTCCTTCGGTCCCGGGGCGAGCCGGCGGGGGTCTTGGGAGCTAGCTCGCTGAGGGCCCGGCAGCAGCCCCTCCGGCGAGTCCCCCGGGAACGCCAAGCGGAGCGGCTCGGACCGCAGGTAAAGGGGACAGGCGTTCGGTGACTGAGTGGAGGAGGGAACCTCGTATTACACCTGGCCGGCCTAGCAGAGTCGTGGAACCCCTAACCTGGCTCGCCTTTTGAATAAAGGCTTTGGGGACAAGCCGATCCCTCCTTCCCCCCGCACCTCCTCCCATTTTACAGAACAGATGCAGGTGTTACAGTCACTGTTGCGTGGTTTTTCCAAGCAGCCCAGTGCCCCCAGCGAGGTCTCTGCATGCAGAGCCTGAGGGGGCCCGTGGCCCGGAGGAACTCGCCCTTGGCCTTTGTGAAGTCTAAGGGATTTATTCTCCATGGTGATTCACCTGCTTGGACACCAAGCCCCCCACCAACCTCACTCTGGCCAGCTGGTCCAGCCCGGCTTCCTGCACTTCTCCAGGTCAGACCCCAGGGTCTCAGAATTGCACCTTAAAAGCTTGCCAGGGGGCATGGATTTAAAAATTTGGTGGACACTCAGGCAGGAGAGAGGAGAGGAGGGCACCTTGCTTCCCTTCCACTGTGGAATCCGTGGCTGTCCTGCTGAGAAGGGCTTTTCCATGGGGACGCTATGAAGTGTGCTTAGTATCTTGAAATTAAATAAAACGTGTACAATTTTCAATTTAGACGGTCCTTTAAAAACAACCCCTCTAGAACCTCTTAAGTGTTTTAAAGTCTAAAAATTCAAGGTCTATTCTGCTTTCTCTGTGACATTATATTAAGAAATGTGCAGTTATTGAGAGGAGTCAGAAAAGAGAAGGAAACCGAAAATTCAGCGCTGCAGCTGGCAAAGGCCATGGGAGTTAATTTGTAAATGCTGCTGGCTTTCAGTAGCTTGTAGCCATTCTCTTCCTTAGATTGATGGGATACAAAGCTTTACTAGATTGTTCTTTGTGTGGGATACGGCCCTTACTCTTCGTTGTAGAAATCCAGCTCAGAGCCATCTCTTGATGTATTAGGAATTTCCCAGTCTGGATCCTGAAGCAAATCCCAGAGGTCCATGGGGATTCCATCCTTCCTTCATCATACCTGTCTCTTTGAAAACCATCCATGACATTTTTCTTTAAATCCGGTTTTTTGGTCCACCACCCAGAGCTTAGAGTAGCTGTTTCCCTTCCCCCTCGCTAGGCTCAGGCTCTTGAAATGAATTATAGTCAGATGCCTATGTTTTTACAGATGAGGAAACTGAGACCTAGAAAGTGTGGAAGACTGCCCGAGGGAGAACGGGAGAGCCTGCCAGGAACCCTGGCTCCTGGGTCTGTAATGAGCACAGTCACTAATTGGCAAGTGATGACACTGAGGATAAACCATTAGTGCAAATGTAAAAGCCCTTTGTTAAGAATGTGCCCACCAGGTGCGCATCTTACGGAGTTTTTTCCACCGCATCCCCAACACCTGGGAGAGTACTGGGCACAGGGCACATGCTTAAGTTAAATTTCACATCATTGTATCAGTGGAAGGGTCAACACCGTGAGTGTGTTAAAACCGTGATTCCCACACTTTGAGCAATAAGAAAAAAAAGAGAACAGTTTTAATTGAGAGGACTGTAACAGAATTGCTAATTTTTAATTTTATCCCACAAGGGTGTTTTTTAAAATGCGATAAACCCCTCACATCATCTACAAAGCTATTGGAGGCCTCTTGCGGGCCCTGCATAAGAGAGGGTGTAGGCCATGCGAGATACCCCTGCTTCAGTATCCCAAGCCATCAACCCCAAACAGCTGAACACACTCAAAGGCCCTTCTTTTAGTTCACCCTTTCATCTTCTAAACAGCTCCAGCTGCTTACTATTCCACCACAAAACCACCTGCTGGGGTTCCCTGATTGTGATCCTTCAATTCCTCACTTCCCTTCCTGATCCTGGGTCCCTTCTCTTAACTAGATTTCCTGATCTCCACTTGGGCACCTCTGCCCTTGCCCAGAGGACTTTGGCACTGTTGGCTCATGGGATCCTGGCAATAACCTTTCCAGTTAAATAGGGTGTGTAATGTAACCCCCATTTTTGAAAGAAGAAAATTGAGTGGCTAAAGTGAAAGAATGTACTTGGGAGGTTGGTGCTCAGGTCTCCTGACGTCAGATTGGTGCCCTTTGGACACCAAATGTGGGCTGCATGCTTCTTGTCACGTCTGGGCTGCCCGCATCCGAAGAACTGGGCCTGATGCCAAACTTGTGATTTACCAGCTCTTTGACCTTGGGCCCCAACTTCTCCAAGACCATTTTCACAAGTGTGAAAGTGGAATTGATCATGTCTACCCTATAGGGTATAAGAACGTAGTTATATGACGTTAATATGTGAAATGCAGTGATAATCTTTTAACACCATGTTTAAAAAGTCTTTTACCATTATGGGGGACTTTCACACTATTTCACTGGATCTTTACAACACTGTCAGTTATGAAACAGACGATTGAGGTGGGAAGTTGGTGTTTGCAGGTTTACTCACCTGGTTAGAAGCAGAGCTAGTCAGGAATTCCATCTTTGGAGTTCCAGTCCTGTGGATGCACTTTCCAGAATCCTGTGACAGTGGATTTGGTGGCTCAGATGGTAAAGAATCTGCCTGCGGTACAGGAGACCCATTCAATCCCTGAGTCAGGAAGATTCCCTGCAGAAAGGAATGGCTACCCACTCCAGTATTCTTGTCTGGAGAATTCCATGAACAGAAGAGCCTGGCGGGCTACAGTCTGTGGGGTCTCAAAGAGTTGGACACAACTGAGTGACTAATACACATACTGACAGTTTCAATAAAGGATTTTCAAATACTGTCAAAACAAGCATCAAAATCTCTTGGCAGGTACAGTGTGTGGGAAGCCTGTGGTTTATGCCCAACCTGCCTCTTCTCCCCAGCCATCCAGGGACCCAAAGGGCACAGTTTGTCCCTTGTGGCTGATTTCTGGTTGCCAGACTGTTGGGTTCTGAAAATTTGTGATTTTATTAGAGAAAGCATAGAGTGCCCAGAACAACTTGTAAAATGCTCTTCATGCCTTATCGGACTAGAAACATGTCAACCACTTCCCCTGACTGTCTGGGTCTGAGCCAAGTATTTTGCCAAGTGAACAAGGAAGATGTTTGTTACAGCAAAAGACCACAGGCTTCCTGGCTGACTTACCTCCAATTTGAAAGTCTTTCTTTTCTGGTGTGGACTGTTTTTGTAAAGGGTTCAGATTTCCATTCTGCTGATGGAGAGGAGACTGCCAAGGGCTAATCTAATATTTGAGGTTGGAATTGCATTTTGTAAGGAGGTAGAAGTGCTCTCCTTTTTCACCCTGCCCTTGTTTCACTTCGGATCTTAGAGGAGAAGGTGGGCATTGTCCTGCAAAACCGCCTTTAGCTATTGCTCGGTCTGGCCCTTCTTTTTCAAAAGTAGCCTTGTTTGGCCTTTGCTTTCTTTCTGTCTCTTGGGAAATGCAATCTCCAGGCAGCACAGAGTGTGATGTTTTGCAGTGCCTTGCAGCAAACCTCACACATCTGCTGTTCCATGTGCTGCTGTTGCTACAAGGAATCAGGATTTGAAAATAACAATCAGATAAGAAGACTAGGGAGTCAGCGAGGGATCCAGGTCCATGTGTGAGAACCCCAGAAGCCAGGAATGACGTGTGAGGTTAGCATGAGTAATGGAATAAAAGGAGCAAATGTGATGAGCCAGGTGTTTTGTAATGGAAAAGGTTTGACAAGGTGTACCTGAGAGTGGAGGTTCTGTTTCTGCCCCTGGGTTGCAGACCACTCCCGTCTGCTTAGTACAAGACTGCAGAAAGTTCTCAAAATCTACTCAAGTTATGTGCTCGGGAGTGGGAGTTGCTGGCAGCTGATGGAAGGCTGCCAACAGGTGAGATTCAGGGTGGCAGGTTTTTAATTAGGCTCTGTTCCTCTGTCCTGATCTCCCATAATCAGGAAGGTGACAGATGGAACAGCACACAGGGAGGCCAGAAGGAGTAGGATCCACTTATTAACTGTCTCACCTGGGGCAGAATACTTGGCTTCTCCCTGTCTCAGCTTTCCCATCTGTCAAATGGGGGCTTGCTGTGAGCATTAGGAGAGAGAAGATACGTAAGTATGGAGCCTGGTGTGTGTTAATCTCTGTCATGGCCAACTCGTTGTGACCTCATGGATTGTAGCCCACTAAGTTCCTCTGTCCATGGAATTCTCTAGGCAAGAATACTGGAATGGATAGCCATTCCCTTCTCCAGGGGATCTTCCCGAACCAGGGATCGAACCCAGGTCTCCTGCATTGCAGGCAGATGCTTTACCGTCTGAGTCACCAGGGGAGCCCACGGAGCCTGGTACTGGGTGCTTTAGTGAGTAAAGAATGCTCACTAGATGGGAGCAGCTGGTTTTTTTTTTTAACTGGAATTCATCCTTTCAAGTCTTAGACGTTGGGTTGTATTTAGAATGTTGAATTAGTATTGAAAAAAAGTGTTGGCTGTGTGAGGAGGGGGGGGATTGAGCTGAATATTTGAGATGATTGGGTAGGAATAGATAGAGTACTATTAATTCTGTATCATCATTGAAATAGCATTACAGTCATTTATCTTGGTATAAAAAAGGATACCGTGAGTGTGGTGAGCACGGATTCATCAGGAAGTATCCCTCTAGCCCCCCTGCCTGAAGCATTATGATGCTGATTTCCAGCAAGCACGTGTCTCACCTACTACGTGCCAGGCACATGCAGAGACTGAGACACAGTCCCTAGTCCCTGAGCCATTTGCCACTCGGCAGGCAGGTTCAGCGTGGGCTGTGTGGCCATGGGGATTGTGGTAGGGGTCGGGGCACGGGGGTCAGTGCGGGAGGTGCTGCTGAGGTCTCAGGGTCAGCACCACCTGAACCTGGCACTCACAAGGAGGCAGTTGGTTTCCTATATTGATTTCCAGATTGCCAACCAAATTTTGTTTTAATGAGCAGAACCTTGGGAGGCTCTGGAAGAACATTGGCCTGGGCAAGCAGAGGCGCGTGGTGGAGCCAGATGGATCTGCCGAGGTTTGTCCCCAGTACGGGGAGGGGCCCATGTTCACCAACACCATGCCCTGCAGCAGGAAGCTTCTGTGCTCCCTTTGGCCTTGTCCTCCGGGAGGCCGCTAGAATCCTAGTTTTGTTTAAAAAAAGAAAAATCAACAGGCCTGAGCCTCAGAGTCCTGCATGTGCCCATGGTCGGAAGCTGTGATCCCAGAAAATCTTGAGCCTCAGGACTGGATGGCACAGGCATGCCCTTTCCTCCTCCTCCGAGCTGGCCCTTGTGCCCAGGCCTCACCCCTGCCTGGCTCCCAGGCGCAGGTATGGACTTGTCCTGCGGCTGTTGTGTGTAGCAAGAGGAAAGAGAACAGGCGGCATGTCCGCGCCCCCACTGGTCAGCATCCTCTCCGGCCACCTCTCTCCCGACCATGCCTGGGAAGCTCCCGCCCTCCCCCCTCCTGTGGTACCTCATCTCCGGTTCTCACTTAGATGAGGTGAGGCTGGGAAGCCTCTCAGTTACTTGAAGCACAGAGACTCTCAGCTGGTTAGGCAATTCCATTTAGTATACTTCAGAAAAGTTTTGAAATCCAGAGAGCTGAATAAACAGTGGAGTAAGGTCTGACCGTAATAGGTCCATGGGGAGAGGAGATCAAGAGGGGATTTTCTTTCTGTTTTTTTTTTTTTAAAACCAGAAGACATCTTAGCAGCCTCTGGTCCCCCCTCCTCATTTTCAGGTGAGGAACTGTGGCCGCTTTCAGGGTCGCAGAGCATCAGATGAGACGTGGGACCTGTGGATCCAGGGTGCACACGCTCTGTCACTGGGGGAGGAGATAGCCCCTGAGTCACGGTGTACCAGCTCAGGGCGCATGGAGTTCAGGGGCGTGGCCCATGGACCTCGAGCTGACCTCGGCTCCGGGAGTAGCATGGTTAGAGGAAAGCCCGTTCGACGGGGACCTGGAGACTCGGGACTCCTCCCTTCTGAGCCTCAGGGACGCCTTCCCGTTCACTTCTGGGGCGTGTGCGCTTATTCACTGAGTCTCCTCCTCAGTTTGATACCAGAGCGCGCCCCCTGAGGGTAGGAGTGCAGGCCCCCGGGGTGTGGGAGGCGTGGTCAGCACTGTTCAAGAAAGCACCACCCTCCCCACCCCACTGCCCCACTTATTCATATTTCCTGCAGTTCCAGTGAGGTCTTCATGCACACCAGCTGGGTCGTTTTTAACTTTTCTGCAGATCACAAGAATCTGCATTTCCTGGGTGACTCCGATGTTCAAGGCAGCCCTTGCTCTCAGCCTGATTGGCAAATCCTCTGAATTCAGAATCCAGCTGTTTTGTTCTTGCGTCAGCCAGGTGTGTTTTCAGTGCCCGGACAGAGGTGGTTGGGGTGCATCAGACAAGTAACACATTCATTTCAGCGCAGATTAAGTTAGAGGCACGTGGCTGAGTCACCGAAGATGACCAGGAGACCCCTACCTGGTGTTTTGGAGAAGTGGTGTCCCTAATGGAGGTGGGGAGGGGCGGTCCCAAGGGCCAAGATCCATGAATGGAATCTTGGGCCCTCTGCCTTGCTATGCATGTGTGTGTGTGTGTGTGTGTGTGTGTGTGTGTGTGTGTGTGTATGTGTATATATATATATTTGGCTTTGATGGATCTTTGTTGCTTTATGTGGGCTTTCTCTAGTTGCAGGGAGCAGGGGCTATTCTTCACTGCTGTGGCTCCTCTTGTTTTGGAGACAGGCTCGAGGCTGCCTGGGGTTCAGTAGTTGCAGCACACGGGCTCAGTAGTTGTGGCTTAGTTACCCCGAGGCATGTGGAATCTTCATGAACCAGGGACGGAATCCTTGTCCCCTGCATTGGCAGGCGGATTCTTAACCACTGGACCACCAGGGAAGTCCCTATACATGTTCTTAGGTGCAGGAGCACGGCCCTCATTGAGGATGTCAGGTTGACTTTCGAGAGTGTCAGGTTGAAGTGAGTTTTCTCTGTCCATGGAATTCTCCTGGCAAGAATACTGGAGTGGATTGCCATTCTTTTCTCCAGGAGATCTTCCTGACCCAGGGATTGAGCCTGGGTCTCCTGCACTGCAGGCAGATTCTTTACTGACTGAGCTACCAGGGAAGGGGAAGATGTTAAGGCTGTCCTTTAAAATCAGTCATTGGAGTAAAGTCTTCCATGGCTTTTTGGGATCTGAGTGTTCTCCAAACTACTGTAGTTATCATGAGAGCAGCAGTCTCTAGGGTCGTATCTGTGACCCGGGAAAGGCTGAGTCCTTGTCATCTTATTTGGGGGTATGACTTGGGAGAGCTGACAGAACTGATTGCTGATCTTTTTTTTAAAAATTTTCCTTGTCCTGACCCTCTAGTCATATCAACATGCCCTCTTTCCTGTTGCTGGAAGCCATCTGCATTGTCCTGTTTGCTGGAGGTGAGTGTTCTCGGTGTGGGGAGAGGTGGGTGAGGTGTTGAGGGGTTTGATGCACCTCACATCTGGTGGATTTTGACTTCTAAAGGCCTCTTGAGTGCATACATGTTTCTCCACTCCTGGCCACCTGCCTAGTCTAAGCCCCATCTTCTGGTGCTTGGACCACTGCAGGAGCCTCCTGATTCATCTCCCTGGATTCACCCGGTGCCCCTCCATCCTGTTCTTCACACATTTCAAAATACAAATCTGGTCATATCTGAACCCCTCTCCATTCCCACTGCCTACCTGAAATGTTTAAGTGATATTCCATTGCTCTTAAGAGGGCCTGCCTGATCTGACCTTGTGGTGTCCCCTCTGGAGCCCCCTCCCTCCTCTTTGCTGCAGCCCACTCTCCTTCCAGGCCAGCCCAGCACCCTTGCTCCCTCCCACCCTGGGGTTCTCAGTTACGGTGGCCGGTCTGCCTGTATCACGCACTCACCCAGCACCTCTGCCCTGCTGAACTCCTGCTCATCCTCCAGCACCCAGCTCAGTTCCTCCTGGATCCCCAGGTCAGGTCAGACCCCTGTACTAAAACCCCGTGTCCCGTGCGGTCTCTCTGTTGTGTTGCATTAATACAGATATGTGTTTATTTCTGTGTGAATTTTTAAAAATGAGCGTTTGTCTTCTCCGCTGGACACAGGCTGTGTGGTCTTGGCACCTAGCATTGGCCTTGGCACATAATCTGTGCTCAAGAAGTAGATTAGTGAATGGATAATGGAGCAAGTCGGTTTTCTATTTTCTTCCCACGTTGGCCCTCCCACATTCTAGACTCTTTGAAATACGAGGCGGTAGAAAGGAATAGGTGTGTTTTGTGGGTTGGCTGATGAGTAAGAATGAGCGGGCGGGGTGGCTGGCTGCCTGAGGCTCGCCCAGGCAGTCTCAGAGGCTCTCTTGCAGCTCCTCCCTGGTCTGTTTTCTGTGAGTAGGGGTATCCTCACTGTTCATTGGCTACTGTCACCATCTGCTTGTTTTCTGGAACCTCAGGGAGATAGAGGCTGGAAGAAGGGCATGGTTGTCCAGTTCGCCCATCCCCTCCCTTGAAGCCATGCGTGTGATCAGTGTCACACAGTAGCTTCATGGCCAAGGGACTGGGATGAAATGAGACGTGTTTGGTGACATGCGGTCCCTGGGGGCCCAGGCACAGTAAAGCTTCTATTTTAACTCACTTCGGAAGCTCACCCTCTGTAGCCTGTCCAGTTTACAGAGCACTGGATCTGACACCCCTCGGTTGTACTGAAGAGACAGGGAAGGCTCAGAGAGGCTAAGTGATTTGCCTGAGGCTGCACAGCTTTCAGGAGCAGGACTGGGATGAAAACCCAAACCTGAGTCTCCGCACCCTGTCCAGGAAGGCGGTCCTCAGAGGTGAAGGCTGTCTTGGTTGGGAGAGGAAGCCGTAGTCACATGTTCACTGACTCTCTGTTCCAGGGGGGACGTCTGCAGAGTACTGAGGTAGCTTCACGGGGCACCATGGGATGCCACTGGGTACCTGCTCCCTGGAAGGAGGTCTCACCTGAAGCCTGGCACCTGCCAGGACTGCTGAGCACATGATACGGCTATGTAAGCTGAGTCACATCCGTAGTGAGTGGTCCCTGGTCACGGAGCTCCTCCTCCCATCTCCCATCCAGGGGTGGTGACTGGTCAGTCTCCAGCTGGAGAATGTGCCAGTAAAACATTTAAAAAGAACTTAGGGATTCCTCAGGGACCTCCGTGGTGGCCCAGACAGTAAAGAATCTGCCTGCAACGCGGGAGACCCTGGTTCAATCCCTGGGTTGGGAAGATCCCCTGGAGAAGACAATGGCAACTCAGTCCAGTATTCTTGCCTGGAGAATTCCATGGACAGAGGAGCCTGGTTGGCTACAGTCCGTGGGGTCATAAAGAGTCGGACATGACTGAGCTACTGACACTTTCACTTTAAGGATTCCTCAACTCCTGGACCTTTTGTCAGTGATTCATGGGCTCATTCAGGAGAGCTTGGTGCTTTCCTGCTTTGACTTCAGGGTCAAAGGAGGTGAGTGTTTTTAATCCATTTGGCCAAACTGTGTGCAGAAGGCTGGGCTGGCTCTGTGGAGATAGGTGAAGGTGTTTCTGCCCCCGGGGAACTTCGGGGGGCACAGGGCTCATGGGAGCAGCACCTCCGTGTAGGGTGGGCTGTAGCAGGGTCCCCCAAGTTGGCAAGATCTTGAGGATGTCTGAACACAGTGATGTAGAAAGCCTCTGTTTTCTGGGAGACCAGTCTGCTGAATTACTGAGTGATTTTGAGTTCTTTTATTTTGGGATTTTAGGGGGAAGTAGCGCCTCTGTCCCAACATCTGCCAAGTTTTAGGGAAGTGGAGGATTTTTCTCTTTAACTCAGTCTACTGTCTGTGTTGTAGTTTATGTCTTGTTTCTGCCTCTGGGAAAATGGCAGTGGTGGGCTCTCTTAGATCTCATGACAGACATGTATTTGTCTGACAGCTTTTGACTATGGAGCTAATGCTGGTTCAGCATCTTGCCCTAGAACCGTCTCCTCTAGTAGAGATTGAGGGGAGGGCATATAAGGTGAGCAGAAACTCAAAAGATAGGGTTGGGGTGGAAGTAGACACTGGTTCAGCCTGTTATTTGGGGACCAGTGAGTAGAGAGGAGCCACAGAAGGTGGAACTGGGACCAGCCATGGGGGTGGTTGACTAATGAACTCCAGTGGAGTACCACCAACTAGAGGTACCCCTCCCCCCCAGAACCTGACCTCATCTTTTGGTGTCCTCTTCCTCGTCACCGTCCTGGCAGTGGCAAATCCCCCTGAGCCCAACTTCCCTGTGTTATGTGATTCCTACCACACCCCTACCTCCTTCCCAGCCTGATTCCATCTCCTTTACCTCTTTCCCCAGCAGCCTCCCCTACCACCTCATATTCCTTCATCTGCCCCTGGCCTGGCCTGCTCCTAGGTTCTGCACACCCTCACTTTGTGCCTTATGTGCTTATCTACAGGACGTGGACATATATAAGCATCTGCATGTCTGCTTTGTCTGACAGTGGGCGTGCATGTTTAGCTTTTCAAATAACCCCTCCAAGTGGCAGCTCATTGTCTTCAGGACTTTCATTGTGGTTGGCTTGCTGTTCAGCACCTGGCATGTTACCTGCCCTCAGAGTTTATTTTGTAAATTATTATTGACTGCTCACATGCCACTACTACGATTTTACTGGGTATCACATAGAAGAAAAAGGTGTATCCACAAGCTTCCTACCCAAAACTTTTTAGCCTTTGTTCATGTTAATTGCATTGAATGATTGTATCAGTGTTACTCTGAGTCCTATCTTTATGGGTATTTGTCATCACCTTCATTCCTCTGAAACAAATAACATTGAAGGAGATGTCTTGGTGGCACATTTTCGCTTCCCTAAAATTGTTTTTCCTTTGGATCAATTCCCAGGTTGATGCTATGTAGCCTAACCCCTTTTATGACTCCTAATTCATTTGGCTAAATTGTTTTACAAAAAGGTTGTGCCAATTTACTGTGCCACTATTGGAACAGGTTGTCCTGATTTAATCTTTCCAGTTACATTTAAATTTAAACCTTGATCATCTAAATTTCACATTTAAAAGGGTACCCCATGGTTTGAGTTACAGCATTTTGTCAACTATTTGAAAATTTTCCCTGTGCTTTTCTAGGAATTCCCTTCTTTCTGTGAATTGTCTGTTCATGTTCAAGGTTAATTTTTATTTCAAGATGCTGCACCCTAGAGGGGCACCCGGTTCTTATGCCTAACCAGGGGCAAAACTCATCAGAATCAAGGCTCTCTATATCCCCTGGGTAGATATTTTTAATTTTTCTCTTCAAAATACCCAAATTTAAATGCAAAGGTGCCTGATAAAGTTGGAGTAATTGGAGAGGGCATTATTTGTGTTATCCACCTGGTAATTTTTAAGATACAATATCATTAAACTCTTCCACGTTCCTGTTTTCTCTGTTGTTACCTGTTCATTCTGGTCACATAACGTGGAGATGAAGACCCTCCTCTTTCTGCCTTGTAATGTGTGCTTATGTTTTCTCTCCCAGTGCCCCCATCCCTCCTTCTTCAGGAAGTCCATGTGAGCAAGGAGACTATTGGGAAGATTTCAGTCGCCAGCAAAAGTAAGCCCATGTTTTTCTCAACCCTCCAAACCCTCCCACTCCGGCCTCTATGTAACGGACCCAAGGGAAATCTTTTGGCTTCCAACATTTTCTTTCCCAGCCCTGTCTTCTTTCACACTGTGGCCAGAGTGATTTCCCCCAAACAGAGGCCTGACCAAGTTCCTCTCCTGGGTGAAAAACCTAGGAAGATCCCTATTGCTGAATTTCTTGGCCCTTGCTTCAAGGTTCTTCTGTTGTATGACCACTGTCTACCCAACCAGCCTCATCGGCTGCTATATTTCTTCCTCTTTCTCTCTGCTTGGCATTCCCTCCACGTGCTCAAGCCTGCCCTCCTGCTTGCAGGGACTCTCCGGTCACCTTCCCTCCCTCTCTGGTGAAATCCCCCTAGCTTGTTGCTACTGGGTGGCACCTTCTCACTGGTGCTTCTCTGACTCCCACTCTCTCATCTCCATGGTGAGGTGACAGGGCGTAGACTCTGACACCCTGGGTTGGACTCCTGGCTACACCACTTCCTGGTACTTTGACCTCAGGAAAGTTCCCTGAATTGCCCTGTACCCTGCTTTCTTTATCTTGCCAATGGGAATACAAATTGTAAATCTATTTAGGGATGGGAGTGGGGGGGCTAGGAAGCTGCTAGCTAAAGGGTACAGAGTTTCCTTTTGAGGAGATGAAAGATGTTCTAAGATTGACTGTGATAGTAGAATATCTCTTTGAATATACCAAAAGCCATTGATGAGATTGTTGGATGGCATCATTGACTCAGTGGACTTGAGTTTGAGCAAACTCTGGGAGATAGTGAAGGACAGGGAAGCCTGGCGTGCTGCAATCCATGGGGTCACAAAGAGTCAGACACAATTGAGCAACTGGGCAACAACAAAAAAAAGCCACTGAAGTGTATACTTCAAATGTTGGCTTGTATGTGAGTGACATCTCAAGATAACTGTGAAAAAATAAAAAAAATTATAATCTATCTCAAGGTGGTTATGAGAATTAAATAAATTAGTGCATTTAAAGCATTTAAAGCAGAGTACCCAGCCTGTAGAAAAGATGTGGTCAGTGCTTGTGATTACTTGGGCTCTTGGGTAATACATCCTTATGTCCCAGGGTGCCTGACTGTGTCCCAGGCTAGGTTGTGAACCCCGAGGGCAGGATCCAAGGCTCTTGGGTATCCCTCCATGGCTCCAGCGGCCCCTCCTCTCAGATGGCTTAGTTAGTGTTGTTGAATTAGCCTCTTGCATTATCACACAGACTTTCATCAGTGTTGTGCCCATGGTAGGCCCATGCTCCCCACTGCACGGGAGCATTGCCTGTGGCCCAGAATCGTCTCCTGTGTTATCTCCCCCACTGTACTAAGAGGAGCTTGACCCACTGCAAGATTGTTTCCACCTCCACTCTGCTCTGGGAGGAAGATCTTCTCAGGACCAGACCACAGGGAAGCTGGCTGTCACTCATGTTGCCCCACTCTCCCCTAGTGATGTGGTGCTCGGCTGCAGTGGACGTCCTGTTTCTGATGGATGGCTCTCACAGTGTCGGGAAAGGGAGCTTTGAGAGGTCCAAGCACTTTGCCATCACGGTCTGTGATGCTCTGGACATCAACCCCAGGAAGGTGAGTGCAAGTCTCATTGTCTTTGTGTTAAGGTGTCTGGCTGCAAGAGACAGAAAGCCCGTTTTAAGTGGAAGAGTGCATTTCCTGGCTTGTAGAACCAGGAAGACCAAGGGGATGAATCCTGGTTGCAGGCACAATGGAATCCCAGGCCTCAATCGCTCTTTTTGTCCTCCTCTCCATTTTGCTTTCCTCATTTGGCTTCCTCCCCAGGCAGGTTCTCCTTACTCAGCAGAGTTGCCCTACACAGTCCTTGGTGCTAGTCATCCCCAGAAAAAGGACGCGGACTTCTTTCCCGGTGGAGCTGGCGGAAGTCCTCAGGCGGGCTCTGATTGGGCAGATGTAGGTCACATGACAATTCCTTTGCCAATCACGGGAGTCAGAGGGAAGAGCTTGTCTGGCCATTGCCGAGTCACATGCTTATCCTCCTCCTTGGGGTGGGGATGAACACTTGGACTTCCTGCTAGAAAGAGAGGTTGTGCATGCAGAACTGCGTGAAAAGGAAAGCATGCTGCAGATAAAACTACAACTATTTCTGAAGACTAAGGTCTTAATACAAATCAGCTCCTACCCTTTGTGTTTGCTTGAAGGGAGCAGCTCCTGCCTGGTGAATCCAGCCAGTATCTTCATTTCTTGTTCTTCCTGGTTCCAGATAGCAAGTCTTAAATGTCAGCAGACTGTGCTAGCTGTGGCTTTTGTTGCTAAAAACTGTCATTTGGGAACAACTCAACAGAAAAATAGACAATAAACACAGGCAGTTCCCAGAAAATGAATCACAGATGGCCCTTCTGACATAGGAAAAGATGCCCAACCTCATTCAATGAAATAGCAAATCTCTGACTGATACACTATTTTCTATTTAACTGGATTACCAAAATCTAAAGTTTGGTCCCATGCTTCATTGGCAAGCCTGTAGGAAACTGGTGTTCCTACAGGTGTTCCAACTGGTGTTCTCATGCACTCATGCTGGTGGGAATGTACAGCCTCATTATGGAAGAATTTAACAGGGTCCATCCAAATGACAAAGGCTGGGACCCTTTGACTTAGTAATTTATCCTATAGATACTCCCACAGGTACAAAATAACACACACTCAAGGTTATTCATTGCAGTATTGTTTGTAATTGTAAAAGGTTTCAGGCAATCCAAAGGCCCGCTCACACAGGTAAATCCTTTATGGTGTCTTCATAAATGAAACACAGGGCTGCTGTCAAAAGTGAATGAGAAAAAATCTTTGATGTGGAAAAACACCAACACAAATGGAGTATAAAAGTAAGGTGCAGATGGTATGTATGATATGTTACTCTTTATGAAAAATGGAGATGAAAAGAGCCTGTATTTATATTTGTTTATATGTGCATGAAGAAACTGGGGGTGTTTGTAAGAGGCAAAGAGCTGTGGTTTCCCATTGAGGGAGGGAGTGGGAACTGAGCAGATGGGGCACAGTCCAGGGGGAGACCCATTGGTATAAATGCTTTTATACTTTTGAATCATGTGAACTGACTCAAAAATCAAGTAAAAATTTAAGAAGGGCATTTTGGTTTGGAAAGCTGTAATTACATGAATGAGAGACTAGTCACATACAGGTAGAGGAAGGAAGTGGTTTTCCAAGATGACATTCCTGGATTAATCCTAGAAAAACCTCCAGGATTTAGGAGCAAAAGGGGCTTTTAATGAGAGCCAGATTTCTTCCAGAAATGACATGTCATTTGTGAGGAGTGAGCGCCTTACCCTGGACTTCCGGCTGTCTTGCATGGTTGTAGCTGACATCATTCTGTCTAGATACTGACAGTTGGAAGTTCTAAGTGTAAGGTCAACCCATCGTGGACTCTCAGAGGGTCAAGGCCAGAGGCTGCTGAGTCTCTGCCCTCCTCCTCAAGGGGCCCTGCTTTTTAAAGGAAGTGATTCTTTGGGGTGGAGGTGGGGGGTTGCTAGTTTTTTCATGGAGGCAGAGCCATAAAAATCAAACACTGTTGACCTTGAAATGGATGCAGTATGTCCTGAAATGGGTGGTCTGGAGATCCCAGTAGATGACAAGTTGGAAGAAAAGAACTTCACGGATTATTAGAGAATGTTTTATAGATGAAGATACAGACTCAGAGAGGCTAAGTGACTGCCTAGGGTCACACAGCAATCTTGGAAGAGAGCTCTCAGCATGGAAGAACTGGGGGCTCTTGAGCCTCAGCCCAGGACTTCACATTCTGGTCTCACAGTCACAGAGGCCATGGACAGCTGGTGACATGGTGGGGTGTGTGTGTGTCTGTACATAGAAGTGGTGGGTGCTGATGGAATTCAGCATCCTCAAAGAGAGCATAAGAAAACTGTGACCAAAAAAAACAGTATGGGTGGTACTTCTGGGAGCAACTCTCCCAACCCACAGGTGCCCAGAATTCAGGGAATTTAATGTTGCCAAGCCACATCTAGAATATGGCATTTTTAAGGTGGTAATGAAGTCGCTAAGTAGCATCTCTCTTTGCAAACCCATTTATTGTAGCCTGCCAGGCTCCTCTGTCCATGAGATTTCCCAGGCAAGAATACTGGAGTGGGTTGCCGTTCCCTTCTCCAGGGGATCTTCCTGACCCAGGGATCAAACCCACATTTCCTGCACTGCAGGCAGATTTTTTACCACTGAGCCACCAGGGAAGACCTAATTTTTTTAAGGTTAGATATTGGCGAACTAGACAGTACCCACAACAAGGAGACAGGATAGTGAGAGGCCTGGACATTTTCGTATGAGGGAACCTGACTGTCACTTTCATTGGAAGGAGGGTGACTAGTGGCTCTGTTTTATTAACAGGACAAAGTCTGGGTGTTGAGGGAGCTGTATTTGGGTTTGACATGAGAAAACTTTCTCATAGCAAGACTTGTTGAGCTAAGGAGTTGGTGTATTTTTCGCAAGCAAATGAGCGCCTCTACCTCCAAGCTGCTCAGTGGAATTGCTAGTTGAAGAAAGATTTTTGCATTAGGGTGATTTCAGATGCTTCAGTCTGACCTGTGGCTTCAGGTTTGTTGTGTTTGCAGCTGCATTTGAGATGTCATCGTCTTGTTATTGGGCTTCCCATGTGGCATTAGTGGTTAGGAACCTGCCTGTCAATGCAGGAGACTGGAGAGAGGCAGGTTTGATCCTGGGGTCAGGAAGATCCCCTTGAGGAGAGCATGGCAGCCCACTCCAGTATTCTTGCTTGGAGAATCCCATGGACAGAGGAACCTGGTGGGCTACAGTCCATGGGGCCACATAGAATCGGATACAACTGAAGCAACTTAGCACAGCATGGCATGTCTTGTTATCTCCGTGTATTGAATGCAAGGAATTTGACTTGCACTTTATTTTACTTTCTGGAAAGAAATTTTCAAGTAGTTATCAATTAAAGCTTTTTATGGAGGCCCTGTATTGAGTTGGATTTAAGGTGTTTGAAGTCCTCCTCTCAACACTTGAGCTGAGAAGTTCACTTCCTGACTCTAATATAATGACTATAGCAGTAATTACAGTGTGGTGAGAAATCAGGGCGGGCTTGCTTCTGAGCATACAGTAAACTGAAGATAAAAGGTAGCTATTTTGCTCCCAAACTGCCAATTAAATTAAATGCCTTGACTACTGACTCAAGCTGTTTCTATCTTGTTTTGAAGTTGGTTCCTTCCTGTTTAAGTAAATACATTCAGCTGTTGGTCTCAAGGGAGTCTTTTTTTTTTTAACCAATTCATTCACATGGTTCAAAACAAAGACATTCAATGGAAAGCATCCCTCCCAGTCACATATTTTCTATTTGCCCTGTCCTCCTTACCCCCACCCCTGCTGTCTTGAGCATCCTTACAAAATTGCTTCATGCAGATAGAAGCACTATGAATATATATTCTAATTTTTGCCATTTTTACACAAAGGGTAGCGTGCTATACAGTTTTATCTCTCACCTCTTTCTCCTCACATTATCTTGAAAGTCTTTCCTATCTAGGTAGATAGATAATATAGGTATTAATATAGGCATATATCATTTTTATGTGTTTCCCAGGTGGCTCAGTGGTAAAGAATCTGCCTGCTGATGCAGGAGATGTGGGTTTGATCCCTGGGTAGGAAAGATCCCCTGGAGGAGGAAATAGCAACCCACTCCAGTATTCTTGCCTGGGAAATCCCATGGACAGAGGAGCCTGGTGGGCTACAGTCCATAAGAGTTGTAAAGAGTCAGACACAACTGAGTAAGCGTGCACGAGCATGTGTTTTTACAGCTGATTAATGTTCCACCATGAGAGTTTACCAAGGTTCAGTTAACCAGTGTGTGTATGTGAGTTGCTCAGTTGTGTCTGTATTTCCTCTTCTGTGATTTCTGTTCATATTCTTGGCCTATTTTTCTGTCAGATTGTTGATCTTTCACATATCAGCTCCTAGATACTCTCTATGTATTGGTGAAAGTAACTTTTCATCTCTGACATGAGTAGCAAATAACTTTTCATTTGTCTTTATTTTTTGGTTGCATTATGACACTTTTTGCCCTGTAGATGTTGTCTTCATAGAGTCAGATTTATCATTTTTTTTCCTTTACAACTTATGGACTACAAGTCATAGTGATGTCTTTGTTACTTTGCAATCACAGAGGAATTCTCCCAAGCTTTCTTCTAGAACTTTTATGGTTGCACTTTTCACACATCACTGGTGAATCCATTTGCAAGCTTTGCTCTGTTCTTTGCAGATGGCTGTCCTGTTGTCCCAATGTATCTTACTGATGGCACCATCTTTGCCCAATGGTTTGAGATGCCCTAATGCTTTATCACATGCTAAATTCGAGAGAAAAAGGGTCACTTCTCAGAAACTCCTTCCTGAGGTTCTCTACTACTCTGCTTTCCCATGTGCATCCTACATGCCCACCCGAGACTTGTCTAACCCTAACCCAAGACTTCCTGCTTAAGATGCCCGGCAACTCCTCCTCAGAACTTCCGGTGGGAGGAAAGTTGATGGGCTGTGCTCCCTGCAAGCAGATGCAGCAGGCCAAGTGCTTTGATCCGCTCCCAAGCACCAGGCCTGCTAAGGGATCAGCAGTGAAGGAATTCACATAGCAAGAAAAAGTCAGCATCGTTGTTTAAATATGAATCACTTGGCCCATCTGTTATCTTGGCCAGAATTCATTGTGAGATGAGTAACTGAGAATGTAATTTCTCCAGGACTTGAGAGAGCCAGTGACTAGGTGCAGGGGTTAGGCTCTCAAGAGGAAACTTAAATGTTTAAACCCTTCTCTAATCTTGACACGCTAATCTTAAGAGTTCAGAGAATGACTTTACTCACAGTTTCCGTCCTCCTGTTTTGCAAGGCGTTGGATTTTTCTCCCATGGCCTTCTGAATGAGGATGCAGAATCAGGAATCACTGGTGGCTCTCGCTTCCTCTGCTACAGAGGAACTTCAGCTCCAGTGGTGATTGTCTCACATTAGGGAGAGTTGCTTGGCCCCCAGTCTTACTCTGGCTTGGAGATCTGGCCTTCCCCTAGTTTAGCAGGAGGAGGCCTGGAAGGGTGCCCCCTCCTCAACCAAGGATGGGTGTGTGGTGGCTGTGGTTAGTGATGGGCCACCAGTTGACGGTGGCTGTGATTAACTTCTGGTTGGGCGTTTTGCTGGAAGCCTGTGCTGGCTGCCGAGGAGACAGTCGCTATAACAGGCTTAGTGAAGGTCACAGGCCCCAAGTCCAATGGCCGTGTTCCTTTCTTTCTGGCCCTGGGGTAGATCTGTATCCTCTCTCTTAGTTTCTCCAGCAGTAATTATGGGTATGAATAGGGCCTCTGTGGATTAAATGAAATGTATTGAGAAGGCTTAAAAGAGTGCCTACACCTGGACTTAGTGTGAGCAGAGACCTGAAGTGCTCACAACTCCACCCAGAGAGCTGTCGAAATGAGGGTCGAATTGGTGGTGGTCAGTGCAGAGCACAGGCACGTTTGAGCATCTCCTTCCAAGTTCTCCTCCCCGACTTTGGAACTTTCTTCCAGGGAGATCACAGAAATACCAGCACTGGTATTTGCAAGTGGGCAGGAGGCAGAGTTGTTAGCCTTTCTCGTCCCTTCTCCCAGGGATGTTTGTGACCTGACCCCGCGCTCAGCCCCTGGGCCCTCTGTCTCCCACTGCAGGTCAGGGTGGGAGCCATCCAGTTCAGTTCGGCCCCTCGTCTGGAATTCCCCTTGGATGCGTTTTCAACCCAACAGGAAGTGAAGGCAGAAATCAAGAGGATGGTTTTCAAGTAAGTACAATCAGATACTGCTGCAATTAGAGCAATGCTAACTGCTCTCAGAATTGCCCTTGAAGGGTTGCACCTGCTCTTGACCCCACAGAGAGAGAGAGAGGGCTGTGGCCCGGCTTCTAGAAGCCCAGGGGTGCACAGCGGGTAATAAGAATTCCCTGCCCAAAGCTGCCCCTTATTATATAATGTCCAAGGTGGGAACTTAAATGCAAGTTAAAAAAAAAAAAAGAGAAGTTTTGCTTCTGTTGTGTGTGGTTGTCAGCTGGGGGAAAGGTCCAGTGAGGGTGGAGACAGATTAAGAGCATGAGGTGGTGGGAAGAATCCTGGGTCCTTCTCCCGGTTCTCTCCCTGGTGACCATTCAACCAGGATGACTCACCATGCTTCTTGGAGCCTCATTTTTGTGACCTAAAAAGAGCTCTCCTCTGTTACTGCAAGCACTGTAAGAATGATGACCTGCTCTTCATGTGCTCATACGCATTCTATAAATATATATATGTAGTGGGTCATGGGCTTCCCAGGTGGTGCCAGTGGTAAAGAACCCGCCTATCAATGCAGGAGACATAAGAGACGCAGGTTCGATCCCTGGGTTGGGAAGATCCCCTGGAGGAAAGCATGGAAACCCACTCCAGTGTTCTTGCCTGGAGAATGCCCTGAACAGAGGAGACTGGTTGGCTGCAGTCCATAGGGTTGCAGAGTCGGACACGGCTGAAGTGACTTAGCACGCACACACATGAGGTAGGTCATGATTTTAGTCACATTACAAGTCAGCTGATGTGTGTATGTGTACACATATATATGTATATATTTTATGTATACATGTATACATTTATGTATACATATATGTATATATTTTATGTATACATAAAATATGTGTATTTTATGTATGTGTATTATACATATATGGCTATATGGATATAAACGTGTGTTATACACACACACATGTATATGCATACATATATTCAATGTTTTTCATAAGCCCTCACAGAAGAATGCCTTTATTGGCCACTTGCTACTTTGATCTCTGAATCTTCTTTGGTCTCTGCTGTCCTTGCCCTCGTGTCTACTGAAATCTTGTTCAAGTCCATAGTCCCAGCCAGGTACACCTGTCACCTCCACTTGCAAAGGCCCTGAGCTCTGAGGTCTGTTCATCAGCCTCAGGCCTGTAAGTCCCCAGTGCTCTCAATAAGCCAGAATCCACACACTGGGAATAGACCTCCAGGAAGCCTACAGGTCCCGGAGACCTCCAGTGACTCTTATTTTAAAATTTATTTTATATTGGACTATAGTTGATTTGCAGTGTCATGTTAGTTTCAGGTATACAACAAATTGATTCAGTTATACATACATCTATTCTTTTTCAGATTCTGTTCTCATTTAGGTTAGTATCGCATATTGAGCAGAGTTTCCTGTGCTATACAGTAGGTCTTTGTTGATTATATATTTTAAACACTTTGTTATTTTATATTTTAAATTTCTTCAGAGAAATGTCCCTAAGGTCTTCTGCCCATTTTTATATTGGATTGTTTGTTTTTTTACTTTGAGCTGCATGAGCTTTTTAAAATTTTGGCAATTAATGCCTTGTTTGTTGCATTGTTTGCAAATATTTGCTCCCATTCTATGAGTTATCTTTTCATTTTCTTTATGGTTTCCTTTGCTATGGAAAAGCTTTTGAGTTTAATTAGGTCCCATTTGTTTATATTTGTTTTATGTGGGTCAAAAAAGATATGGCTGAGATTTATACCAAAGAGTGTTCTGTGTTTTCCTCTAAGAGTTTTATAGTATTCAGTGTTACATTTCGGTCTTTCATCCATTTTGAGTTTATTTTTGTGTGCAGTGTTAGAGAATGTTCTAATTCCATGTAGCTTTCATGAAATTAGAAAGCTTTCATGAAATTTTCATGTAGCTTCATGTCCATGTAATTTCTTTTGCATGGAGCTGTCCAGTTTTCTCAGCACCATTTATTGAAAAGACTGTCTCATCTCCATTGTATAGTCTTGCCTACTTTGACATAGATAAATTGACCATAGATTTATTTCTGGGCTTTCTATTCTGTTCCATTGATCTATATGTCTGTTTTTGTGCCAGTACCATACTCTTTTGATTACTGTAGCTTTGTAGTATAGTCTGAAGTCAGGGAGCCTGACTCCTCTAGTTTCATTTTTCTTTCTCAAGATTGTTTTGGCTATTTGGGGTCTTTTGTGTCTCCAAACATATTTTTTTTTGTTCTGTGAAAAATGCCATCAGTAATTTGAATTCAATTGAATTTGAATTGCATTGAATATGTAGATTGCCTTGGGTAATATAGTCATTTTGATTACATTGGTCCTTGATTAATATTGATCCTATTGATTCTTCCAATCCAAGGACATGTTATATCTTTCCATCTATTTGTGTCAATTTTTTTTCTTTCATCAGTGTCTTATAGTTTAGAGTCCAAGTCTTTTGCCTCCTTAGGTAGGTTTGTCCCTAAGTATTTTATTAATTTTGATGTGATGATAAATGGGATTGTTTCTTTAATTTCTGTTTCCTCATCTGTCATTGTTAGTGTATAGAAATGCAACAGGTTTCTGTGTATTAATTCTGCAACTTTGCACATTCATTGATGAGTTCTAGTAGTTTTCTGGTAGCATCTTTAGAATTTTCTATGTATAGTATCATATCATCTGCAAACAGTGACAGTTTTCTTCTTTTCCAATTTGGATTCCTTTTATTTCTTCTTCTTCTCTGATTGCCATGGCTAGAACTTCCAAAACTATGTTGAATAAAAGTGGTGAAAGTGGACATCTTGTCTTGTCCCTGACCTTAGAGGAAATGCTTTCAGTTTTTTACCATTGAATAAGATGTTGACTGTAAGTTTGTCATATACAGCCTTTATTATATTGAAGTAAGTCTCCTCTGTGCCCACTTTCTGGAGAGTTTTCATCATAAATGGGTGTTAAATTTTGTCAAAAACTTTTTCTACATCTATTGAGATAATATGGTTTTTATTTTTCAATTTGTTAATGTGGTGCATCACACTGATTGACTTGAGAATATTGAAAATCCTTACATCCCTGCAATAAATCCCACTCGATCATGGTATATGATCCTTTTAATGTATCGCTGGATTCAGTTTGCTGGTATCTTGTGGAGGATTTTGGTGCCTATGTTCATCAGTGATATTGGCCTATAATTTTCTTTTTTTGTGGTATCTTTGCTTGGTTTTGGTATCAGCAAGATAGTGGCCTCATAGAATGAGTTTGGGAGTGTTTCCTCCTCTGAAATTTTTTTTGGCTGAGTTTCAGAAAGATAGGTGTTAACGCTTCTCTAAATGTTTGATAGAATTCACCTGTGAAGTCGTCTGGTCCTGGACTTTTGTTTGTTGGGAGTTTTTAAACCATGGTTTCAATTTCATTACTTGTTATTTGTCTGCTCATATTTTCTGTTTCTTTATGACTCGGTCTTGGGAGATTGATCTTTCTAAGAATGTGTCCATTTCTTCTAAACTGTCCATTTTATTGGCATGTAGCTGCTTGTATATGTCTCTTACAAGCTTTTGTGTTCTGTGGCATCAGTTGTAACTTCTCCCTTTTTCATTTCTAATTTTATCAATTTGAGCCCACTCCTTTTTTTTTTTTTTTTTCCCTGATGAGTCTGGCTAAATGTTTATCAGTTTTCTTTTCAAAGAAACAACTTTTAGTTTCTTGGTCTTTTCTATTGGTTTCTTTTTCTCAATTTCATTTATTTCTGCTCTGATCTTTATGATTTCTTTCCCTCTACTAACTTTGGGTTTTGTTAGTTCTTTTCTCTCTAGTTGCTTTAGGTGTAAGGCTAGGTTGTTTATTTGGGATTTTTCTTGTTTCCTGAGGTAAGATTATATTGCTATAAACTCCTTTCTCAGAACTGCTTTTGCTGTGTCCCATAGGTTTCCTTTGTCTCTGGGTATTTTTTGATTTCCTCTTTTATTTCTTTAAGGATCCATTTTTTGTTTGATAGCATATTGTTTAGCCTCCATGTGTTTATGTTTTTTTTTTACAGTTTTTGTTTTCCTTGTAGTTGATTTCTAATCCCATAGCATTGTGGATGGAAAAAATGCTTGATATGATTTAAGAAAATTTACCAAGGCTTACTTTGTGGCCCAGCATGTGATCAATCCTGGAGAATATTCCATATGCAGTTGAAAATAATGTGTATTCTGCTGCTTTTGGATGTAATGCTCTATAAGTATCAGTTAAGTCCATTTGGCCTAATGTGTCATTTAAGGCCTGTGTTTCCTTATTGATTTTCTGTCTGGATGATGTGGTGTCCATTGATGAAAATGGGGTATTAAAATCCCCCATTATTTTTGTCACTGTCAATTTCTCCTTTTATGGGTGTTAGTATTATATATTGAGGTGTTCCTATGTTGGGTACATATATATTTACAATTCTTGTATCTTCTTCTTGGGTCGATCCCTTGATTATTATGTAGTGTCCTTCTATGTCTCTTACAGTGGTCTTTATTTTAAAGTCCATTTTGTCTGATATGAGTATTGCTACTGTAGCTTTCTTTTGATTACCATTTGCATGAAATACTTTTTTCCATCCCCGAGTTTCAGTCTGTATGTATCCCTAGATCTGAAGTGGGTCTCTTGTAGACAGCATACATATAGGCCTTGGTTTTGATCCCTTCAGCCTGTTTGTGTCTAATGTTTGGAGCATTTAATCTATTTTATATTTAAAGTAATTACCCCCGCCTCTGCTGGAAACCCTCCAATACCATCAGGTAGGTCTGGCCCAGGCTCTTAGGAGGTCACAGATTTTGTCCCTGGGATCTGGTATGAAACCTTGTGTGCACCCTCCAAGAGTGGAGTTTCTGTTTCCCCAGTTCTATGGCAGTCTGCTATTAAATGCTGCTGGCCTTCAAAGCCAGATACTCTTGAGTCTCCTCCTCCTGATGCCAAACCTGCAGGCTGGGGAGTCTGACATGCAGCTCAGAACTTTCATTCCAGTGGGAGAGCCTCTATAGTATAATTATTTTTCAGTTTGTGGGTCACTCACCCAGTGGGTATGGGATTTGATTTTATCATGATTGCACTTTTCCTACCATCTTGCTGTGGCTTCTTCTTTGTCTTTGGATGTAGAATATCTTTTTTAGTAGGTTTCAGAGTTTTTTTTTGTTGTTGTTGATGGACTTGGACTCAAATGACTCAGCCCTGCTCTCATGTGAAAAGTTATGCCAGTTGCAGTGACTGGTACCAAAAGGCACTTTATAGAGTTCACTCTGTACCTCTCCCAGCCCCTTATTTTATGGAGGAGGATACTGAGGTTGAGAAGGAGCAGACGACTTGGCCAGGACCACAGGATTACACTGCCCATCCCATAGGCCCCATGGAACTGTCCTTTCTCACCTTGGCCTGCCCTCTCCTCAGCCTCTGCCTCCTAACACTTAGTTGAGCCTCTTGTTAACTGTGTTCATACCTAAGGGCTGTCATTCATGACCCATGACATGCAGAGACACATTGAGAATGTGCCAGATGAAGACACTGGCGTGGAGAAAGATGCCTTATCACATGTCTGAACAAGGTCAGCTCTTTGGGGATGTGCACAGTTAGCACTTGTGTATCCCAGGACAACTGTAAGACAACAGCCAGGACCAGAGGCAGTAACTGGGTTTTTGGCAAAGGTTGCAGGGTCACTGAGGACATTGAATGTTGAGACACTCTTATTAATCAGAACAGAGGAATGTTGGCTGACCGGGAGTGATGACCTCCCCAGGGCACTTTACCCTTTTTCTTCAGTGGAGTTTGAAATTCTGGACTGATGAACACAGCTCTGTCCCAAACCCAGAATACTTGCCTTTCCAGACCAAGGCAATCCCCTAAAAGTGTGTCTTGAAATGGCTAAGAAACCACTGTGACAATCACCTTATTGCTATTTTGTGATAACTTTGGGAAATATTACAAGCAAACCTTCCAACGTACCTCGTGATAACCTAAAATCAGAAAAAACACAGCCAGAAATTGGCCCCTGAATGCTTAGAACTCTGGCCAGGGGGACTGTGCAAGTCTGTTCCATCATCTGATTAATTTCATAATTACACAACTCTGAGTTTTCTGTGATTGAATTTTTTTTTACCCCGTCTGTAGCTTTATTAGCATTGTAGTATGTTTAAATAGCTTTACAGAAATAACACTCACATTACTTTCGCACGAAGCCTTTTATAGCAGCTGTGGCTTATTTCAAGCTACATTAACATTTAAACATAGGTTTTAAAATAGTTAAAATTATAAAACTTTTTTTTTTTTACTTAATATTTTTGGTGTGTATTTTTTCATAAAATTGCATTACTTCCCATGTTGAGCCCTTTTAATGGTTATATAATAAACCAGTGAATTTGGCTATTATAATGTAGTAAATCAGTCGCTAAAACAGGGCTACCCAACCCCTGGGCCATGAACGATTACTGGTCCATAGCCTGTTAGGAGCTGGACCACACAGCAGGAGGTGAGCGACAGTCACGCTTCATCTGTAGTAACAGCCACTCCCCATCACTCACATTACCACCTCAGCTCCACCTCCTGTCAGATCAGCAGCGGCATGAGATTCTCACAGGAGAGTGAGCCAGCCCTACTGTGAACTGCGCATGTGAGGCATCTAGGTTGCATTCTCCTTATGAGAATCATCGCAGAACTATCCCCCCATGAGCGTCAGTTCATGGAAAAATTGTCTTCCACAAAACGGGTCCCTGGTGCCAAAAAGGTTGGGAACCAGTGCCCTAAAAGAACACATTTGGCTTGATTCCAGGATTTTTATCCACTGCTGAAACCAACAACAACAAAAACTCCTATGATCAACATCCCTGTGCCTACAGTGAGTGTTCTTATGAATTATTTTTCAAAGTCTGTTCCACGCACTACCTGCATCAGAATCACAACAGGTCGGGGAAGGCAGGCAGGTTTAAAATACAGGTTCTCAGGCCTGGTTGCACATCCACCAGTTTGAACTCTGGGAGGATGGAATCTGAGAATCCACATTATTAAGTTGCCTGAGGGACTTTCATGCTCACTAGAATTTGGGATGAACTCAAAAGATAAACTTCTTGGAATAGACTGCTGGGTGGTCATTATAATGACCATTGGTGGAGTGCTTACTAGGTACAGGAGGCACTGGAAACAGCATTTAACCCTCAAATAGTACTGTTACTTTCCCTGTGTTAGCAAGTTTAACAGGAATCTCAGGCTAAGTAACTTTGCTGAGTTTAGCTGGTCAGTATACCACAGGACTTCGTATCTGTGTCCCTGTTCTTGTTCAGCCTGTGGGTTGCTGTCATAAATAGCAGTCTATCTGTGAACCTTCACTTTCTACCTAGTTTCGTCCCATTGGAGAGAAATTAGAGAAACGTTAGATTCTGGACTCAGACCTCTAGTTCTGGAGCCAGATGCTGAGCTGAGAACAGACTCGGTGAGGAACGCTACAAGAAATAAGGAAAGTGGAGACAGCAGGGTTTCTTCTCTCTTTCTGGGCGTCAGAAGCCATTAGGAATCTCACCTGAGCTTGGTCGGCTGGAGTCAGCAGGTCAGGTGCAGAGGTGGAGAGGGTGGTTGGCACAGGCATTTGTGTGCTGAGCGATGCGGAGGGTGGACACCCCAGAGGCCAGCGGAGTAGTGACCCGGGCCCTCCTGTCCTAGAAATTTAATTTCTCTCTGGCCACAGGCTGGTGACTCTGAAGAGGGGGCCCAGACCCACTCTGAAAATCTGGTTAAAAGGAAAGACAAAGTGTGACACTGGGGGTGCTGAAGGCAGGCCTGTATGAGAAATGAGAATGGATTTCTGGAGAACGAGTGCTTTTTTCCTGATCCCAAAGCGTTGAACCCATAGGAAAAGAAGTGATGATCGGAGGGGTGACAGAGGAAGGGCATATTTTCAGGAGAGAAAGCTGAGGCTGGCTGAGAAAGTAAGGCTGCAGGGTCACAGCCAGAGGCTCGTGGGAATCACCGCCAGGGGAAGCCACAGGGAGCTCGACTTTCAGTGACGAGTGTTTTGTGACCATTTGGACAGTAGTACAGAGCCAGGGTCAGCAAACCTTTTCATCAGAGACCATACAGTAAATATTTTAATGCTGTGCTGGCCACGTGGTCTATGTAGATAGTACATAAATGAATGGGCACCCGTTTTCTGTGCCCATTTGCCCCGAGGCTTTAAATTGCCGACTCCCTCAAAGGAATGACCATTGGCTTTGGAATCAGCCTGACTGTGTTTAAACTGCAGTTCTGACCTCCACTAGCTGGGTCGAGGCAGGTTGTATAACGCGATGGTAAGAACTTGGACTCTGGAAGTTCTGGGTTCAAGTCCTGCCTCCACCACCCATGAACTGTGTCACTTTAGCTAAGGCCCTTCTCAGAACTCTCCTGTCTCAGAGCTATGGTGAGAATTAACATGAGCCAAGCACCTTTATACACATGTTTAGTGGTGCTTGGCACATGGTAGGTGGACAGTAAATATTAGCAGTTAGTATTACTGGTCTCTGAGCAGGGGATTCCTCATCTACTACTATCCACTGAAAGGCTTTGCCCAAAATCTATTGTAGTAAGTCATTATTTTCTGCTTAGGTGACACCCAGAGCTGGCAGTCCACTCTCTGCAGATGTAGGCCTGAGTCTCCTATGGTGAGATTTAGTAGGGATTCTGTGCTGGGATTCCAAGCTCAGCCAACCGTCTCCATAACTGCACTGTGAGGAATGCAGAATCTTAGCCTCCTGATGAGATGGGATATATCACCTGCCCTGCTCTGAAAGTAGTCAAATGGTTCAGCCTTCCAACGCCCAACCCTGAAGCTGGAAGTGAGAGACAGGCTTGATCTTGAAAATGATCCTTGCATCAAAGCTCAGAAATCCTTACCGAGCTCAGTTACCTGCTTTCCCAAGGACTTGTTGAGCTGTAACAAGAAGGGAAGGGTTCAGGGATGAGGAGATAGGAGGTGGGTGTTAGAGAAATGATGAGAATCGCGCCCTGGAGCCACCATGGAGAAAGAACGCAAATGAATACATGAATAACATTATTATATAATACAACACATGTGCAGGCTGAGTGCTAAGTCCAGGGGAAAAATTCATTGTTCTTCATCACTGTGGTTTACATCTTTCTCTCTCTGCTTTTTCTCCTAATATATGCATTTAACACTGTGTATGTGCTCAGTGGTGTCTGACTCTTTGCGACCCCATGGACTGTAGCCCACCAGGCTCCTCTGTCTGTGGAATTCTCCAGGCAAGAATATTGGAGGGGGTTGCCATCTCCTTCTCCAGGGGGATCTTCCCAACCCACGGATCAAACCCGCATCTCTTGCATCTCCTGCATTGGCAGGAGGATTCTTTACCACTGACGCCACCTGAGAAGCTCCATCACTGTGGTTTAGATGGTGAGAGAGTAAAGATCATGTGGGAATTGTCCCTTTGAGCCTCTGCTGGGAGAAGGTGGCTGTTGTCTCAGGTTCTCATTCCAGCTTCACCCCTGGATCGCTGACTCTTTCTCCTTTTTTATTTTTTCCTTCTGGGTGAGCTCAGAGGAGGGCGCACAGAGACAAGCCTTGCTCTGAAATACCTTCTGCGCAGAGGATTCCCGGGGGGCAGAAATGCCTCTGTGCCCCAGGTCCTCATCATCGTCACCGACGGGAGGTCCCAAGGGCATGTGGCCCTGCCCGCCAAGCAGCTCAAACAGAGGGGCGTCACTGTGTTCACCGTGGGCATCCGCTTCCCGAGGTAAGAGGTTTTCGTTGTGCTGGCTCAGCACAACTGGGAGCTGGTGAAACCATCCTGGATCTTTGGGAACCCGTCTTTTCCTCACTTTGCTGCATTGTTGCTGGCACACAGGGAAATCCAACTCTTTGGAAGTCTGAGAGTTTGCGTTGTCCTTAGTCTGAATACTTGGTTTCAAGTGTCAGAAACTTGACTCCAACGTATCTGGGCAGAAATGGAAATTCAGGGACTCATATAATTGCATTAGTGGGTCAGGGGTCTCTCGGGGTCAGCAGGAGCTAAGGATTTCGCTGCCTTTTAGAGTCTGTCTGTCCGCCATCCAATTGTCTCTGCTATTCTCTCAGCCTGGCTTTCTCAGGAAGCTGGGACTGTGGGTGCAGGCAGCGCCCCAGGTCCTATCTTCCCAGCTCCATCCTAGAGACAAAAGACTCATTTCTCCAGTTTCAAGTTGAATAATCCAAGCAAGTGTTCTGATGAGTCTGAGGCTGGTCTGTGTCTGGCTCCCCTCTTCTCCAACCATGTTTTTCCAGGTGCTGAAATCTGCCTTCCTGGTGGGAGGAGGGGGGTACGTTCTCAGCCCTAAAAATGGAGGTGACCTCTATGAACGTCTAGTTGTTGTGGGTATCAAGTGAAATGACTCTGGTCCTGGCACTGTGCCTGTACACAGACATCTCTGTTAATTTTAGTACTGTCATTCCAGAACCAACTTCCTACCCCCAGGACACCACAGTCCATGGATGTTCACGTCCTTTATTTAGCCCTCCCATATCCGTAGATCACAAACATAGGACAGGAGCCACAGTTAGTTGAATTTTTAAATGTGGAACCTAGGGATCTGGAAGGCCCACTGTACTTTTCTATTCTCTCAATAAATATAAATTTTCTTCCTCGTGCCAGACACTATTCTAGGTTCTCAGGATACAGAGACAATAGTATTATACAAAGTCCTTGCCTTCATGGAACTTCATTCTAGGAAAGGAACTAGATAACAAGTAAGTGAATAAATAAGTAACAATTTCAGGTGGAAATAAAATGCAGAGAAGAAAAATAAAGTAGGTAAGAGGTTACAGAATGATGGGAGTAGGGAAGATAGCTATTTTTTTGGCAGAGAGAGCACGCCATGCAGCTATTGGGGTTTTAGTTTCCCAACCAGGGATTGAACCGGCAGTGAGAGTGCTGAGACCTAACCATTGGACTGTCAGGGAATTCCCAAGATGGTAGAGCTATTTTCTATAGGAGGAGTCTGGCAAGGCTCCCTCAAGGAGCTGATTTTTGAGCAGAAACTTAAGTGAGGAACAAGCCTTCCAAGTAACAATAAAGAGCAAGTGAGGCAGGCAGATGGCAAGTGCAAAGGCCCTGAGGCAGCAGCTAGCTGAGTGTCTTTTAGAAACAGCAAGACAGCCAGAGAGCAGCTGGAGATCAACCAGCAAGGGGTGAACTACAAGAAATAAGGTAGAAGAGGTGGGCAGGAGTCGGGGTTACAGACTTTGTGGGTTATTGTAGAGACTGAAGTTTGTAATGAGTAGTGTGGGAAGTCCGTGGAGGGTTTTGAGCAGGAGAATTAACATGAACTGGCTTACATTTTTAGATCACACTGACTGCCAGGAAGATAATAGACTGACGAACCAAGGGAGAGGCAATGATGGGGCAGTGGGGAATCTAGGAGCCGGTGGAGCAGCTTACATGCAGTTTAATGGTGGTTTGTCATGGGGAAGCAGCTGTGATCCCCAGAGGAATGACTGGATCTAGGATGTGTTTGGAAGGCAGAGCACGGGAGTGACTGGTGTGTTGGGTGTGGGTGTATGAGAGAAGAATAGAAGGTTTTGGCTTGAGCCCCACCGTGAATGGTGATGCTACTTCCTGACATGAGAAAGACTGGGAAAGGAAATTGAATTCTGTTTCAGACAGGGCAGGTCTGAGATTCATATTGGCCATCTCGGTAGAGAGGCTGAGTGGAGAGTTGGATGGAAGAGTCTGGCACATAGGAGAAAGGACAGGCATTGAGATGGAGACTGAAGATAGTGTTTAAAGCCTAAATAAGATCGCCGGGAGCTGAGTGTCGAGTGAGAGGACCTCCTAGGACCAGCGGGTGCAGGTCAGAAAGAGGAAGATAGGAGACTGAGGCTGCAGGTACCGTGGGGCTATCCTGATTGGGCTGTGTCCTGGTGCCGTGATGACAGCCACCACCACCACCACTGTTGTTGTCATTGTAACTTGGTAGTAGACACAGGCTGTCTTATGGCTGGCTCTTTTTGTGTTCTCAGATATAAGGAACATAAACCCCTTGAGAGAGGAGAAGGGGTGTTACTTTATGGCTCCCTGCCCACCCTCCTGCCGAGTAGAGTGTCTTACACATAATAGTTGCCCAAGATCCGTCACTGAGGATGGAACTCCCCACAAGGTGGAAATACTGGCCCATTCTGGGGCTTTCTTCTCCAGCTGCTAGCCGAAGGAGTGCTTCTCAAACTATATGTGGTGAAGGTCCAGTTTTGTTTTGTTTTTTTTCCTAATTGATCATGCCATGATGCTTAAAAAAAAAATTACAATAAAAATGAATTACCAGAAAAATGAAATAAAAACAAAGATAAAATAGAAGCTCAAATTCTTATTAATTGACCCAACAGACTAAAAATGGCTCTTTCAAGTTGCGATATGATTAGCTTATAAATGCCTGGTATCTATGCTTATGAGATTCTGAATCAGGGTGAGAAGTTTGGGGACCTGCGCTGGCCCATAGACCATACTTTGAGCATGCCTGGTGTAGAGAAATTAAGAAGCCAGTTGCTTAGGAGAGGGGCTATCACTCAGGTTTGAAAGCCCGAGTTTTGCAGACACAGGCAGCCTCTGAGGAAGCCTGCTGGGCTCCCAGGCCCACTTAACCTCTTCCCCCACTCCTAGTAGAAGGCTGGTGCACTGTTGACCGGGGGTTCTCGAGGTGTGTTCCTTGGATCAGCAGCATCTAGAGCTTGTTAGAAACCCACGCACTCGGGTCACACCTCATGAATCCAAAATTCTGGGGCGAGGAGCCTCGGTCTCTGCTTTTTCTGGTCCTCGGTGATTCTGATACCACCAAAGTCTGAAAACCTCTGTAGAGAGATTAAAGACTGATGTTGCTCAAACTCTTCCATCCCCACCCACCTTTAGTGTATTTAAAACCCATTCTCTGAGGATTCTCAACTCTGGCTGGGTATCTGGATTACCCAGGGAGCTTTTAGGAAGGTCTCTTTGGGGGCTGGGAGAGCTAAGGGTGGGGCCTGGCAGAACTGCCCACTCAAAGCTACTGTGAGTCTAGAACTAAGAAGCCCCTCCTTTGTGCCAGGCGCTGTCTTAGGTACTGGATGAAACGGCTGTTTTCCGTGCCTTCAGAGGAGAATCAGAGTTTTACATGAGGCGATTTAGAGATCCATGAAGGTTTTGCAGTATTGCCAAGCCTTGGTCTATTTTGATGAATTTTTTTGATGGGCAAGATTCTAAATGTGTTACTGACTGCCTTGTCTTCTTAAAAATAGGTTTTTTCCCAACATCCTTTAACCCTTCTTCATGCACTAAGGTCATCATCCCACCCATCATTTCTGTTCCGGGCACTAACAGTGCCCTCTGGTTGTTGAACTATGCCAGTTCCCACCTCTACATGGCCTCACATTGCTGGCCTCTGAGTTCTTATCGCCATGGTTTATAATCATCAGGATTTTTTTTTTTCTATTACTAGTTGTTCCTGTGTGTGCTTCTCTTGGCATCACCTAGAACCATGAACCACTTTCCTTCATTTCCTTTCTGGTTAAATTTTTCTCATCAGCTATAAGTTATAAAACCAGATGACTAGATCTGTTAGGACCGAGTCTCAAACAAGAGCTGACAGTTCGAGTGGGAAGCTCTCCTCTGAGGAAGTTGGTGGGTTGCCGGAGCATGCACACATTACTACCCACAGCTCAGCATCCTCAGTCTTTCTGTGGTTCACATCTAGACCTTCCCTGCATCCTAGATGGATGAGGTTGCAGCTAGGTGGCTCTTGCCTCGGTGGGTGGTGGTGCTGTCCATACAGAGCCCAGGGTCTAGGAGATGGGTGGGCAGGAGGTGGGTGAGCGCGGGGCGATAAGCCATTGTGACTTCTCTGCTGGGGCCGGGACTCAGGTGGGAGGAGCTGCACTCGCTGGCCAGCGAGCCAAGGGAGCGACACGTGCTGATGGCCGAGCAGGTGGAGGACGCCGCCAACGGCCTCTTCAGCACCCTCAGCGGCTCCGCCATCTGCACCACCACCTCTCCAGGTGAGTAAGGGCCTCCCAGCCTGGAAGGAGTGGCCTTGCCCATATGGAAGTGGGATGCCAGGGTGGGGAGGGTTCCCCAAGGCCAGAGATCAGGACACAGGAGGCTCCCCAGGGAAACGGCAGAAGAGGGACAGGACCTAGCAGCTTTGGCCCTGGGACACTCGGCTTTGTTCAGCCTCCCTGTGTCAGGCCCTGTGGGGGTTTTGACTGGGAATCCTGAGACTGTCTTTGAGGGATTGAGAGGCTCGGGGCATGGGACCCAGATGTGGGGGGGTCCCCTGTGCCTGTCCACTGCTTGGGAGGAGGAAGGAGCCAGCTCCCCATGCTGTCAGCACAGGGAGGCTTCATCTGGGGATGAGATCCCTGAATGCATAGTCAGCTTTGTCAGCCTCCATCCGGGAGCTGGAGTGACGTACGTAGAATGAAAGGTACACGTGTGCACAGGATGGAAGAGCTGCGAGGGGCGGGGCCTGTGCAGAAGAGATGCTCGGAGACTGGCTGGCCCTCTGCTGCTTGCTCTGTGAGGGCAGGGGTGGGTGGGACCGCAGGGAATGAGGCTTAACTCTGTCTTCCCTGTCTTGGGCATGCATGGTGGACACAGACTGCAAGGTCCAGCCTCACCCCTGTGAGCGCAAGACGCTGGAGACGGTCAGGGAGCTTGCTGGCCTCGCCCCGTGCTGGAGAGGATCTCGGAGCACTGACGCTGTGCTGGGTGCCCTCTGTCCCTTCTCCAGGTTTGTCCTCACGGTCTGGAGTCCAAGCCCAAGGGCTCGGCCTGGGCAGGGTTGGCCAGGGCCTCACGGGCTGCGGGGAGAATGGCTTTCTGAGGCCTTGGCCGTGGAGCCTGTGATGGGGATCAGAGGAGACCAGGGAGGGAGCCAAGGACAGAGTTTCAGGGACACAGGCAGGGGCGCACGTACTCAGCGTCAGCGTCTTGTAGACCCACCAGCCAGGCACCCAGGGTGAGTGAGCGGGCCATTCTGGAAGGCTGGCGGGTCAGCCGAAAACTGGTTGGATAGGGCAGTGGTTTGGACTTGGGTTAGTGGTCTGGTAACTTGGTTCCTCTGAGCACCAGTTTCCACCTTTATGGGGGCTGAGCAAACCAAGAGGCTTAAATAAGATCCTAGCATGAACTCCAGTTGTAGATGCCATGGTGGAGGCCGGATTCTTCAGCACAGGAGCTCAGGTATTCGAGCACCCGCTGCCCAGCTGTCAGCTGCTGCCCTGCAGACTCCCGAGACCGTCCCTCGGCACTTTATCTGGATCACCTCCAGTGTGGCCCCTGGTTAGCAATTCATGATCCGGCCCACCCCTCCTTTCTAAAGAGCCAGGGTAGCATTCGAACCAGCTGCATCTTGCCCCTTGGCCTGGCCTCTGTGATGAGATCAGAGCATGTACACAGCAATGAGATGGAACAGCCGAGAAGCTGCAAGGGCCATGCTGGGCCGATGCCGAGTCCAAACGCCACCCCAGCAGGGAAGAGCCGTTCCCCCGACATGGATCAGAGGAAGTGAGGCCTGGGGCCCTGTCATAGGCCATTAGAGGCTCTCTTCTGAACCTGAGCTTTCAAGTGAATGGAGGTAGTTCTTTGTTCTCTGGTGAACATGTTTAAGTGCCCCTCTGAGCCGGATGGTGTGTGACAAGGAGGCGGACACAGTCACTGCCCCCAGTGCTCTTGGTCCAGAGAGAGCCTCCCAAGTGCTGGAATGGGGCTTGATTCCTTCTTGCGCATCATGGAGAAGGGGCCGCTTGAATAGTCTTTATATATGTATATACACATATGTATAAAATTATAAAGTCTTTATATATATATAGTTTTATTTATTTATGGCTGCACTGGGTCTTTGTTGCTGTGTGGGAGCTTTCTCTCAGAGGATTTGTCTGGAGCATGCAGGAGTTAATACATCACGGCTTCTAGAATAATGCATATAGTAGGTTGTTCATCAATCCCTTCATTCAAGAAATCTTCACGGAGGCTCTCCTGAGCTCTCAGCCCTGCCCCAGGTCCTGGGGAATCTGCATGAGCAGCTGAGAAACAAATCAGCCCCCATGAGCAAGAGGCAGCGGTGAACAAAGTGAATAGCTAGAAGAACTCTTAGGTGATGCCAAGTGCCTACTGGGGAAAGAATGCGGGGTGGGGGAGACAGAGTGGGGTAACTAGGTGGTTGGGGTAGGGTAGCGCTTTTAATTACAGTAGGCAGGGAAGGCAGAGAATGTGGCATCTGAGTCCAGAGCGGAGGGAGGTGGCAGGTGGTGGGGTGGGGCGGCAGGCTGGGTACAGGTCCAGGCAAAGGCCTGTAGACAGTGTCTGCCCAGTAGCACGGGCTCCCAGTGCTGTGCTGGGTAGGGAAGGCAGGGCCCGTGAAACTTTCTGGGCTTGGATGTGTGGTTTTATGAGGTTGTCACTGGGAGTAGACACAGAAGGGAAGAAGAGTTCTCTTTAATGAGCTGGTGGCTTGGCAGAGTTTTGACTTCAGCAACCCCTTGAGTTCAGAATTGACTTGGCTTTTATCCCAAGTGAATGTTTTGCCTCGGGTAAGCTCCTGCCCTAGCGGTGAGCCCTATTAGCCGCCCCTCAGCTGGGCAACACTGGGGTGGGATTTTACTGGGAGAAGCCTTCTTGGGAAAGTTTTAGAGAACTTTATTGCCAAGGCCCTGAGAGAATCTCCTGAGATGAGGCCACTGTGGAGCTGCTGCCAGGCTAGGGGAGGGCTTCCTACCCGAGGGACAAGGACCCCCTCTTGCCTTGGCTGGCATGTGACCCCGCAGACTCAGGACAGCTGGGGCGGGGGAGGCCCAGAGGGCAACATGCATGGGCTTTGGAGCCCAAGACGGAGTTCAGATCCCAGCTCTGCTGTGTTTTGATAACCGTGTGACTTTGGGCCCCTTATTTCAGCCCTCTGAGCCCTCTTCTCCATCTGAAAGAGGTTACTGTCTCTTCAAGCAGCCGAGGACTTGATGTAACGATGGGGACGGATGGAGCATGGAAGCCAGTGCAGGAATGGTGCCCTTGTGTTGTCTGAAGGTTGGCAACCAAACAGGCCTGAGGGGCCATTGAGACCAGCCAGTGGTTTGCACATCCTCCTGAACTACAATAGAGGCTTGTATGGACACTTGTCCTGCAGACCAGAAAAAGCACATTTGGGTTGGGGGCAGGGCTGTGGCACTGGGAGAGCTGTGAACAGCCCCGTTCCCTCTCCACTGAGGCTCCAAGGAACACAGCTGAAAACTACCCAATAGATTACTACACAGAAGCGGGGACTGAGGACCAGGGAAGGAAAGAAACTTGCCTGGGGTCACACAGCCAGAATCCAGTTGCCTAATCCCAGTATTTCCTGCCCCCCAACTCACTATTCTGGCCCCAGAAAGTAATTTATAATAGCTGTTCACATAGCTCAGAGTATTGAACACAGACATCTCTAACTTCTGACAGGATAGCCAGCTTACATTATCTTCTTTTTTTTTTTTTAATTGTCTTTGATTAGTTTAAAACATTTCCTACTCCATGTGCAGACAAAAGTTGGGGTGGAATCAGGGGAAAAAAAGAGGTTTCTTGAGTCACTTCTGCATTGGCATCTTATGTCAGCTCTTTAGTATTTTAAATAACCTTTCCTGTTAAACCTCTGATCTGTACCGTTTGATGTCTTGCATCGTAGCTGGAAGAGAGTGTTCTTCACCCACCCCACCACCTGCTACAGGACCAGCTGCCCAGGTACAGTCTGCCTCTTTGATTCTCCTGTTCTTTCTGGCCCCGGGACGAGGCTGGCTCCCCGAAGGGCATTTGTACTCCTGGGGCACTGAGCAGGATTGGACCCAGCTCCAGGGCAGAGACACGGGCATTTCAGAGGCAGAGCAACATGCTCGTGTGATGCTCAAGGCTTCCCTTATTCAGTGGTATCTTCACTGAGAATGGAGTGACGCTTTGGAATTACTTCCTTAACCCGGACTCTGCACTGACAAGAGGCAGAGTGGGGCATGCACTGACCCCTAGCTTTGCAAACAGAAAACCTCATATCTAGCACCAAACCCAGAGCAAGATACCTGAGCCTTACTTTCTTCTCTAAAATGAGGGCAATGTTTGCCGCATGTCTGGACTCCCCATCTCCCTGCTCTGGGTGGCAGAGGGTACCATACATGGACTCCTAGGGAAAATTCAGTAGATGATGTCCACCCAGGTGCTTCATCAGCTACAAAGTCCCCAGCAAACAGGAGGACTTATCAACTCCATTAAGATCATTTGGCCTGGCTCCCCAGTGGGCCCTCCCTACTCATCACTCTGGGGTCTAGAGCATCTCACGGATGCAGGAGCATGGCAGTTGGTTGTCTTGGCTTCGGTGCTTGTGTGGATTTGCTGCTTCTAATAAGGTCAGGTGCCTGGCCCCTGAAGAGCCAGAGGCTTGTGTGCAGGCAGGAGGGTACTTCTTACCTGGGGTTAGGTGACCCGCTGAGCATCTTGTTTTAAAGTTTCAAGGTGGCTGGCCTCTGACAGCTGGCAGGAACTGAAAGTCTGGTTGTTTCCACTCAGAAATAAAAGGTCAGGGACTTATGGTTTTGAAACCAGAATAACTTGAGTCCCAGCTCTGCCACTTTCCAAGTAGCTAACCTTCAGTGTGTGACTTCTGTTTGTTGAGTTTCAGCTTCCTGTCTGTGACATGGGGGTTCACAGTACTTGCTTTATTTGGTTGTATCAGTGAAATGAGATCATGCATGTGTAACCTTCAGCTCAGTTCAGTTCAGTCACTCAGTCGTGTCCGACTCTTTGCGACCCTATGGACTGCAGCATGCCAGGTTTCCCTGTCCTTCACCAACTCCCGGGGCCTACTCAAACTCATGTCCATTGCGTCGGTGATGGCATCCAACATCTCATCCTCTGTTGTCCCCTTCTCCTTCCACCTTTAATCTTTCCCAGCATCAGGGTCTTTTCTAAGGAGTCAGTTCTTCGCATTAGGTGGCCAAAGTATTGGAGTTTCAGCTTTAGCATCAGTCCTTCTAATGAATATTCAGGGTTGACTTCCTTTAGGATGGACTGGTTGGATCTCCCTGCAGTCCAAGGGACTCTCAAGAGTCTTCTCCAACACCACAGTTCAAAAGCATCAATTCTTTGGCACTCAGCTTTCTTTATAGTCCAACTCTCACATCCTTACATGACTACTAGAAAAATCATAGCTTTGACTAGATGGATCTTTGTTAGTACTGTCTCTGCTTTTTAATATGCTGTCTAGGTTGGTCATAACTTTTCTTCCAAGGAGCAAGCGTCTTTTAATTTCACAGTACGTGACCCCGTAAGAGCTGCTCATTTAAAGGCCACTGTTGGCACTGTTAATGAACCCCCAGTCATTTCCATGAAACTCCTGCTGATAGAACCACAGGCCTGGGTGCCCAAAGTTACTCTCAATTCCTACCTTTCAAAAGTATACACTTTAATTACAATCATGTGACCACTAAATAATATATTAACATTTTTAAGGTATTGGGGGTTTGGACTCCTACATATGAATATTCACTGGAAGGACTGAATGAATAAATCTTCATAGTTTTAAAGTTTTAAAACTTCATAGTTTTAAAAATTCTTCAACTTCACCATCCTTCACCATCTTCAGCTGGAACTGAAGCTCCAATACTTTGGCCATGTGATGCTAAGAGCAAACTCATTGGAAAAGGCCCTGATGCTGGAAAAGATTGCAGGAAGGAGGAGGAGGAGGCGACAGAGGATGAGATAGATGGATGGCATCATTGACTCAACAGACATGAGTTTGAGCAAACTCTGGGAGATAGTGAAGGACAGGGAAGCCTGGTGTGCTGCAGTTCATGGGGTTGCAAGAGTCAGGCATGACTTAGTGCCTGAATGACAGCATATGAATGGGGAGAGGGGATGTAATTCAGTCTGTAACATGTGCTCCCAGCATCAGAGCCAGATCCCATTGGCAGACCCATGGTGAGCCTGTACTTCACACAGAGCCTTAACTGAGCCCACCACTGAGTATCTGTTATTTCCCACACCTTAAGCCCTCATTTGCTGTTCTTTTTGGTCTTTGCTACAGGTGTTGAGACCAATTTCCTAGTGCATCCCGGGAAAGGAAGGGGCCGGGCCCTGGTGGGGCAGGGTGGCCAAAGCCCTTCCATCTCTGGGCAGACGTGCCAGGCTGTTAACAGGCATCTCTCTGGTAGGCCCCTGTGACTCACAGCCTTGCCGGAATGGAGGCACGTGTGTTCCAGAAGGACCAGACAGGTACCGCTGCCTCTGCCCACCGGCTTTTGGAGGGGAAGCCAACTGCGGTACGTGTGCCCAGGATGTCCCAGACTCCAGTTTTTGGGGAACAGTGGAGTCCAGGCTCCTGCTCTTCATCTGCTATCTCGTTAGCCACTAGGTAGGAACTTGCCTAGGAGTTAATGCCACCGGCATTTCAGGTACATCACTGAGCTGATGTCTCAGGTGATACCTTGAGGGCTCCAGGGTATAACTCGGGTGGTGGAGGTCTGGGTAGGACACAGCCCCTAGCTTCTTAGCTTTCGAATGGCCACTGCTTGATCTGTGGGCATCAGGGAGTCCAGCTGTAGGCTGGAGCCAGCCCATCAGGTTCATGGTTCTGGGCAGTATCCTTTCACCCCTCTTCCAGAAGAGGAATGAGAAGCCTCAACCCCTCTTGATTTTAAAACTGTGAAGATTATAATTGACTTTTACTGCCCTGTGGTTATCAGAATTTGTGTGTGATTCTGTGATACAGAAATAAGATTCTGTATGTGAAGTGCTCAGCACAATGCTTGACACAGAGGATGGGACTTGTTAAATAATAACTTTTTAAAAACTGTCTTGCTAGGTCAATTGGAGACTTATCTGGGAAAAAGTATATCTTGATTCCCCCACCTCACAAAGTTATACAAAAATCAATTCCAGATGGATCGTTGAGAGAAAAGTTGTGAAGCTTCTGGAAGAAAAACCTAGGAGCCTATTGTCATGATTTAGGGGTAGACAAAGATTTCTCCAACAGGACCCAGGAAACACTAACCATAGTGGGGGAAGAGTATAGATTCTATTTTTCTTTTGAAAAAGAGGTGAGGGAGCGAGACCCTGGGTGGGAGGCGGGGAGCCCTGTCTAACTCGGTGATGGGCTCTGGTCACTAGCCTTTGGAGCCTCAGTGTCATGGCCCCATCCCTCTCCTAGGAGGGCGCCCCACGTGGGGTTGGGCATCCCAGGTGGGACGGTGGTCTGCGTGCTCCCTAGGGTGATGGTGGCTGTGTCCCGGCAGCTCTGAATCTGAGCCTGAAGTGCAGAGTGGATGTCCTGTTCCTGCTGGCCAGCTCAGCGGACGCCACCCCGGAGGGCTTCCAGCGGGCCAAGGCCTTCGTCAAGCAGTTTGTGCGGGCGGCGCTGACCGGAGACTCCCGGGCGCGCGTGGGTGTGGCCCGCTACGGCGCGGAGCTGACCGTGGCCGTGCCCGTGGGCGAGTACCAGGACGTGCCGGACCTGGTCCGGAGCCTCGACAGCCTGCCCTTCGATGGCGGCGCCACCCTGACAGGCCGGGCCCTGCGGCAGGCGGCGGAGCGCGGCTTCGGGAGTGCCCCCGGGACAGGCCTGGACCGGCCTCGGCGGGCGGTGGTCCTGATGACCGAGGCGCGCTCCCAGGACGAAGTGGCCGGCCCGGCGGGCTTCGCGAGGGCCCGGGAGCTGCTCCTGCTGGGCATGGGCAGCGAGGACGTGCGGGCGGAACTGGAGGTGATCACTGGCGGCCCGGAGCGCGTGCTGACCTACACCGGCCCGCAGGACCTATTCGACCAGATCCCAAAGCTGCAGGGCAAGCTGTGCAGCAGGCCGCGCCCAGGTAGGGAACATCCCCACACCCGTGCCAGCTGCGGGCCAGCCTCACCTGACCTTGGGGCCAGCAGTGAAACCTTCCACCTTGTGGTAGGGACTTAACCATGGTCTCTGACGGGGGCTGGAGCCACAGCCCCGCTTTTTTTATATGCTAGCCTTGTGATGAGTATCTTCTCAGTTTTGCTGTTGTTCAGTTGCTAAGTCATGTCTGACTCTTTGCAACCCCGTGGATCCTCTGTCCTCCACCGTCTCCCAGAGTTAGCTCAAATTCATGTCCCCTGAGTTATGATGCTGTAACCATCTCATTTTACTAGCCACCACAATCCGGCAAATAGTAGCACCTCCTGAAGGGCTTTTATGAGGATTACGTAGGGCAAGCAAGATGCACACTAGTACAGAGTGAGCTCAGAGTGTGCACTCAGAATTGTAGGTATTGCTGTTTATTAATTTTTATTGTTATAGTTAATAAGGAGCTCTCAATCTACTAAGTGTAACTCTAGAATGGCAGCTTCCCAGTTTCTTTTTGGCAAGAAAGAAATGCATTCCCAGTACACACATGCCTGAAGAGGCATAAACATCTAGAACAAGCCAAGCCTTTCATGAAATGCTACTTGTCATTTCTACCTGAGATGTGTTCTGACTTCATTCTGTTCTATGACCCATGTTGATTTCCATGACCCGCCACTAGAGGGTGCCCTGGAGAACACAACCTGGGAGTAGATATCCCGGTCAGGGGTGGGGGCCTGGCCCATGGCCAGAGACAGGAGTAGGTGAAACACACCCTCCACAGGGCTCCGGACTTCTCCTCTAAAGAAGCTGCATGTGGATTTCAGCTTCTCAGCCCCAAGTGTCACTCTCACCAGTGGTGAGACATTCCCTCTTGCTGGGGGAAGGACAGGGCTCTGCCTGCCCAACTCCACTGTGCCCTGCCAGTCTTATCTTCCCTTGGCAGCCAGAGGATTTTTTAAAAAATAGTTTTAGAGTTCACCTGTGTTCCATACCTGGTGTCCCTCTTGTAAGATGTTAACCAGGGACAGTTATCACAATTAATGAACCAACATTGATGTTGTTCAGTCGCTCAGTTGTGTCCAACCCTTTGCAACCTCATGGACTGTAGCACGCCAGGCTTCCCTGTCCTTCACCATCTCCTGGAGTTTGCTCAGTCTCATGTCCATTGAGTCGGTGATGCCATCCAACCATCTCATCCTCTCTCACCCCCTTCTCTTCCTGCCTTCAATCTTTCCCAGCATCCATGTCTTTTCTAATGAGTTGGCTCTTGCCATCAGGTGGCCAGAGTATTGGAACTTCAGCTTCAGTATCAGTCCTTCCAGTGACTATTCAGGACTGATTTTCTTTAGGATTGATTTGTTTGATCACTTTGATGTCCAAGGGACTCTCAAGAGCCTTCTCCAGCACCACAATTCAAAAGCATCAATTCTTTGGTGCTCAGTCTTCTTTATGGTCCAACTCACACATCTGTACATGACTACTGGAAAAACTGCAGCTTTGATTATCTGGACCTTTGTCAGCAAAGTGATATCTCTGCTTTTTAATATGTCTGGGTTTGTCATAGCTTTCCTTCCAAGGAGCATCTTTTAATTTCATGGCTGCAGTCACTTGTCTGTTGGAGCCCAAGAAAATAAAATCTGTCACTGTTTCCACTTTTCCCCTTCTATTTGCCATGAAGTGCCATGATCTTAGTTTTTTGATTGTTGAGTTTTAAGCCAGCTTTTTCACTCTCCTCTTTCACCCTCATTAAGAGGCTCTTTAGTTTCTCTTTGCTTTCTGCCATTAGAGTGGTATCAGAATATATGAGGTTGTTGCTATTTCTCTCATCAATTCCAGTTTGTGATTCATCCAGCCTGGCCTTTCCCATGATGTACTCTAGTAGCATATAGGTTAAATAAGCAGGGTGACAATATATAGCTTTGATGTACTCCTTTCCCAATTTGGAACCAGTCAGTTGTTCCATGTCCAGTTCTAACTGTTGCTTCTTGACCTGAATACAGGTTTCTCAGCAGGCAGGAAGAGTGGTCTGGTATTCCCATCTCTTTAAGAATTTTCCACAGTTTGTTGTGATCCACATAGTCAAAGGCTTTAGTGTAGTCAGTAAAGCAGATGTTTTTCTGGAATTCCCCAGCTTTATCTATGATCCAGCGAATGTTGGCAATTTGATATCTGGTTCCTCTGCCTTTTCTAAACCTAGCTTGTACATCTGGAAGTTCTCAGTTCACGTACTGCTGAAGACTAGCCTGAAGGATGTTGAGTATTACCTTGCTAGCATGCAAAATAAGTGCAGCTGTACAGTACAGTGAGTGTAACTGAACATTCTTTGCATTGCCTTTCTTTGGGATTGGAATGAAAATTGACCTTTTCCAGTCCTGTGGCCACTGAGTTTTCCAAATTTGCTGCTATACTGAGTGCAGCACTTTAACAGCATCATCTTTTAGGATGTGAAATAGCTTAGCTGGAATTCCATCACTTCCACTAGCTTTATTGGTAGTAATGCTTCCTAAGGCCCACTTTACCTCACACACCAGGATATCTGGCTCTAGGTGAGTGCCCACACCATCGTGGTTACCCAGGTCATTCAGACCTTTATTTGTACAGTTTTTCTGTGTATTCTTGCCACCTCTTCTTAATCTCTTTGCTTCTGTTAGCTCCTTGCTATTTCTGTCCTTTATTGTACCCATTTTTGCATGAAATGTTCCCTTGGTATCTCCAGTAGTTTTGAAAAGGTCTCTAGTCTCTCCCAGTCTACTGTTTATTTCTTTGCATTGTTTACTTAAGGAGGCCTTCTTACCTCTCTTTGCTATTCTCTGGAACTCTGCATTCAGTTGGGTATATCTTTCTTTTTCTCATTTGCTTTTTGCTTCTCTTCTTTTCTCAGTTATTTCTGAAGCCTCCTCAGACAACCATTTTGCCTTCTTGCATTTCTTTTTCTTAGGGATGGTTCTGGTCACTGCCTCGGGTACAACGATACAAACCTCTGTCCATAGTTTGTCATTATTTATTACAGTCTGCACTTTATTCCAACTTCCTTAGTTGTTACCTAATGTCTTTCTTCTGTTCCAAGGATCCCATCCAGAATGTGTTTTACATTTTGTTTTCCTGTCTTAGACTCCTCTTGGTTTTGACAGTTTCTCGGACTCTTCTTATGCTAGAGTGGTTTGTAAAAACCAATGAATCAGATCCTCTTACTGCATACTTTACTCCTGGTGGGCTACAGTCCATGGGGTCACAAGAATCAGACACAACTTAGCAACTAAACCACCACTACCATACAGTGCATGGCACCTAGAGGCGTAGATTGAGCCCCAGAGCCCCATGGCTTACATACAGTAGTTGTTTTTTCCCCTCCCATCACAGTTCAGAGGTGAGCGGCCTGGGCCAGCGGGATGGTTCAGCTGTCTGCCAACTGCAGGGGCTGCTGTTTCTCAGACAGCAGGAAGAGGGCAGAGGGGAAGTGGAAGACAAGCAGCTTCCTTGCGGGGACATAACTTGGAAATTGCAGTTACTTTCCATTACATCCCATCGGACAGAACTGTCACGTGGCCACACCCAGCTGCTAGCGGGGAGGCTAGGAGTATGGTCCGGCTGAGCCTTCGTGTGTCCTGCTTTTCTTCCAGGGGAGGGTGGAGGCCGGATGCCGCGGTGGAGACCGGCTGACCTGGGCTCTGCTCACCCCAGAGCAGTGCCCACCCCGGCTGCCCACTGAGGGCCGCTGTGCTTGTTCTCCAGGCTGCCAGGCCCAGTCGCTGGACCTGGTCTTCATGCTGGACGCCTCCGTCTCAGTGGGGCCTGAGAACTTCGCCCAGATGCAGAGCTTCGTGAGAAGCTGCGCCCTCCGGTTTGACGTGAACCCCGACGTGACGCAGATCGGCCTGGTGGTGTACGGCGGCCGCGTCCGGACAGCCTTCGGGCTGGACACCCACCTCAGCCGCGCAGCAGTGCTGCGGGCCCTGAGCCAGGCCCCCTACCTGGGCGGGGTGGGCTCGGCAGGCACGGCCCTGCTGCACATCTATGACAAGGTGATGACGGTCCAGGGGGGCGCCCGGCCTGGCGTCCCCAAGGCGGTGGTGGTGGTCACGGGTGGGAGTGGGGTGGAGGACGCGGCTGTCCCAGCCCAGAAACTGAGGGACAACGGCGTCTCGGTCTTGGTGGTGGGTGTGGGGCCTGTCCTCAGGGAGGCATTGCGGAGGCTCGCGGGTCCCCGCGATGCCCTGATCCACGTGGCAACCTACGCAGACCTGAGCCACCACCAGGATGCACTCATCGAGTGGATGTGCAGAGGTGAGTGGGGGAATCTGCAACTTCGGGGTTGCCTCCGAAGGACAGACCTCAGCCAGAGCCTTCATGGACGTCCTTACGGGAACAGCAGCCCCTCACAACTACTGGGGACATTCCATGTTCCGGGCTCTGTGCTAAATCCCATAGTCACATGGAACCCTGCAGGAGGCACACACAACTGTCCCCATTTAAGGTGCAGAGAATTTTAGACAAGCATCTCTCCCCAAACTTATTGTATGCGCCCCACCTAAAAAGAAGAGATTTGTCAGGATATCCACCAAGACCCCAGGATGGCCCTGACCTTGGTAGGAAGAGACACAGCCAGACTAGCCTGACTCCAAGCCTCCTTCTACCAGGAACATTCTCTGCGCCTTTTAAAAAGCCTGTGACCGTAATAATAATAACAGTAAGCGCTGCTGTGTGCTCAGCCCATCTTAAAGAAAGCGGCTGTTTGCTTGCAGGCAAGCTGAATGAAGGCTGGATCTTTGATCGGCCATGTAGTATGGGGCCCACCTATGTGCTCACCTGCGGCTCAAGGGCCCACAGAGCCACTGTGACGTGTAAGATCCTGCGCTGGCGGCCTCACCTTTGTCCTGGGTGAGGGTAGGGTCCGCAGGGCCGACCCAGGCTGGGTCTGCTGACACGTCCTCCTGTCCTCCCTTGCAGAGGCCAAGCAGCCAGTTAGCCTCTGCAAACCCAGCCCATGCATGAACGAGGGCACCTGTGTCCTGCACAACGGGAGTTACCGCTGCGAGTGCCAGGGTGGCTGGGAGGGCCCCCACTGCGAGAACCGTGAGTGTGGCATCAGCTCCCACGTAGGGGCTGGCGGGGTGGTCTCAGTCCTCCTGTTCCCCAGGACTGCAGCCAGAGGAGGTTCTAGGGCATCGACGGAAGGAGTCAGTCATTTGTTCATTCATACATGAAACATTTAGTGGGTGCCCCCTACATCCCAGGTGCCATGCTGGGTGAGAGGAACAGAGCAGGAAATAAGACACTGAGAATCTCTGCCCTCCTGAGAGTTCTGGTCTAGTGAGGGAGACACAACCAGTAAGTACAGCCTGTGGTGTATTAGATGGTGCTGAGCACCGAAGAATTGATGCTTTTGAATTGTGGCGTTGGAGAAGGCTCTTGAGAGTCCCTTGGACTGCAAGGAGATCCAACCAGTCCATCCTAAAGGAAATCAGTCCTGAATATTCATTGGAAAGACTGATGCTGAAGTGCCAGTACTTTGGCCACCTGATGCAAAGAACTGATTCATTGGAAAAGACCCTGATGCTGGGAAAGATTGAAGACAGGAGAAAGGGATGACAGAGGATGAGATGGTTGGATGGCTTCACTGACTCGACAGACATGACTCTGAGTAAGCTCAGTGAGTTGGTGATGGACAGGGAAGCCTGGTATGCTGCAGTCCGTGGGGTCGCAAAGAGTTGAACACGACTGAACTGAACTGAACAAATCCGAGGAGACTTGGGGAGGAAGCACAGCGGACACAGAGTAACCAGAAGGCAGGCAGAGGACGAGGGCACAGGTTCGAGTGGGTGGGCGGATGGGGCAGTGGAAGTTGGTGGGAGTTCTTTTTTTAAGTGTCTCTCTTTGCTCAACGGAGAGTGAGGACGTGGAGGAGGTGCTGGAGGTTGGAGGAGAGAAGAGAATTAGTAACCATCTAGGAGAGGAGGAGACTAGAGTAAGGACATAGAAAAACGATTGTTGCGCAGCCTCCTAGCCCCCTGTGGCTGCTGTTCACGAATTTAAAGGTAGAAAAGCCAGCAGCAGCCAGTGGACGATTCCCATTGGAGCCCTGCGTTTGCCGGCCCCGGCAGAGGTGGTTTTCCTAAAATGGAGAGGGCCATGAGGGGCACTTTTTGCTTGGCTTAGCCTAAGCGCAAAGCACGATGGGCCCCATAAGGTTGCTAGTTGGTTAAGAAGACGACTCAGACGATCGTCACATCCTCAAAGTTCATTTCTTTCCTAGGGGCCTTGAGAGGAGATGCCCTCAAGGCACGTGGCTCCAGCCGAGAGCCTGCAGGAGGGCAGCCGCTGTGGCCCTCCCAGCTGGGCCTACCGAGAAGGCGTGGGCCCCCTGGGCGCTGAAAGGGAGCCCACCCTCAGCAGAGCACCTGTCCTGAGGGCTCTGCCTCCAGCCCCCTCTGGAGCCCTCCTGCCCCAGGGAGAAGAGAGGGCTGAGCTGCAGACAGAGCTGCCCAGGGACGTGGTAGCAGCTGGTTACCCCGCTCACGACTACAGAGACCGCTTCACATGGTCTGCTGACCTAACTGCACGCTGCCGAGCTGGTGTCGTCTGCCGCCTGTCCCCCGAGGAGCAGCAGAGGAACCTGGAGACTCTGATAGCCTGTTTGAAGCTCACATTGCCCACGATGATGGCTAAACAGGACATTGCTGGGACAGTTATGCCCAAGAAGGCAGTGATGACAGACCGCTGACTCGCTGATGGCATTTCAAGATGGAAGAAGGTGGACCTTTAAACACATCTTTCCCCGAAGATGCCCCAAATGGATTCGTTCTTTAGTTTGAGGAGGGGCTTGAGTGGCATTTGTGACTTGTTCAGGTGACGGGATCCCTGTGTGGGACTTAGAAAGGCCTCAGTCTGGAAGGAGACTGATTGACCAGCTGTTTGCCTGAGGGGGAGGGGCTGAGTGTGCAAACAGCTCGGGACTCGAGGGGCCGCCTGGGCTGATCAGCACTCCCTTCGAGAGACTTCTTAGTGTTTACTTAGGAGGGTTCATTGTGGGGTGTTTCTTCAGTGCTTGTCTTCCTCTCCCTTTGAGGGGCAAAAAGGAGCAGAATTCTTAAACTCAATCAATATAGAACAAAGAGATTTGAAGGGGTTGGCTTTTTTAGATATAGATCTTACGCTGCCTTGGTTTTAGTTTTGTTTTTCATACATGGTTTTAAAAGGAATATTTCAAGAAGTGATGTTGGTTGTGTTTATTTAACAGGAGCATTTGTCCCAAATGGCAAAAAGGCTCAGATGGAATATTCTCTGGCGAACTGGATATCTGCTTATCCCACAGTCCTTAACAAATCAATTCTCTCCCCAGGCGGTCGAGTTGGGAGTTGGTTTTCAGTAGAAGCCTTTGCAGAACTCTGATTTAAATCCAGACACTTTATCATAGTTTTTATCTTTAATGTAAATACCTTAATGTAAATACCTTAATGTGATGTTTTATGGGCAAACATTCAAGGCTACTTTGATTTAAATATTGCTTTAGCTTTAAGAACTTCAGGATTTCTGGTGCCAAGAAAAGTACTTGGAAGGTCATCACCATGGTTTTATTAGATGTTAAAAACAAGTCCAGTGTGCCAAGCACTGTGCATGACAGTCATTTCCATTCAAGGGCTATTTCCATTTCTATTCCAGTTGCCGCCTTCTGCCAAGGCAAAAGCAATATCAGAGCAGCGTCACGTGCCCACCTGGCAGGTGCTGATAGCTGATGTCAGAGAATTCCGTTGTCTTTACATTAACAGCAGCTTAATCATTTCATAATGTAGGTTCTTGTCTGGCACAGGGTTGATATTTGGATGTCCCATTTGAACTGGACTTAAAAACCCCACAAAACTGGGCCCTGGGCCTACATATTAAAAACCTTACAGTTGCTATTTTTAGGTTTCAGCCCTTGGGCGGAAAAGATCTCTTTTTTAACCTTTTCTAGTGAAGGTACCACTGAAGAGTTTAACCCTTTCTGGGTCCTAGTAGCACAAGAGGGAATTCCTGACAAAATAACCTTAAGTGATCTTTTCCCAACCGACCCTTTTTCTTTCTTCTAAAGAAACTGGCTTTTATTTTAATTACATAATATACAAACATGTTCTCCTTGTAAAAACTTAAACAGTGCCGATAGATCATAAATCTTTTATTTTCGCCAAGTGATCCTTATTCCAGGCAGCTGCTCTAGTTTTAATAGTTGATTGATTCTCTTTCTTTTCTAGAAAGATAGCATTTACAAGTAATGACAGTTTTGTCTCTCCTTTTGAAATTTTAAACTACTTTTTCTTGTCATTTTGCATTGTCTAGGACCTCCAGAATTATGTTTTAACAAGTAGCGGAATGTAACTGGTTCTTGACTTGAAAGGACGTTTTTATCATTGTTACTCTCTGCATTACTTGATAAGGAATGCTTGCTTCTATTCCTGGATTACAGAGTGTTTTTTAGGAGTATTGAGATTTATGGTTTGCTTTTCTGCTCCCTTTGAGATGTTTTTTCACATTTGATTGATTAATATGATAAATTACCTACTTGTGTTTTCAGTTGTTGAACCACCTTTGATTTCTTGGATAAATGCTATCTGGTTGCTATGTCTGTTTCTTTAAACACTGCTGAATTTCATTTGCCAATATTTTAAAGTTTTTTTTCAATCTATGTTAAAAAATGAGGTTGTCTTTTATAATATATTGGAATGTTTTCCTTTTTATGTGTTGGAATTTTGGTATCAGAGCTGTGCTAACTTTCTAAAATGAAAAATATTAATGTATAGCCCTCAAACTTTCTAAAATGAGAAAATATATAGCCCTCAAACTTTCAAGCTGCTATATTCATAGTATTTTCTTGTAATTCTTTTTTTTTTAAAATAATGTTAGTTTATTTTACCTGCAGCTCTTCCAATATAAATTGAACGTAAATGATGATACTGAGATACATTAGGAAGAATTACTGAGAGATGTCAGAATATCATGCCTTCCAATCCATCCTCCATGAACTTCTTATAAAGTGCCATAAATTTGGCCACAAATGCTTCCAAGTGATAAATGGCTTTGCTACCCAGTTGCAGACGATGCTTATAGTAAGCTGCCATCTGGGCCACTTCTCCTTTCAGTTGTCCATCGCAATTATGTAAAAGTTCTGAGAGAAGGCCCTTCATTATTATTTCAGGAGGAATACAATGAGTTAGAAGCTCATACAGTCTTCCACGAACTTCAAGGAGCCTCTGTGGAGTTTGTTGACTGACAATAGCATTGGCAGTCTCCCTCAGATACACCTCCCAATCTGTTTCAGGGATTTCTTGACCTGCAGTAAAAGGATATTGTTGCACTCTGCAGGCTTCACACATAAGCAGAGCTTTTCTGAGATTTCTGCAGGACTTCTCTGCAAGTCTATGAGCCAGTTGTGGAGGAAGATTTAGACCCTCCTTCTTACACACAGTAGATAACACATGGCAAATATCTTCAATGCTGGGAGCAGGCACTCGAACTGCAAGGCACCTACTACGAATAGGTGGTATCACTTTATTTTTTTTTTTTTATTTATTTTTTTTTAGTTTTTTTATTTTTTAATTTTTTTTTAATTTTTTTATTTTTTTTAATTTTTTTTTATTAGTTGGAGGCTAATTACTTTACATCATTGCAGTGGTTTTTGTCATACATTGAAATGAATTAGCCATGGATTTACATGTATTCCCCATCCCGGTCCCCGCTCCCAAGGTGGTATCACTTTAGATGTAGAATTGCAACACAAGATCAATCTGCAGGTAGACATATACTTTTCCATGGTTCTGCGCAAAGCATGTTGAGCATCTTTAGTAAGTTTGTCAACTTCTGTCAATAACACAACTTTAAAATCTTTTTGAGAGCTTGTTTCAAGTTGCTGTGACTGTGCCACTGTTTTCAACATCTCCTGAATTACAACCCAATCACTATTTCCAGCATCACTAGGATTAACTTCAAGGTGGTAATTGCTTGCAATAGTGCTAATTTCAATTTTCTTTTTAGATGGAGTTGTGATGGTCTGGTGTTCAATTCTCAATTTTTCCACTCCAACACCATAAAGTTCACGTAGAATACACATAATTCTTGTCTTTTTTCCAGCACCTGATGGTCCATACACTAACAGATGAGGAAAGTCACCACATTGCACCAGGTTGCGCAGCTGGGCCGCCTGCTCCTTGTGATAGTCCAGCTGTCCCAAGGAGCAGGGCCGGTATTTGTCCACCCAGAGGCTCATTCCAGCCCAAGTTCCGAGGGTCAGAGACTCGAATGTCCCGCGCGCGCGGGATGTGTGTCCCCCCCCAATACCTTTCTTGTAATTCTAAAGGGCTGTCAGTATTGGTACTTAACGCCTCTTTTTTTTCAGTTCTGTCATTTAATATTGCTGTAGGGTGTCCTTTTAATGAGTCAGAAATTTGGTTTTGCCATTTTTAAAACCAGCATATTTATGCTGTGAACTTTCTTAATTATTACTGCTACTAAGGCAACATTTCAAGTATTGGTATGATTTTTACTCCCCTAAGAATTATTTAGGAGTGTGTTTAATTCAGTCACTTTTATATATGATCAGCTTCCAAAGATGTTTCCCATGTGTTAATTATAATACTAAAATCTTTCAGCCTTACCTCTGCTACTTGATGTAAGGAGGCTTAAAGTCTCCCACTAGGATCCCACCTTGTAGTCCTGTGTTTTTACTCACATAGTCTGAAGTCCAGTGTATAAATAACTGCAATGTTTCCCCCAGAAGTAGAAATCTACCAGGCCTTGTCGCGTTATCCCGTGAAATACAAGAAAACCCAAAACACGATGAGCATTTTATTAAAAAAAAAAAAAAAATCTAACTCACCACTTGGGACACCAAGTGTTCATGACAAAGGAAATAAATGCCCTGGGAATAGAAAGACAATAAGAAGACAGACTCAAAAGACCTTTAGTTCCCAGGAGCCAGTGTTAAAGAACTCTGATTCAGAACCCCCCAGAAATGAGGCAGAGATGATAGATGAAATGTTTTTAACCTGTGTTAACAATGCCATCGGAAGGGAAGAACAGGCAACATAAATGAGAGCACTGTCAATTTTAAGAAAAGAGACCACCTGAAACAAAATTTGCCCCCCCTTTTTTTTTCTTGGAAAGGGCCTGGACATCAAGCACGACTTAAAAAACAGGGACTAAAAGAGCATTGTATTAAATAACTCTTCTCTTAAAAATGGCCTTTCCATGGGACTGAATCTGTAAACACAGGATAATCTTGTTTCTATGGTAATGTAAAAAGTCAGTTAAATCTCAAAAGACACTTTTCACTGTTCTAAATTACAGGATTTTAAACATTTTTTTCCCTATATAATACAGCATCATTTAAAAATTTTATTTAAAAGCCGTTGGTTCAGGCCCACTTTAGCTTGAAGAGAGTCTTTAATTTACCAGGAACAGTGCCTCGGCTTGGTCCCAAATATTTTCCCAATTACCATTTCTTAAAAAAAACAACCCATAGATGGTTTTTACACAGTTGAAGACAAGGACGGTTTAACCCCTGACACTGCTAAGTATCAGATAGGAGATGATGGTCAGGAGTTGAGATATATTCTCACCAAAGCCCTGTGATCAGTGAGACAAGGCCCTGCTACCTTGATTTCTCCTCCACACTAGAAACTTTTCATTTAAAAAGTCTGATAAAACAATTGATGAAAATTTCAAGGAAGAGACACAGAATACCCCTAACTACAGCAATGTCCTGTTTACAGCCAATAGACTTGGGTCTCAAAAAAAGTCTATTATTTCCTTTGGCCCTGCACAGGGACAGAGCCTCCTCTCAGCCGAAGTATTCCATTCACAGAACCCCAGTTCTTCCTTTTGCTTGTAAACAGACTCACCCTTTCACAGAGTTGCTGCTTGAACGAAGACGGTAACGAAGCAGGGTTGTCACCAAGGTCCATATGGACAGGAGAGTCTTTAGATGAAGTTCGTTTCCTAACTTGCTCCTTTCTTCTCCCATTCCTAGGGTACCATTCAAACACCAGCATCCCGCCCCCCAAGAGAAGAAAGTTACTTATCCTCCGTAGCCAACCTACTTAGTCATAGAAGAAGCTGGGAAGAGAGACAGCAATTAAGGTTCAACCCCCGTGTGTTCCCTGTTGCTTGGAGCACCTGTCCAGGGATTTTGAGGCCATGGAGCAACAGAGAGCAGCTGAGAGACATCTGCCTCGGTGTTCATGTGCTTACATGGATTTAATACTCAGGCATTGGTACAGGTGCCTCACAATACCTCCCACAGGTAATAAGCAGGACTGCAGTGAGAGCTGCCTGTGCTAAGGAGCAGCATTTGCCAACAACACAGGCAGCTCTAGGCACGCTCTTTACTGTACAAATGAGTCAAGGGTTCATAACGCTCTTCGACCAGCCCTCAGGGACAAATCTGCTCTCGTTAGCCCCTCACCGCTAGCTGCCTAGGTGGCTTCTAGCAAACCCGTCACCCGCCTGAATCTGCTGCTTTCGTTCTCCTGACAGACGCCCTTCAGAATTGCTGAGGTTCTCTTTAAATTGGAAAGCTCTCCAGCCCCACTCTATGTCTGCGCTTCTCCTCTCCCCTACCAGAATCTACTGCTAATCACGCTGTGGGCAGCACCCAGCGTTCGCACAGCCTCAGGCGGATTTGCAAGGACACCTTTCTGGCTGGTCAAGGCCAAAGACCCAGCCCCCCGCCTCTCCCTGCAGAGCCCGCGCTCAGAGGAGGGAAGTGCCGCCCGGGTCAGAAGGCCCCCCACCCCAACTCTGGTGACAGTCCTGTCCTCCAGGGGGCCCTGAAAGAGCACAAGAGCAACCGCTTACCTTGGCTTTCTGGAGGACGGTGCCTTTGCCCGTGACCATGACCGACAGAGGCCTGTTCTTGAGCGCAGTTGCGGAGTTGACTGGGGTACAGTCGGGGGCAGGAGTCGGGGTGGCCGTTTTGGGCTGTGGTGTCAGAGGAGAGCGAGGCTGAGTTAAGGGGGGAAGGAGGCATGGTTCATCCCTGCGCTTGGTCCACGAGGACGGGGCACCCGGACTCACCCGGGGGCTCACGTTCTCCAGGTGGGTGGTGTCCACGGTGGTGCCCAGCGTCACGGGCCCGGCCTCGGCCTTCTTGAGGCTGTCCTTCACCTCCACGATGCTGAGCTCCAGGTCCACACGCCTGCGCTCCTCCACCCTGCACTCCTCGTCCATCTCCTTGAGCTTCTGCTCCAGGCTGGCCACCGCCCCCTTGTCTGCAGAGAGAAGTTAGCAGCCTTTGGGGAACAGCCTTTCAGCTGGAAGTCGCGTTGGAAGGGGGCAGAATGGATTCATACACACACCATGCCGAAACACGACCCCCAAGGGGCTGTGGACCACTGCTCTGGCTCCGACCCTCAGAGCAGGGACAGGCCTCTTGGTGGGTGGCGGACAGCCTCCAAGCCCAGGAGCCCAGGCCCTGTGTCTCCATTCTGCAAAGGCTGGGGAGGCCCTGGGAGCAGAGCTCTGCCTTCACAAGAGGGCCTGAATCTGAGGTGTAACGTCCCTCCTGGTAGGTGCTTAGCGACTCTTGTTGTTTCAAAACCTGCCATGGTGACAGCAGCCTCAAAGGGAGAAAGCTTTATTAGTGACCTCTGGAGGACGGTTCGGCTGTTTCAACTTGCCCCTCATGGTTCCTTCAATCCTCCTGGCACATGCTGCTTCCCTAGGCCTAATGGAGCTATGGTCCTCAACCCTGCCACCTTCTCAGCCCTGTCTTCCTCCCCCCTTCACCCTGGTGTTCTCAGGCTGTTCCTGTAGCACCAAAAAATGACGACTCAACCAAGAGTCCAGAGCTCACTGCAGAGGAAAGGACGGTACCACATGTTGAGTACGGAATCCTGAGCACCGAGTGACTGCCAGTATGGGCGATGGAAACGTTCTCAACTTGACTCTGGTGATGGCTGCACAACTCTTAATATACTGAAAACCATGTGCAAATAGGTCATCGTATGGTCTATGAATTCTTATCAGTGAAGATGTAATCTTTTGTAAAAAGTGGGTCACATCATGCCCCCCCCCTGACTTTCTTCTACCAATCATGTTTATAAGATTCTCAGGGATCAACTGCTTATGTTGGTTAGGGCGAGTCTAATGGGCTTCACTGATAGCTCAATTGGTAAAGAATCTGCCTGCAATGCAGGAGACCCCAGTTCGATTCCTGGGTCAGGAAGATCCGCTGGAGAAGGGATAGGCTATCCACTCCAGTATTCTTGCGCTTCCCTTGTGTCTCAGCTGGTAAAGAATCCGCCTGCAATGTTGAGACCTGGGTTCGATCCCTAGGTTGGGAAGTTCCCCTGGAGAAGGGAAAGACTACCCACTCCAGTATTCTGGCCTGGAGAATTCCGTGGACTGTATATAGTTTATGGGGTTGCAAAGGGTCGGACACGACTGAGCGACTTTCACTTTCACAGCTTAAATATTAAATGTGCACAGAGTTACTCCCTGAAAATGATGTCAAATACAGCTGAAAGGTCTTACGAGGGACAAGCATTAGGGAACAGCTGAAGGATGATATGAGGCTGACTTGGAAAATAATCTACAAGGATGCTGATTTCTTTAAAATGAACACAGACTTAAGGCACTTGTAAAGAGATGGCCAGATGAAGCGTTAGAGGTGTGGTTAATGCACCATGGTTAAGGTTAAGAAACCATGATGCGGGGCTCCCATTAGCCAGCCCAGAGGGGCAGGGAAAGACCCTGGCATTACTGCAGAAGATGGGCCAAGAAATAGACATTTGTCTTAAATGAGAATGACACATTTCAGGTCTAGACACATAATTTTTAGAGATTTCCTGCCTTTTCAACTACGTCCTGATCCAGGACAGTGACCTTTCAGATAGGCTGGAAGGGGAGGACTTTGCAGGGAGCATCCACCTGTGCCAAAGGTTGAGGGGCCTGCAGGCCACGTGCACAGATCTGGATTTGCACCTCCCCCCGCCCCGGAAAGCCCCGGCTCCTCCAGGGGCCATCTCCCTTGAGAGGAGGTGGTACCTACCTGTACACTTTAACAGGGTCTCCTTCAGCTCCCGTTTCTCCCTCCGGAGCTGAGCCAGGTGCCCTCGGATCTCTTCCTTCTTCTTCTCAAGCCTCTCCTTCTCCTCCGTGTACCGCTTCACCTCGGCCTCTGTCCGGTTCTTGCCAAGTTTGATCTCTGCAGACCCAGAGCGAGGGGAACCCCTGGGTTAGTCAGGCTGGCCCCTGAGGGCAGTCCCACCCCACTCTGCAGGCCCGGGCAGAACCCAGCATTCTGGAAGTAGATTAGAGGTGGATGCCAGGCCAGCCTAGCAGGGGCAGAAAAGGAAACCGAGCCTACCCCTTCTTTGCTATGAGACACTGGGCAAGTTCTCCAACTCTCTGGGCCTTTCTTTCTTCATCTGCAAGGGAGGCAATCGGACTAACCTCTCCAAGTAAAAGTGTTAGTCGCTCAGTCGTGTCTGACTCTTTGAACCCCCGTGGACTATATCCCACCAGGCGTGGACTATATCCCACCAGGCTCCTCTGTCCATGGAATTCTCCAGGCAAAAATACTGGAGTGGGTTGCCATTTCCTACTCCCGAGGATCTTCCCGACCCAGGGATTGAACCTGAGTCTCCTGCGTCACAGGCAGACTCTTGACCATCTGAGCCGCCAGGGAAGCCCCCAAGCCCCTTCCGAACGCTTCGACTCTTATCTAGCACAGGCACCTGCACTGGTTGCCTTCAGCCTGTCCTTCACAGGTGGGCTGGACCCGGCTGGGGCGACAGCCGCCGCCTCAGGGCCGCTCGGTGGGAAGGAGGTCTTCTGCTGTCCAGCCTGGAGTTTGACCTCTGTGCCTCCCAGGGAGGGCTCCTCAGGTTCCTGACTCTCCTGCTGCATCTGGGTTGGGAGAAAGCAAATAGGATTCAGCCAGCCAAGGGGCAGCCCCCCCCCCCCCTGCCCTGAGAAGGTAAGGCTGGCTCACCCACTGGGGGACCCCCTGTACCTGCAACTCGGGGTTCTCTGGAGACTGTATGAGGGGCTCATCAGGGGCGGGGTCCGAGTCTTCAGGGAGAGGGAGCGTCTCGGCCGGGGGGTCCTGGGGGGGCGGCGTGGGTGAGGGCACCCGGGCCTGTGCACCGCTGTCGCTGTGTAGGAAGGACTTGATGGGCGTGAGGTCCAGGTACACGCGGTCAGGGTCAGGCTCACCGGGAGCATCTGTTGCAGGGGTGGCTTCCTCGGGGGCTTCCCCCTGCGTGGGAAAGAATCAGGGGGCTCTCTCCACTGCCTCGGGTCCCTGAGCCCTGGAGGGGACGCCAGCCCTGCTGCAGAGCTCCCGTCTCTTCCCTGGGCCCAAGTTCACCAGGCCTCCTTCCCGAGGAGCCTCCTGCGGAGCTGGAGTTAGAGGGCCCAGGCTCACCTCCTGGGTCAGCCATTCAGGAGGTGGGAGTCCCAGGGCACAGCGCTTCATCTCCCAGACGTGACTCCCTCATCTGGAGAGAAGAGACCAGGACTCCCTCTCTCTCTGGTGGCTGGGATGAAGGGAGACCGCCCACAGATGCCCTTAGCACAGAGGTCCATGCCCCATGATCGGAGCCAGGTGTCAGGGTGATGGTTCACCTCTGCCACCAATCTGAGCCTCAAAGGCTAATGGTGTCTGGACAGCTATGTCTAAGCAACAAGATTTGAACATTTCCTCATACCACAGTTGAGAAATAATCCCCAAAGGAATTAAAGACCTCAATGTAAGACCAGAAACCGCAAAACTCCTAGAAGAGAACATAGGACACTCTTTGACAGAAATCGTGCAATATTTTGGGTGGGTCTGTCTAATAAGGCAAAAGAAATAAAAGCAAAAATAAACGGGACCTAGTTAAAAAATTATTGCACAGCAAAGGAAACCATCAACAAGATAAAAAGACGATTTATGGAATGTGAGAAAATATTTTCAAATGATATGACCCACAAGGGGTTAATATTCAAAATATATAAATAGCTCATATATCTCTATATAAAAAAAAACAACTGATTAAAAAATGGGTGGAAGACCAGAGTAGACATTTTTTCCAAAAAAGACAGACAGATGGCCAACAGACAACATGAAAACGTGCTCGACATAACTAATTATTAGAGAAATGCAACAGAAACAAAATGAGAAAATACCTCACACCTATCAGAATAGCTGTCTTCAAAAAGCCTACAAATAACAAGTGTTGACAAGGATGTGGATAAAAAGGAAAGCTTGTTCACTGATGGTGGGAATGTAAACTGTTGCAGTCACTATGGATAACAGTCAAGAGGTGCCTCAAAGCACTAAAAATAGAACTACCATATGACCCAGGAATTCCATACCGTAGAGAAAGCAAAAACACAAACTTGGAAAGATACATGAGTGCATAGCAGAGTTCACAGCAGCGCTATTTATAGTAGCCAAGATGGAAGCAACCCTAGTGTCCATCAACAGATGAACGGATAAAGATGTGTGCATGTATACATACACACACAATGCAACATTACTCAACCATAAAAGAGGATGGAATTCTGCCATTTGCAGCAATGTGGATGGACCTAGAGAATATTATGCCCAGTTAAATAAAGTCAGATAGAGAAAGACAAATACTGTATGGTATCACTTATGTGTGGAATCCAAAAACTAGTACAAATGAATTACATATAGCAAAACAGACGCACTGATACAGAAAAGAACTTAGTCGTTACCAGCAGGAAGAGGGGAGGGGGAAGGGGCAAGAGAGGGGTATGTGGCTAAGACATACAAATCACTATGTATAAAATAGATGAGCAATAAGAATGTTGTATAGTATGGGGAATTATAGCCATTATTTTGTAATAACTTTCACTGGCGTATAATCTATAAAAATACTAACCATGCTGTGTATCTGAAACGTATATAATATTGCAAATCAACTATACTTCAGTTTCCTAGAAAAGGCCAATGGTGTCACTGTTCTCCATCCCAACACCACACTGTCCACCCCAGCACGGGCCAGAGTGGTTAACTAGCTCTTTTATCTAGACAAGTCCCTAGGCCAGGCAGATGGTACCACCCCAGCAGATAAAAGAGAACCTCACTGCACCTGCTTTCTCCACTGATGGCCCCGCAGGTGACTTGGAGACCATTCCTCTCGAGGGCCATCTAACAACCTCTGGCGTTCAGGCTTTGGGTCTTGGCAGGAAGGGGATGGACAGCCCCAGGCAGCCGCCCAACCAGCATCCTCACCATGGTTGTCAGCTCTGACACCTCCACATCATCATACAGCAGCTCCTGGCGATCCTGGCTGGGCAGGCCATCGATGTAAGTGTTCGGCTCTGAGAACTTTCTCTGCATCAGTCTGGAAGACACAGTGAGAGAGGATTCAGGATGGGGTAGGGTTAAAAGCCACCAGTCTCAAAGACTTCGAAACAATGAGAGGTGCAGTGAAATCCACAGGCTGTGCAGGAGACCTGGGGACAAGCCCTGATCTCCTTGTAAAATGAATTCATTTATTTAGGGGTAACTCCTTCCTCTCTCCCCAGGGTCTTCTTATTAGAACTCCTTGTTCCAAATGTCTCTTCTTGAAAAATAATTTTCCCTTGCCCCGTACCCCTCCTCTTTGACATGACTGAGCGACTAAGCACATTACAGCCATCTTCTCACCCAGATTCCACCCTTTCATGATCTCCTTCCAACAACAAAATCCTCTGTCATTTCATCTTCACAGTACACTTGGGCCAGCACCAACAGACAATTTCCCCATTTTGGCTGTTTGCTTCCACTCATGCAGGAAGGAGATCCAACCAGTCCATCCTAAAGGAAATCAATCCTGAATATTCATTGGAAGGACTGCTGCTGAAGCTCCAATCCTTTGGCCACCTGATGTGAAGAGCAGACTCATTTGAAAAGACCCTGATGCTGGGAAAGATGGAAGGCAGGAGGAGAAGGGCTGGCAGAGGATGAGATGGTTGGACAGCATCACTGACTCAATGGACATGAGACTGAGCAAACTCCAGGAGACAGTGAAGGACCAGGAAGCCTGGGGTGCTGCAGTCCATGGGGTCACAAAGAGTTGGACACAACTGAGCAATGGGACAACAGCAATGCTGCTTCTACCCACACCCCCCCAGGACCACTTCTCCCCAAGACCCAGTTTGCTCATCCCGGAGGCAGAAGTACACGTTGTTGGCTTACACCAGCGTGTGCTGGGACTCAGCAAGGGAGCCATGCAGAGGTGCTGCCTCTACAGCAAGGAAAGCAAAGGCCAGGAGAGGCGCCCACTCCGCCTTCAGGAGCTGAACAGTGTCTAATTAGAGCCAGGCTGCGGTGGCTGCCCCTGGGCCAGTGGCCTGGCTTGGCTCCTTGCTGGGCCTCCCTGAGGGCTGCTCCCTGGCCCTGGTCCTCCTGCTGCTGGGGGGAACAGGGCCCACCCAGACTTCCCAGCTGCTCGAGGGACCACCAGAGGCCAGTGCAGGCCTTCTGTAGAAGCACGGCTAGGAGTGAGAGGTCCCCAAATACTCACAGCAGAGAGGTTTTGGCAGCGCTCACGATACAGGAAACCCTATCGGCATCCACATAGTCGTAGGTGAATTCTTCTGGGTCTGTCTTGGAGCCTGACTCAGAGAGCAGGAGGCCTAGCCAGTGGCCCATTTCCTCGGAAGACTTGGCCTGGGAGGAAGCCGAGAGGGACATGAGCAGGGCTGGAGTGTGCTGCCTGACGCCCAGACCTCCTCACCTCTTCCCCGATGCCCACCCTGCTGGGCAAGGCCTCTGAGAGCCCTGAGGCCATGTTCCTCATTTTTGCTGCTAGAGTCCAGCCCCCAGGAACCCCAAATAATATTTCCTGCTTCTAGTGATACCCTGGTGCCATCTCAGTGATGCTGTGGGCATTTGTCCCCAGTATCACATGTAATGTTTATCAAGATGTATTTCTAGAGGGCTTCCCCAACAGCTCAGCAGGTAAAGAATCTGCCTGCAATGCAGGAGACGCAGGCAGGAGATGCGGGTTGGATCTCTGGGTGGGAAAGATCCCCTGAAGAATGGAATGGCAACTCACTCCAGTATTCTTGCCTGGGAAATCCCATGGAGAGAGGAGCTTGGCAGGCTACAGTCCAAAGGGTTGCAGAGAGTCGGACATGACTAAGCGATGAATCATGCACACACCATCACATGTAATGTTTATAAACATGTATTTCTAGGAGGCTAATGGACTAGGAGAGGACTGTTAAAATGTATGCATTTTAGGTTGACACCTCTATTTTATGAATTATCACATTTTAGTTTACAACCCTAATGCATATATACAAGACTACCTGGGTCCCTGCTAAGAAATAACAAAATTCAAATTTATTTTTGTTTATGGTTTTAATAATCGAACTGTCTTATACATCTTAATGCCAGGTCAGCCACCTCTGACAAATCATGAACTAAATCCCAGTGAAGTCTGCACCTGGTTTTCTCCAGGGGACAACACATTCCAATCAAACATGTACACTGAGTATTTTCTATTAAAATGCCAGCATGGTTTCTGGGCTTTATAATGAGAAAGAACTGGGAATCCCATAAATACTGCAGGTTTACTTTCATGAGAAAAAAGAACCACCGTGCTGGCTTTACCCAACACAGCTCTGCCACCTTCCTGCTTTGTGTTCATGATGAGAAGGGCAGCTGAAAGTGCAGTTTGACATTGGTTTCCTTTTCCCACTCATTTTCAAGTGGATTTCTCAATACAGCTTTTCATAGGCTGCCTCTAGTTCCTGCTGCCACCATTGCCGCCCTGGGCGATGGGTCTCATTTTATCCCTTCCTGTCCCCCTTCCCTCCGTCCCCCACCCAACAGATGGAGGACACATCTTGAAATCCAAATCTGAACACGACACCCTCCCTTGAAACACTTCAGGGTTTTTGTTGTTCAGTCACTCCGTCGTGTCCGACTCATTGCGATCCCATGGACTGCAGCGCGCCAGGCTTCCTTGTCCTTCACCATCTCCTGGAGCTTGCTCAAACTCATGTCCATCAAGTTGGCGATGCCATCCAGACATCTCATCCTCTGTTTCCCCCTTTTCCTCCTGCCTTCGATGTTTCCCAGCATCAGGGTCTTTTCCAATGAGTTGGCTCCTTGATCAGGTAGCCGAAGTATTGGAGCTGCATCTTCAGTCCTTCCAATGAATATTCAGGATTTATTCCCTTTATGATGGACTGGTTGGATCTCCTTGCAGTCCAAGGGACTCTCAAGAGTCTTCTCCAGCACCACAATTCAAAAGCATCAGTTCTTCAGTGTTCAACTTTCTTATGGTCCAACTCTCACATCCATGCATGAGTATAGGGTCTACCACTGCTCTTAAGATCAGCCCCCATCCCCTCCCACAGGCTTTCTCAACACAGCTCCCACCCACCCAGCATTCAAACTTCCATACATATTCACAGCTCTTGCCCCACTGCTCAGGGATTACTGGGTTACCATTACTAGTCGTTACTGAGCGATTACTAGGTCAGCAGGAGCTAGAGGCAGCCCGTGAAAAGTGACAAAGTGGATACTAAATAACATCTCACTCTTGTTCTTGAAGGTAAGTCTCATGCCAGGGAACACATCTTGTCTCGTTCACCATATCATGGTACTGAATAGGTATCTGTCAATAGGATGGCTGGATGCAGGAATGAACACAGGCTTGTCCTTGGGACGCAATTGCCCCTTTTAGCCACAAGAGGGCAGTATTGGAACAAATTCAGGATGAAGACCCCTGGAGCTAGGACTAGGTGAACAGGAATGAACTGGGGTGTGTGCTTAAGTGCGTATAAAGCACCCTGGCTTGGGCCTGCCCAGCTCATGGCAAGGCATTATGTCACCTCTTTTTTTGTAAATGCAGCATAACATCAAACAGAGGGTGGGGAGTGAGAATAATGCAATTGTATCACAAACCTTATTCTTCCCCCAAGATAAACCCTAACTGTCTGCATTTTTATGTACTGGGTCCCATCTGGTGATACACAAACGAAATCACAAACCCACTTTGAGTCCCCAGAAAGTTTTTCCAGCAACTTAGGGAGTTATAAATACTCCTACCCTAAGTGCAGGAAATAGCTCATTGTCCCGTTCCTATAACACAACCACCCTGAGGTCAGAAAGGGAATGGAAATTTTTAAAAAACGCAAACAATCTCAGGCAAAGCAAGTAAAAATAAAGTGCAGCTGAGTTGAATCTCCCGTGGTAGGACTGCAGTCCTGACCGTGACCTCCGCCCTGGCCGTGTCTGCCCGCCCACCCCCCGACCACCCTGGCCAGCCGTACCTCGAGCTTGGCCAGCTCCTCGCCGTTGTGGAGAATGCGGAAGGAGTAGAGGTGGTCCGGGCTCGGGTCCGGCACCACCTCACAGCCCAGCAGGCTGAGGGGCTGCTGGGCCGCCTTGCTCCGGTTCCGGTCCTGGTAGAAGTACAAGTGACTGTCCCTGACGGAGCACCAGCGCGACTTCCACTGGCTGTTGACCAGCACGTTCAGGTAGCCTGCGGGCAGGGACACGGCTGAGGGGCTGTCGGTGGCCGAGGGCGCCCAGGACTGCCCTTGCCCGCCTCTGGACCTCCGGAAGCGCTCCTCTTAAGTCTCAGCCCCAAGACCTGCCAAGCTTTGCCTGAGAGAACTTGTTAACCTCGTAGAGGCTGTGAACCTCAGTCTTTCTGCTTCCTTTGTGTGAGGGGCTAGACCCCTTGAAGGAGGGGAGCACACAGCCCTGCTGGTTTTTGGAAAAGGCGTGTCCAGAGGGCAGTGAACTGTGTCTTGGATTAGACCAGGCCAGGAGGTGTGGGGGTGTGTGTGGGGGTGTGTGTGTGGGTGTGTGTGGGGGTGGGGGTGTATGGGGGTGTGTGGGTGTGGGGGTGTGTGGGTGGGGGTGTGTGTGCTGGACCGAGGCTCCCCGGCCCGGCCTCGTCTCCCGGCTCTAAGCCCGTGACCTGCAGCAGCCCTCCCTCAGCTCTGCCGGCCCAGGCCACCTGCAGGAAGCCCCCTTCCAGCCATGATCCATCCCCTCACCTCCACAGCCTTAGCTCCCTAAGCGCCCCTGACACCTTGCCATCCCTGGGTCACTCGGTTTCAGCCTGAAGAGGCCTCCTCCCCTTGGCCAAGTCCTCCTCATCCTCCCGGGGCAGCTGGCCCTGGCCCTGTCGGTTTCTGCACGCCTCCCCACCGCCACCAGCTCTGCTAGCCTCAGAACACTTGAGAACTGGAAGAGTGACACTCTGCTTCCATGTCAGCTTCCCAGCTGGACACAGAGCCTGTCAAGGGCATGAACCTGCCATGTCCATCTCGAGCATCCAGGTCTGTGCCCTGTGGCTCCTCCACTAGGGAGGCCTCCTTTCTCTGCCAGCACCCAGGACCTCCCAGCGCTGGGGTACACCCATCCTTCAGCCCTTTCTTGCTTTTAGATGGTTGCCTGTGTTGGGTTCAGCTTCCTCCCCAACTTAGATGAATGTTTATGGAGCTGACACCATGTGCCAAAGCACAGCCTTGTCCCTGGGGCTGGAAAGACCAGTGAAAGTCCAGCCTTCGGGACCCTCTCCCACCTGTAGGTGGAGAGCTGACGTCTGTCTGTGCTGCTCATCTTCCCAGAGGCACTGGTTTGCAGCGTGGATGCCTTCTCCATCTTAAGGGAGCAGCAGCTGCTCTGACCCTTAGCCGGGATGACCCAGGCCCACTCACCAGAGTCAAAGTGCATGGCCACCTCTGCACCTGGCCCAGTGCTGGACTCTCAGTGGGGGTCATGAATTTCCCAGAGCCACGTGACCATCCCATCACAGCAGCAACGTGGAAGAATGTGAGCCCAAGACCTCGGAACACTGGCTCATTCAGGCAGGCGCCTCGCTCGCCCATCACAGTTCTCTGGGCCAGAGAGAGGCAGGGAGTTGAGTTGCCAAGCCCTGGGAAGGAGTCTGTGTTCTCTCTGGCCCTTCCCCAGCCACAGGGGACAGGAGCGTGCTTCCCTGCTGAGTAACGTCCAGCAATAGCCCAGCTGCATCTCCCAAAATGACTCACTGGGACCAGGCTCCCAGGCCCAATGCCATGCCCTCTCAGGCTGCAAAGGCTGGCCGGGCTGGTACCCAGGGCCCTGGCTGGAGGACCAGCCAGCTCCAAAGAGAAGACCCATCTTCTGCTGCCTGCCTGTCTCGCCAGCCCACCCTGCCAGCCACGAAGCACGGAGCTGAACTGGGACTCAGGAAAAGAGCCCAGGGCTGGGACACGGGTTCCATGAAGAGGAGGGAAAGACCCAAGGACGGACAGTGGTGGCCTTCTGGCCCTGGGGGTAAGCACAGCAACGAGCCTCAGGCTGTAAGCCAGGGTATTTTCTGGGCAAGTCTCTTATCTCTCCTGTCTTTCTCTCTCTCTCTCTCTCCCTTGGCCTCAGTTTGCCTAAGGTCGAGTCAGAGCCGTAGAAATGACCTCGAGGGTCTCCCAGCACCCACACCCTCTACCAGTAGCACGGGCTTCTGTCGCCCCCAGTGGGTCTTCCTGCGGCCCCCCCAGTCTCCGCTCCTGCCCGCGGGGCCAGCCCGGCCCGTTCAGCTCGTGCCCACCCTCCAAGGCTCAGGTTCAGGAAGCCGTCTCTGACCACAGAGTGAGAGAGGCTCTGTCCCTGAGTTCCTGGAGCTCTGAAGACCTCACGGTGTGTGCTTCTGGGTATAAAACCGTCCTCTCTCTTGAGCTGGAAGCTCTCAGGGCCGTGTCTTCTGTCTCCTTGGGCCCCCTTCCCTAACACCGCGCCTACCATGCTCCATCCATATTGATCAAATGAACACAATCTTAAAGACCATTATGAGAACAGTCATCAATTACCCTTCACATCCATACAGGAGCCAGCACTGCACCAAGAGAGCCTGGGGAGTCATAAAGAACTCCCTGCAGCGAAGATCAACAGAAACTGAGCCATGGGCTCCCCCGCCAGGGACGGGGTAGAGCAAAACCCCACAGCCCTGCCTTCGCTGTCTGAGCTGCCTTCCCGGACACCAGCCATAGCCCTGGAGGGACAGCCGGCCCTCTGGTCCTGGAGGCGGCTGCAAGTCTTACTGGATGTCTCGAGGGACCTGTCCGGAGGCTCCAGCGAGGTAGATTTCTTCCTGCCCAGGTTCATCAGGTTGCTCAGTTTGAGACCAGCAGAACATTTCTTCTTGACTGTCAAGATGAGAGGAAAAGTCATCAGCCTTGCACACAGCCTACCGACGTGGTCTCATGAAAGACAAGAAATAGCAGAACTGTTCCCTTGCTGTCTGTTCCTCACTGTGGATGCATGTGCGCGCACACACACACACACACACATCTGTTCTTCACAGATGCACACCCACACGCACATGTCTGTGCTCAAGGCCAGAGTCCACAGGTCAAAGTCGGGTATCTCTAGAATCACACCCTCAAGAGAAGCCCACCAACCTCTCTTATAGAATATGTCAGTGCTGAAGAATCTTTACATACTGAACTGGCTCAGAGAGATCTGACCCAGGGTTAGCAAACAAGAGATGAAAGAATATTCTGCCCCAGCAATTCATGACACTCGTGTCAGTTTGAGCCACTCTCTTTTTCCAGTATCTATCAGCTGTATATTTAGCACTTTAGAAATTGGAGGCATGCTGCAATTAGCTGTTAAAACCCCATAGGCTTGAGCCAGATGGCCAAGCCTCACAGACTGGGATACCACCCTTCTCCCCGCCCTAGGCCAAGAGCCAAAGTGTTTGTACCGTCTTTGGTCTCTGGGACTTCAGGGTGACCATCTATGGGGCTTCCACACTCCGAGGCTGATAGGTACTTCTCCATTATATCTGGCTGTGGAAGAGAGAGACACAAGTGGGTGATCTTGTCTGGAAATGGTTACCTTGGAGACCACAATAGAAGGGAAATAATAGATGACCCTTGGGTGTAGGCCAGGGGTGACCTTGGAGTCCCAGTCACTGGTGGCACATAGCCAGGCTTCCCTGGGGCTCCCGGAAGGACCTGCCTTTGCCCTCCCTTCTGAGCTTCCCTGCCGCATCCCAGTGCATCTTCCCCTTCTTTAAGCCTCCCACATATCCTGTTCACGAGTTCTCAGGGTGACTGCTCCACTGATGTGATGGTGGACCTGTCACAGGGGGAGAGAAGGTAGCCAGCCTCAGGGGTGCATGAGAGTCAGCACTGCAACTGGAGCTGTCAGGCCCTTGGGACATACTCCCAGCAGGAGGGTGTGAGGATGTCTTTTGAGAACTGACTGTGCTACCCACACGTCAGGCTTTGGAAAAGGGCTGGTTTGTGTGCACCGGGTCAGACCATGATTCAGATCCCACTTAGAACACTCTCTAATCAGGCAGGACCTCTCTGAAGTCCATCCCGCATGATTATAAGATAGGGAGACTGTGCATTCCCAGGGCTGTTGTGAGACTACAGACAGTCCCCTAGAGCAGACACTCAGCATATTCCAATCAGGCTTCTCCTAGAACCACTGACTCCAGACCTCTGGAAGACAAACCCAAGGATTCCCAACCACAGCACCTTCACCAGGGGCCAAGGACTGCGGGCCCTGGCCAGGGCATCTGCACTCCAGGTCTGTAGGGAGAACTCTTAGTTCTCGTCCCAACATGAAGAAATCCCCAGGTAAACTCGGACTTTTCTTATTAGTGACCAAAAAATGAATAAGACAAGGAAAACATCAGGCCCTCCTCTGTCACTCTAGAAGGCTGTGGGTTCTCCTGCCTGGGGTGGCCCATGCCCCCCTGCCTGCCATAGGCGGAGACCCCAAGGTGAGAAACAGGAACCCTCTGTTCTGTGCACTCCAGGCTTCAGGTACCCACCTGCAGATACCTGGGGACATGGAGTGTGAACCCTTGGTGACAGCACCCCCCGCCCTGGGCCAGCACCCAGCCCAACTTCCCTGACTTTGACACCAAAACAGGGGCCCCACAGCTCCATGCAAATGAGCAGCAGGACTCTCTGGTTGGGGTCCACACCTACACGGTTTCCTAGGCCCTGAAGATCTACGGGGAGGAAGGGGGAAGGAAGAGCCTAGAAGAAGAAATCTCCCCGCCCAAGAAGGGAGGCAAGTGACTTCCGTCCCAATAAATTTTCCCCCGAGCAAGATAATGCTATAAAGTCTCTATCATCCTCATCAGTTTCCTGCCAAGCTGAAGCTACTGCCCTCAGCCAAGCATGGTATGTTTCTTAACAATCCGGCTGAAGTACAAAAGCAAAGCTCCCAATTTTCCATCTGTAATTTTATGCAGGGAAAAAAAGCAGAATCAAACTCTCTTCTGGGCTCCAATGGAACTGAACCCTCTCGCCCCATCCTGGGCAGGGGCAGAGGCTTTGGGCTTTCCCAGTAGCCAAGTCAGTAAAGAATCTGCCTGCAACGCAGGAGACGGGTTCGATCCCTGGGTTGGGAAGATGTCCTGGAGAAGGAAATAGCAACCCATTCTAGTATTCTTGACTGGGAAATCCCACAGAGAAGCCTGGTAGGCTACAGGCCATGGGGTCACAAGAGTCGGACATTAACTTAGCAACTGAACCACACTGGGCAGAGGCTTACCTTCGGACAGCTCAGGCGCTGGGCATCTGGGGTGAACTGGTTTCCCTCACAAGCTCCTTCGGAAGGCAGGCCGCTCACCTCCTGAATGACCTGAAGGAAGAGGAAGGGCCTTTAGACCTGCACTCACAGCCAGACCACAGCTGGAGCCCCCGCTAGGTCGGGGGAGGGCGGGTGCGCCCCCTAGGTCAGCCACCCCAGGCGGGTGGGGGTGAGAGAGAGAGGTTGCAGAATTTCCGAGGAGCAGAGCACCCGGCCTCCACCCCTGCACCCAGCCCACCTATGGCCTCAGGCCCCAGCTGGGTGCAGGGGGCTCCCTGGCCCTAGGTCCAGCAGGCCCCATGCGTTCTGGTGGGGCACCAGGGACTGGTGGGTGGGGTTTGCAACAGAACCCAAGCAGGCCCACGGTAGCCGCCCTCAGCTCCGCAAGCCCCCTTTCGTCCCATCCTGGGCAGGGGTGGCTGCTCCTTGTGGGGGTAAAAGCGACATTTGCCAGACGGTCCTCTGGCTCCTGGGGGCCGTGGCGCTCACTGTGGAGGGCCTGCGTGCTGCCTCGGTCCAACCCTGGTTCCCAGACTTGCCTGTCACTGTCCACCCTGCCCCCTCTGGGAGGAGCCTTTTCATAGGCCAGCAATGCCTCCCTGGAGGCCAGAAGACAAGTGGATTTCAGCTGGAGCCCAAGTCCAGGTGGCTGCCAAGGCTGCAGACCTGGCCACTGAGCCCTGTGATCCATCTCCCCAAGACGGATCACTCCCACGTAGGACAGGGGAAGCCCTGCGGACTTGAAGGATGGTAGACTCTGCCCTGACCACAGTCACCCCTTTGAAAAATCAGGGGAGCCGGGGCTGCGGGAACCCCTGGGGGCCGCAAAGGGGAGTGGGTCCGCCGCCCGGCGGCCCGGCGCCTCCCTCACCCTGAGCCACTGCTCCGCCTGGTCCCTGCTCTGCAGGCCCAGCACGATCACGTCGGCGTTCAGCGGCGTGATCTTCAGCTTGTGCTCCTTCTTCCGCACTTGTTTCTCCTTGTGCACCACGCTGCTGCCCAGCAAGCTCACGTCCAGCTGAGGACTGTGGTCCTTGGAGGATTTGTAACACTGCAAGAGAGGAGAGGCGCGACGCTGTCGGCTGGGTTCTGCAGAGGAGGGGGCGCTGCTGGGCGGGGCAGGGCTCGCTGAGAGCTGGACCAGAAGGCCCGAGCCCTTTGTGCAAGTGCAGAACCGTGACCTCAAACATCAGCAGAGTGTGCTGTCAGCATCAGAACCACCAGGCAGCTGATCTGTGTCTCCCTCAAACCTCCCCCTCCAACTCTGCAGAGACACTCCAGAGCCCTACTTACCCAAGCAGCTCTAATCCCCCTGCAGATCTGGGCTGGCTCCTATTTTAGGAGTCCTCTGTGGGCAATCCCCACCTCCCCAGGGTGGAAGGCACTTTCCCCAGCTCTCTGCCTCTCTGCTTCTCTTTCTGGCTCGACTTTCCCAGTAAGGGGTCCAAGGGGGATGAAGGCCAAGTTTATCATTCACTTAGATGATGTGTGAGCAAAGAAAGGAAGCGACTCTCTTCCCTATCAGGGAAAATGTACTACCCTCCGTTTCTCACTTGTAAAATGGGGGTTCTTATGAAGCTGCTTAACAGGACTACCTGAAAACATCTGCACACAGCAGGGCAGGTTTTAACTAGCAAAAAGGGGCTGTTTGTAATGACTCCATGGAACCTCAAATTGGGGCATAAAACCAAGGTTTAATTTAAAATAACAAGAAACAGGGCTGTGGTCAGAATACCATCTTCTGATGCCCTTAGGGGTCTTACGATCAGTCATTCAGAATATTCCAGCTTCTGAGCAGAGATGCCTGTGGTTCTCACGCTGCACACTGGGGGTTGGGTGCTGGGCGGGGGAGCCCTAACTGGGCAGCAGGCTCTGCCCCAAACCTCCAGAGGCTGAGATGTGAGGAAGGAGGAGCCCACAAACCAGGGGAACAAAAGATCCCTGGAAAAATATCCAGGGAATAGTACTGGGGGAGGAGGGGGTTGGTTATCACAGACCCCTTTAAAAGTCTGCTGACAACTACTAGACCTTTCTAGTTAAGAAAAAAGCATGTTCATCCATGCTTATAAGATTCTGCATACAGTTTCAGGTTGGGGAGAAGTAGAAACTTCCTGCTGTAATAGGCTCTTGAGTGCCTGGCATCCGGGACCACCTTCATCCTGCTCCCAGGAGAGGAGAGGGGAGAGGAGAGGGGAGAAGAGAGCAGGGCACTTACCAGGAGCCTGGTGTCCTTGATGACACACAGCTGCTTGGCCCACTGGCCCAGCCACTTCTTGCGCCAGAGGAAGGCACAGATGCGGGCGTCGCGCATCAGCTCGATGCTGGCCTCGGGCGAGGGCCACTGGTGAGGGGCCGACTTGCCCTTGCTGCTCTCTTCCTCATCGTAGGACTCGTAGGAGCTGCTCACGGCCTCTCCGTCCTCTGCAAAGGAAGACCTCGCTGTCACAGCCCTGCCGGGCAAGGGATGCTCCTAAACAGGCTTTGCTCCTTTGGGAGGGCGGGCAGCGGGCAGCGGGCAGGAACAGCCCCGTGGGCCCCAGACCAGCCTCCCCACCCCGCCCCGTGCCCTGGAACCAGCCCGTCACCACCAACTGCAGGCCCAGGCAGACTTTCTGGCCCCGGAACCGCTGAGCAGAGTGTCTTGGATGCTGCCTCTGGTCACAGACACAGATAGCGTGAAACCAGGTGTCTCCCCTTTCCTCCACAAATCCTGTCATCTCAGACCCCACGGAAACCTCTGACCAGACACTGTCCTCAGACGTGGGCTCTTGAGAAGACCAGTGCTGGCCTCGGCGCCTCCACTTCCTTCACTGAAGGATAAAATGGGGGCTGAACTCTTTCTTGGTTCTTCTGGTGTGTGTGCATGGATGATGCTCTATCATTCTAAGGCCCCGGGAAGAGGGGGTCGCCGTCTGAGCCCAGAGGTGGACAAGCCTCCAGCGGTCACCCCCCAACTCTCCCGCCAGGCCTGCTCTGTCCCTCTCCTGTCCTGGGAGCAGCGAGAAGCTAAGACTCTTGGAGGCAAAAGTGCAGTAACCCACAGCAGGAGCGGGCCCTCCTGGCCACCCCCCCCCTCCTAAGGTCACAGTCAGCCCTCCTGGAGAATCCACTCTTTTCCTCCATAGACTGTTCTCTCTTCTCACAGAATGCCTCCCAGCACGAACCCAGCTACTCCTGCTCATCTCCACCTGATGCCCTTCCTTCTTGGCAATAAGCCACCCTTATAGTTGTATTCTCTTTAAAAGAATCCCCCAACTCACCACATCTCTCACCACATCTCACCCAATCCTGTACCCACTCCACGTGCCTCAGTTTCTGCCCCCACCACCTTACCAGAGGTGCTCTGTTCTCTGGACCTCACTGCCCTCCTCAAGGCCAGCAGAAACTAGGTGCAGAAAAAAATATCAAACCTCAAAATGCAAGACATGGAGAAAAGAGAACCTCAGGATTCAGGTCCACCAACCCCTGGCTCAGCTCAGGAATCCTGCTTATCATAATCCTGCTCCAGCCTCTGCTTGAATTCCCCCATGGACGGGGAGCTCACCACCCCCTGGCTGCTGGACAATTGCTTCCATTACTGAGCAGCTCTAACAGAAAGTCACATCTACTTCCCTATGACTTCCATAGACATGTTCTATCCCCTCAAGCCAGAGTGAATGGAACCTCTCTTTCATCTCCACATTACCCACCAGGAAAGAGACAGCCCATGGGTCCCCTATCTTCCCTTCTCCAGAAGCCTCTGGTACACCCTGCATAGCTAGGTTCCTACATACTAAGAAAACAGAACCACCTTTGAACTGGAAATATAGGAAAATGGAATGAGGCCATGGCCACAGTTATTCTAGCTACAATGCCAATAAAAATGTGCTTTATTTTGCTTTAATATTTCTAAAAATAACACTTTGACTACTTTAATATCAGTTTTCTTTAAAAGCATGTGATACTACTCCCCTTCCTGACAATAAAAAACTCACAGAATTCACAATTTTACACCTATTAAATAAGCAGACTGAAAATAGTGGTGCTACCCGGTAGGGAACCCTGACCTCATGTATGGCTGGTGGCGACATAAATTAACACCAGCCTCTCAGGAAACAACCCATCAGCCTTTTTCAAGAGCCATAAAAACATCCATCCCCTCTGACCCAATAATCCCAGTCTTGGGAGTTTATCCGAGGAAACTAGTTTTTTAAAAAGGAAGGAAGGCGGGCAGGGGGAGGTTACATGCATTAAGATATTCATGCAAGTACTTCTGAACAGTCAGCAGAAGGAGGCTGGAGAAAGCATGATTTCATCCAGGGTACCATGCAACCATAATCAGGGAAAGCTCTTGCAAGCTAAGCTGCAACTTGAGAAAACTCCTTAAGATGGCAAGTGAGAAAGCGCAGTTACAATCATCTATGCAAAGACAACAGTACTGAAAGGCCACACGGAGAATTCAATGATCTAATGGTGGGGTGATTCTATAAAAAAGAAATCCCCCTTGTCAGCACTGCATTAGCTGCACAATAAATGAAAGAAGAAAAATGCAGCCGTTGGGGTATCTCTCTCAGTGGGTTAGTGGGTGAGGCTACAGAGTATATAGTGTGAAGAAGCTGGCCAGACCCCACCCTCCTTTCCGCCCCCGGCTGTTTTGTGCTCCTGGGGTTGCCCCACCTGTTCCATGGAGAATTCTAATGTCTGCCCATTGGCCTCCAGGGGGGAATGGGATGATACCTGGAATGGCTCGGAGGAAATTTTAGGGCAAATGTATTGACCATTTTATTTATCCCTAAGAGCGATCATGGCACAACCATAAATGAAGGATGCTGTTAAACAGACACTTGGCTGCCAGAGGTCGCAGGGTAAGCAGGAGGGAGAGGCAGGACGCTCAGATAATTTCAGCCCCCCTTTGGCTGCCCCTGCTGGGTACCGCAGCCACTGCGTCCTGTGGCATGTCCTCGGGAACAGAGGGCGGCATGGCCCTGCCACGCTCTGTGTCCTCGAGCCATCCTTCCAGATGCCACAAGCAGGGGTCTGCGGAGGGGTGACACAGGGCATCCTCATGCAGGACCCACACACGAGGGCGGGAAGAGGGCGGCGGCCACCCTCGGGCATGCACCCCGCCTCTGCAAGCCAGGCAGCAGGCACGGGGATCACTGGCATTCCCGCTCTCGGACGAGCAGTACCCAAGGTGATGGTGGCGTAAACGACTCCTTCAGGCATCTGCACCCATCTGGGGACTCCACAGGGGGGATATCTGCCGGGATGGCCTGTGGCATTTCCAGAAGCACAGCAAGAGACAAGAGGAAGAGAGAGAAGATGAAGAGAGGGGCAGGCCCAGAGGCAGAGGCACAAAGAGATGCAACGTGGCTGTCCGTCCATCAGAAGCGAGCGTGTTCCCGTCAGAGATGTGGGCTTCTCGGGCGAGGCCCCAGCCTGTCCAAGGACATCATTTCCTAGCTCCTTCCCATCCAGAGACGTGATTGCCTGTCACCAACGGAATGTGGAGAGAAGCCCTGGGTGTCCTTCCGGCTGGTGCCTTAAGAAGCACACAGAGGTCCCCCACCCTCTTTGCAGAGGCTTCTGTGGCCTCAGAGGGTGGCCAAGCCGATGCTGGAAGGAGCCTGCTGACCAGTAATGCCCATGCCGAACTGTCCAAGAATGAGAATCAGATTTGCACTGGGCTACTATAAACTGCCAGCGGGGTGCTGTTTGTTACAGCAGCTGCCATTACCCCAGCAGGAGGCACTGTCCGTGCAGTAGCTATACTCATGGCAGGGCACTTACTAAACCTGGGTTCAGAGAGAGGCACCTGACCCAGGGGAGCCGCGAGGGCACAGTGCTGATAAAGCAGGCCAAGAAGCCGCCCCCTGGTCTTCTGCAGGAAGTCAGCAAAATTGCTGATGCCAAAGAACTAGAGCAAGGGGCTGGAGTCCAGTGGTCGCTTCTCTTGTTGTGATCAGGTGTCCCACGGGTCAAACCGCTGTGGTGGACAACAGGCTGGAACCGAGGACAGACCAGCTTTTAATGCAGGGGAAGGTCCCCCAGGTCATCCTCAGTCCTTGTGCTGGCAGGAGAGAAAAGGCAATTGGGCATCTTCCCACCGCCCCTACTTGCTGACCTTGAGATGACCCCCCTTTCCTCCTAGTCCCGGATAAAACCAACATGAATTTCCAGTTGAGAGACAAACACCGAGATCCTTCTGACCACTTGTTTGTGTCGAGATGAAGTGTCTGCTCCACAGACAGGCCCCCAGGAGCGTCTGGGAGGCAGGCCCCGGCTGGCAGGGGCCACGCCCCAGAGAGACGGGCTTCAGAGGCACGGAGGTGCTCACCGGGGTGAGTCAGGGCTCCCACCTTCCAGACGCACCCAGACAGCCCTGCCGCGCCCACAGCTGCGGCCTGAAATCACAGTCCAGCGGTGACTTGGCAACACCTCACAAGCTAAGTGACGTCTGCCCACAAAGCCAGCCTCTTAGAATAAAATTCCTTGCATCCAGAGAGGCCCTCGCCTCCCACACAGTTCCTGGGACTGCAGACAGTAGGTGAGGCATGAAAAAAGAGGACAAGGATCCCATGTGCTCCAGGGGACTGGTCCCATCTCATCCCCGACACCAACAAGGCCCCCCCTTAGGCCAAGTTCATTCCCCCCACCAGGGATGCTGACTTCCCATATCTGCAAACTGCCTTATGCTTTCAAAGACCTTTCACTTACAAAAAAAGGAAAGAGAAGGAGGTAAGAAAGGGAGAGAGTGAGGGGACCAGAATCTAGCTACCCCAGAGAGCAGGGCCACAACCGTCTCTCCCAGGACCTTCAAGGTGTTCCTGTGTTATAGAACCCCCACAACAAGAGCATTTCTGATCCAGTCTCATCAGGCTGAGGACCACTGGCTGAGGACCAGAGCACTCCAGTGTGAGCCCTGCCCCCAGAGCAAAGACAGTCTTTTTAATATTTATATTAGGTCTACCACAAAGTAACCCTCTAAAGGCTAGAGAAAAGTCTATTCAGAGAAAAGCTAAGGTCTTTACCAGGGTCTACAGCTGCCTTCTGTGTCCGCATCCCCTATCCATCTCACCCAACCCTACCTGCTCTTGCCACGCTGGCCTCCAAACATGCTAAGGGCCCTCCCACCTCAGGGCCTTTGCATGTGCTGTGTGCTCTGTTCTTCCTGCAGGTACCAACCTCACCCACTTGCCACTCTTTAAGAAATCTACTCAGAGAGGCCCTCCCTAAGTTAGAATAACATCCCTCTCCTGCTTCAACTCAGCCCTTGCCACTTTCGGTCCTGACAAGTTATCACCACCTGACATATCCTACATCTATATGTTGCCTGTCTTCTCTCCCCGGATCTAAGTGCTGTGACTGCTGAGTCGTGCTGAGTTCCCACTCCTAGAAGCATGCTGGGTTCACAGTGGGAGCCCAGGGACTATCAGTCCAGTGAAAGAACCTTGAAAGTGGGCTCTGCTTCAGCCTGACCACATTTCCATGGCTTCCAGGAACTTGTGCCACTCGGCCAATACACCTCTCCTCTGTCACATTTCTGTGCTGAATCCGCAACATCCAGGCAGGACCACAGAAAGCATTAGACACAGTAAACCAGCTCACTGGGGACCAACCTAAGCCCTGCCCTGCAGGCGGACTGGGTCTGCTGTAGGTCTCAGCTCCCCATCAGACCACTGCTCAAATGCTCTGTGGCCAGCTCTTGACTTGAGCCACGCTCTCTGGTAGGAGCATCCCAGGCCCCACTGTGTTTCCAGCCAGGGTGAGCGTGCCGGTCACCAGGAGGGAAGCTGGCGCCGGCATCTTTGCAGGAAGTGGTCAGCCCCCTCCCAGCCCTGTCCTCAGGATGTACCATTGAGGGATGTGTCATACGGCTCAGCCTCTTCATAGTAACCCTCTGGAGACTCGATCTTCGGGACAGAGAGCTGTTTACGTTCTGGAATCTGTGGTATGAACAAATAAAACAAACATTTTCAGATATGATACACTGGGAACAACTTGGAATTAACCCTTTGGGTGGAAGGAGAGGGAACCAGGGGAAAAAAATGCCCAGCTTGAACGTCAAGCAAGTTGGGAGGGAAAAGAGAGATTACAGCGACCCCCATCAGCCACCCTGTCCACAGTGTTTGGTTTGCATCAGCTGAAGGGCTGTGGGCATGTCATGTAACCTCACCAAACCTCAGCGTTCTCCCCTGGAAAATGAGGCTCTGATGCCCACCACACACACAGTATAGTTGTATACATGGTGTAATACACTTACAGGTCCAGATGGCATCAGGCTGTCATGGTAGCTATGATGGCTTCTACATAGAATATACTTTCTACAAAAACCAGAGCTCATCAGGGGCATGCAGAGGAAGAGCATTAGGCTTCTAACCCCCAAACGTCTCCCATAATAAGTTCAATCATTGGCTCAGCAGAAATTGGATGGCTCCCGCAGACTAGCTGAGAGGCGCAAGCAGATGGTTGGGAGTCAGTCTAGATAAACACTTAACTGGACAATGAATGCTCACAGCTCCTGGTAGTGACTGAAAGTCACTCAGTTGTGTCTGACTCTTTGTGACCCTTGGATGATAGAGTCCACAGAATCTCCAAGCCAGAATACTGGAGTGGCTAGCCTTTCCCTTCTCCAGGGGATTGTCCCAACTCAGGGATCAATCCCAGGTCTCCTGCATTGCAGGCGGATTCTTTACCAACTGAGCTATCAGGGAAGCCCATGGCTCCTGATAGACAAGGTCAAATCTCCATGGGAGCCTGGAGGGTGTGAGGAACATTTAGGACCAAGGAAGGATGCTCAGAGGTCAAGACAACCCTGAAATTCTTATATGACATGAGGGTGAATGAGCATAATTTGAGTAGAATTTAAAAAAACATATGCAATTATGGAGATGCACAGAGCCTGAAATTGTTCTCTACCCCTCCATTATTCCATCTGTAAGATGGGCACCAGACTATGAGGGTAAGATCATAAGCAATAGCGGGGGAGAAAAACACAGGCAAGATTTCTCTGGTGGTCCAGTAGTTAAGAATCCACCTGCCAATGCAGGGAACATAGGTTTAATCCCTGGGCCAGGAAGATTCCACATGCCGCAGAGCAATTAAGCCATGCATCACAACATGAGCCCATGCTCTGCAATAAGGGAAGCCACCGCAGCTAGAAAGTAGCCTCCACTCGCCACAGCTAGAGAAAGCCTGCCTGCAGCAATGAAAGCCCAGCACAGCCAAAAATAACAAAAAATTAATTAAAAAAAAAAGTAGATTGTGGTGTGAATATTAGTACATACAGCTCATCAGCGGGTAAGCATCCATCCACATGGGTCTCCAATGTCTGTCTGAATCACAAAGTCCCTACAGAAGGCCGAGGGAACCTTCATGAGTTGAGAACAGACATGGCAAAATCTGGAGTGCATTCCCACTCCTGGTTGTCAGAGGTCCTTGCGCTGGGCGTTCCACATGGGGAACCCGTGGGCTGTTGGGGATTTGCTGTCCTACCCAGAAGAGGGCCAGGCAGGTAGGGTATGGGGAAATCTAGAAATCTTTGCCTTGGAAAATGAGCTGCTTTGGGGGACCTATGACAGAGAGCTTCCCCAGTCCTGGCCCTGGCAATTTTGGGAGAACAGTCAGCCTGGCCTCGAGTCCCTGTGGGACAGTACTCAGCAGCTGATCCCAGCTTCCCTAGGGGTACAGTGATGCTCCTGAAGTTGCTGCCCCCAAACCAGGCTCCCAGAGCCAAGTCTTCTGTGGTTTGGCTAATGGATCTATCTGTATGGCCTCTAGAGTGAAACTAAGCGGGTTTGAATCCAGGCTTTAGGAGTCCACAGCCTTAACCATGGATATGTGACGGCCTCTCTGTGCCTCACTTACCCTCTCCATAAAACAAGACTGTGTCCTGAGGATTCAAGGAGACAAGTGTGAGTGAGTTTCCATAGGGCTGGTGTGCTAAGGTCACTTCAGTCATTTCTGACGCTTTGTGACCCCATGGACTGTAGCCTGCCAGGCTCCTCTGTCCATGGGATTTTCCAGGCAAGAATACTAGAGTGGGTTGCCATCTGCTTCTCCAGGGGATCTTCCCGACCCAGGGATCGAACCTGGGTCTCCCTCGTTGCAGGCAGCTTCTTTACCATTTGAGCCACCAAGGAAGCCTCATCAAATACGAGGAGGCTCTTGCCATCATTGTCTGGGGCCTCCCAGCCCCAGACAGGAGTGCTGTCCGACAAGCTGAGACACATCCACATGAAGAGGACTGGCAGAGGCCAGGTCACCACCTGGCTCCCACACCACATCCTTCTGATGCCATCTGGCCCGACACCAAGAGAGCCGGCATAAATCCCAGGGGCAGGCTCTGAACAGCTTTCAGCCCAGCAGGTGCACCACACAGTATGCAGGAAGGAGCTGAAAAATCTGCTCATTTCCTAAGCAGCCCAGCTGCATTCTGGGCCGGCAGGTGCAGTTGGGGGGCAAGGGGGGTGGGCTCCTCCCTGGGGCGGGGGTCGCACACACAGTGGATACAGGTGGTAGCTGCTCGTGGCTGACCCTTCACCTTTGCTGCTCAAGGCATTCCCGGCCCCTTGGTCAGCAAGAGGAAGGGCTGACTGAAAGCCAGCTGTGGTTCTCTGAGAGCCGACTTGCTGGGGTCAGGAGGGAAAAGCGTTTCCGTTCCCCTGGGCCCCGGCAAGGTCTCCGCAGATGGGTGCTGGGATTCAGGCTTCCAGAGGAGGCCAGGCCTCCAGCTCCATCTTCCAAGAAGCCCTTCTCCCCTTGAGGGGGTGTGGGGACCATTCTTGTGGTGAGAAGGTGGGTCCCATCTGGAGAGAAGCTCTGAGCACCCAAGATCTGGCTCTGGTCTGGAGTTCCACGATTAAAACAGGACAGAAGTGAGGGGCAAGCCCTCTGGCAGGAGCTCCTGATGGCTATTATCCCCACAGCGGCCTGCCCTCTTGTCCAGGAGTGGAGCACCAGGGGGTGTTTCTTGAGGGTCTCCCAAACCTCTCGCTGTACAAAATCATCTGTAAGTGGATCAGTACAGAGAGGCATAGAGGGTGGAGGCAGGAGTCTGACCTTCAGACTCCTGGGTTTGAATCCTGACACTGGCTCATCTGAGCTGTGTGACTTTGGGCAACTGACTTGACCTCTCTGGGCCTCAGATCCTCTACTGCAAAATAGGGAAGGTAGAAATAACCATCACATGGTATCTTTGTAAGGATGAAACAGTACTCAGCATTATTAAGTAACAAATACTAGTTTTCACTAACCTTCAGAATAAAATATAATAACGCCAATCAAAGGGGGAAAAGTTGTATGTGTGCATGTTCGGTGGAGGAAGACCAGGAGCTCTCTGGGAGGATCCTGAGGAGGCGTTTGAGCATGACCTGGCTTATACTATGCTCTCCCTCCTTAAACAACAGGGCAGCCTCTGTCCCTAGGGCTGCCAGGGCCAAAGATAAGCATCCAGGTAAAGTTTAAGGGTAAAACAATTCCAACAATTCAGAAGAGAGTCACATAATTACACAGACCGAACAGTCTAATATCAGAGGTCAAAGGAGCAAGAGATCCTAAATGCCAGGAATTAAGAATAAAGGAAAATTCTTTTAATTATCATCATGACAACATAGATGGTGCACATTCAATGAGGATGCTGAGGAGATGTGACTTGGGAACCTGAAATAATGTTCTCACAGTTCACAGGAAGGGCCAGGGAAGAAAGCCACCCCACTCAGGGGGACATGCCAGAGGTTGGCAAACTTTTCCTATAAAGAGTGAAAAAGGGATTTGCAGGCCACTGGGGCCATGCAACCCTGCTACTGGTGCGCAGTGAAGTGAAGTGAAAGTCGCTCAGTCGTGTCTGACTCTTTGCGACTCCATGGACCGTAGCCCGCCAGGCTCCTCTGTCCATGGGATTCTCCAGGCAAGAATACTGGAGTGGGTTGCCACTTCCTTCTCCAGGGGATCTTTCCAACCCAGGGATCGAACATGGGATTTCCCAGGCAAGGATACTGGAGTGGGCTGCCATTTCCTTCTCCATTGTAGTGCAGAGGAAACCATAAATAATACACAGATGAATAAGCTTGGCTGAATTCCAACAAAATGCTATTTACCAAAGCAGGTGGTGCAGGATTTGGTCATTGGCTTGGCTTCCCACATGGCTCAGTGGGTAAACAATCTGCCTGAATGCAGAAGACCTGGGTTTGATCCCTGGGTCAGGAAGTTTCCTGGAGAGAGGAAAGGCAACCCACTCCAGTATTCTTGCCTGGAGAATCCCATGGACAGAGGAGCCTGGTGGGCTACCGTCCACGAGGTCGCAAAGAGTCAGACACAACTGAGTGACTGAGCACCCACGTACTTCACCAATTCTGATTTAGATGAGACACAGAGGGGTGGCCCCAGGTGACCCGAGGCGTTCTTGCAGCTCTGAACAACCCGCCCCAGGGTGCACTGTGGCAGGTTCGGGGTGGCGGCGAGGGACGCAGTCCTGGCTCCCCAGACGGACCACGGTGACACCATCGGTGGCATCAGCTGCTCCTCCCCTCACAGAGTGGCTCACAGAAGCCCAGCACCGACGCGTGTGCAGGCCTCAGAGGGGAGGGGTGGAGACAGCCGCGCTGGCCAGGAGCGGAACAGTGCCAGCAAACATCTGTTTCTTCTACAGCAACTGCAGCACCTGGCCGGGCTGACCGCAGCCTGGATGTGCCAAGGCCGCCTGAGTCACTGGCCACACCCAGACCTCTGGCTGCCCCCTCCGGTACTGGACGGGCTGAGCCTGGGGCAGAGGCCATGCTCCTGGCCAGCCCTGGGCACTGAGGACCCCAGGCAGATATCCAGCTTCTGCCACAGCCACTGGCGAGCCCGGGGACTGGGCGTCCAGGCAGACAAACCACGGCGGTGCCCTGAAGCTCCAGGGTTGGGGCAGGAAGAGACACAGCTCTCTCTGGCTGAGGAAGAGCGATTCCAGGGTCCCCCAGGCTCTGGCGGCCATGCTCCCTCCTTCCTCCCAAACTACTTGCTGCTCTGTTTCTCCTCTTCCTTGTGAGAGCCAGAAGACACAGCTGTTCCCCGCTCTGCCCTGACGGCACTCCCCTGGGGCCCTTGGACGAAGTCTTCAGCCAGACTGGAGGCCGGAGGGGAGCAGGCAGGTGCATGCGGGCGGGGTGGAGACCCCAGGTTCTGCCCCCTCCTCCCTCACTCCACACCTGGAAGGCTCCTGGGGTGGAGGTGGGTGCTGGAGACAGGACTAGGAGGGACCCAGGAAAGGTCCTCCTTGACAGAGAAATTCCACAAGGTGGGGAGCCTGTCAAGGTTACTGGCTCTGCTAGAAGTCACCCCAGGGCCTGGACTGTGTCCACAGGAACTGTCACCGTGTGTCTGAAAGGTCACTCCAGGACTGTGGGACTCTCAGGTGGTGGGATCTTCCCCGCTCCAGCACCAGGCTCCTCTTGAGCCTCTCCCGGCCCCGACGGCCGGCGGACACAGCTGACGCCGGCAGACCGCTCTCCAGGGGCGAGCCTCTGCCCTGGCCTTGCTTGATGGTCCTGCGTCTCCCACCCCCGAGCCCTTGGGGCCTCTGTGCCCAGGTCACAGGAGGCTGGCAAGGGTGTAGGAAAAGCCAGCCGGAGTCCCAGGCCGTGGGACTCTGTGACCTGATCAGTGTATAGCCACACCCCAGCCCCAGACCCCGGGCACCAGGTCCAGCGCCATGTTCCTCAAACACAGGCTTGCAGAGGGAGTCAGTGCCTGTGAGGCTCCGCCCCATGTACGCCCCTCCCGCCCGGTGTGGGTGCATAGGCATCTGCCCCATGTGGGGCCAGCAGCGGCGCCTCCACTGTACAGAGGCCAAAGGCACCCTGGTCAGAATCAGCCACCAACTCAGGCTAGGAAAGTTCCAGCGCTGGCTCGGAGCAGACACCTCTCCTCCCCACATCCAGAGAGCAGAGCTCAGTGAGTAAGTGAAAGTTGCTCAGTCATGTCCGATTTTTTGCGACCCCATGGACTATACAGTCTGTGGAATTCTCCAGACCAGACTACTGGAGAGGGTAGCCTTTCCCTTCTCCAGGGGATCTTTCCAACCCAGGGATTGAACCCAGGTCTCCCACATTGCAGGAGGATTCTTTACCAACTGAGCCACAGGGAAGTCCAAGAATCCTGGAGTGGGGAGCCTATCCCCTTTCCAGTGGATCTTCCCGACCCAGGAATTGAACCAGGGTCTCCTGCATTGCAGGCGGATTCTTTACAAACTGGGCTATCAGGGAAGCCTGCAGAGCTTAGGGTGCACCTGAAAACCACAGCACCTCCCACCTGCTTAAAACCAGCAGCAACTGGATGGAAGCTGAGAGGCCAGACTCCGTTCCCAAGTCCTGGGGTCGAAACGAGGGGGGACTGCAGCTGGAAGGGAGATAACTTCTACCTCTACTTGACTGAGAAGACGAGCTAAGGTCCGGGAGGCTGCCGAGTGGCCCAGAAACCAAGAACCTGCTTACAGATCCTGGCCTGCTACCTCCTTGTTTTCACTCTCAGAATCTCTGTTTCTTGGCAGGTGATGGGAGGACCATGTTTGGGTGGGCCGGGCGGGCAGGGGCTCACAGCACAGCAGTCACTCACATCATCGGCATATGCCCAGGACCAAGGCTCAGTCCATCAGGTCTCCCTCGGCCTGGGATGAGGGGTCCCCACCAGCTGTCACCCAGATGTGGGATGCAGCCCAGGCACTCCTGACCTGCCCCGCCAGCTGGGAGGGCGGCAGGAAGAACCACGCTACCTCCAGGAAGGCATGAATGAAGGGGGCATCCAGTCTGGTGTCAGGACCCCCTCAGTGGTGACCTGAGCCCACAGACCCGGCGATCGATGGCTCGGTATGAGCTCAGTCACCGTGGAGTCCCATGTTCTGAGAAATCCTTCCCAGCTCACACCTTTCCCAGGAAGCTGCCCCAACCAGATCCTGGAGCAGAAAGAACTCGGGTTCATGTCCTGCCTCTTCAAGGCTGTGTGACACTGGGACATTATAAACCTCCTGATTCCTAGTTCCTCTCCCATAAAGTGTAAATACTACCACTCACCTCGCTGAATACCAACGTGGTCTGCCAGGCCAAAAAATAGAGATCTTAGTTGAGAGATGTTCACTTGCCTTTCATTTAAACAAGAAACCAAGGGCCTTAGATAACTTGCTTAAGGCCAAGGAGTTTAGTACTGGCAGAGCTAGAGCTGGGATTGGAGCCCAGGTCTGGAGGAGTCCGAAATTCCACTCATCCATCCATGAACAAATACACATGTGGCCTACTGTGTGCAGACACAGGACATGAAGCAGTAGATGAGACATGGCCCCTGCCTCAGGGAGCTTACATCTGCTCTGGGAGGCAAATAATAAACATGGAGGGGGTAACTAGGTGGTAAGGCAGACAGTAATGGGGGCAGGCACCAAGGTGGGATGTCTCACCTGTGGGCAGGCCAGGGAGAGTCTAAGACTGTCTGAGACTAAGGAGGGGCAACCTTTGAAGAGTCAGGGCCCAAGAAGTGCAAAGTCCCTGTGGCAGGACTGACCACAGCACACAACCCAGGAAGAGAGGGGAGGCCGGTAATGAGCAGATGCGGTGAGGCTGGAGAAGCAGCTGGGCCAGACAGGGTGAGCCCTGGGGCCATGTGAAGGAGTGTGGACATTTTGTCCTAAGCTCAGTGGGAGCTCTTGGTTTCAAGCAGGAAGTGGTGTGATGTGATTTACGTTTCCAAAGGATCACTGTGGCCGGAGCTGGTGACCACAGCTAAGCATGGCCCCACTCAGGGGGTGCTGGAAAAAGAATCTGACGGGTCACCTCGGACACACGGTGACCCTCATCTCCCACTGCCATTCATCTCTGCACTGAGCAAATGAGATCACCTGCAGGCTGACTTGTCTCTGTCTCTCCTGGTGCCTTACCCCAGGCCCCATATACAGTCGTTTTTCAGTCACTAAGTCATGTCTGACTCTTTGCGACCCCATGGACTGCAGCACGCCTGGCTACCCTGTTCTTCACCATCTCCCGGAGCTTGCTCAGACTCATGTCCATTGAGTTGGTGATGCCATCCAACCATCTCATCCTCTGTCATCCCCTTCTCCTCTTGCCCCCCATATAATGGATGCTCCAAAAATGCCAGACACTTGGTGGATTGCTATCTGGAGGACCCACTGGACATTCACAGAGTCACATCAGGGAAATCAGGGGTCCCAGACCCACACTTACCATCTTGGGGGGCGGGAGGTCTGGGAGACTCTTCTGAGGGGCCGAGGAGGGCTGGGGGGGCTCACCGTTGGTCAGCAGGTTCTGCTCCCCGGGCGCTGTGGGCAGCAAGCAGGAGAGGGTTTCTGTGAGGGGCACCCAGCCTCCCAGCAGAGTCTCATTACCCAGGAATGTCTGGTCACAGGAGTTCTATTTGAGCAGGTGTTAATTACGCAGGCAGGCAGTCCCTGGAGCCAATGCTGTTTTTCCTCCAAGAATAGGGTAGACTGGCCCCGGGCAGATTCCTCAGAAGGAACTAGTTTGAGGTTTCTGGCAGGCTCTGCACCCTCTCCTCCACCTGCCCGGTGTCCAAAATGATCTGGCCACAGAGCTCCGGCTCTGGAGGACTACCTGTGGGCACTATATTGAGCAGCTCTCAGCACCGAGCCTGTGATTACGTCTGTCCGCCCCCCAGTTTCCCTGGCAGGCAGACTGACCACCTTAGGCACATGCGCCACTTTCATGCAGGGGACCTCTGCTGAGCCCACACTAGGCGGTGGGGCAGGAGGTAGAAGCCACACTGGGTAAGTGGACCACCAACCGTCTGTGCTCTTTTAGGAAAAAAGGCACCGAAGGCTCTTCTGAGCCCATTTCAGCCAGGACAGACAGGCCCAGGCAGATGTGACCCTGGGGCTTTTCAGGCTGAAGTCTTGAAGCCAAGGCTTTACCAGACTGAATGCTTTGGGGTGCTGTGTTCCCACCTCGTGCTAAGCCTCTGTATTGAGTTAGGGCTTGAGAGTTGGGAGATGGGGCCTCTGATCCCCTGTGCTCTGCAACTAGGCAACTCTGCAAACGTCGGACCTCCCTGGGATCCTGCTGGACCCAGTCCTGGGGGTTTTCGTAGAAAAGCAGAGGGCAGAACAGAGCAGGAGAGTAAGACACCATGGAAGACGATATGTCCTTCCAATGGAAGATAAAATGTTCTGCCAAGAGATCACCTTTGAACAAAACCTTCAAATATTAAGGCAACTGCTGACAGCACCATTTCCTCCCCATCACTCCTATCTCCCCCCCAACACACACACTCATAAAATCCTGACTTTATCAAAAGTCATAAAGCCGGGGCCGTGGGATCAGCACCATACACAGCTGCTTTCTTAGAACATCTGAATTATAACTTCCTATTTCTGGGGTGATGCTGGGAAATGCTGAGAGATTTTAGGGACAGATGCCTTATCCAAGAAGGGGACATGAGACCTTTAAGAGGCAAGGAGGTGGCCTGGTTGGTGAAACTTCCCCAAAATACATCAACCCTGAATACCATCAACTAAAATAGGACTTCCCAAAATAACACCACCAGGCCTGTCTGTGGTGCTGGCTGGGAGGAAGGAGGGGTGGTGTGGGACCAAGGCTTAAACCTGCCCCCTTCCCGAGAGCCAGCCAGTCCATCGGCAGTAATCCCATACCTTTGTCTTGGGACTCGGCATTCTGTTGCTTGTGGACGGTCACTTTGTTCATATAAATGTATTCCTCATCAGAACCTGCAGGAGGGGGATGGAAGACAGAGGCTCCAGGTGATTTCATGAAGGAAAAGGGCTTCTAGAGAGAATCAACCCACCCCCCCCAACTCCCACCCCCACCCTCGAGACACTGTCATCAGCCTGGATTCCAGTAAAAGCATACAACATTTTCAGTTGATTGGAAGAGTCCATTATAGAAAGAGTTGACAGATTTCCAGAAAAAGAAATGCCTAGTTTGCTGACTCAAGTTTTCTGTCCTGGGAAGAGGGGAGAGGACAGAAAGGGAGGGTGCAGAAGGGCAGCTTTGGGAATAGAAGTCTTATGTGGAAAAGCACCCGGAGCTTAAGGATCTGCCTCATATTCCACCAAGCAGAGATTTCTCTGGTTTTTCCTAGCCTTTCATTTAAACTGTGAAACATTTCCTATCAGTCATTCTCAACCTAGTCTGAATTACACGCACGGGCTGATCAGAGCAGTGTCTACATAAGATGGGTCACATTGAGGATCTGGAAGTTGAGCTTCCAGGCCTCCAGGTGGAGTGCTGCTGTGGGGCCTGAGCTCTCTTTTTGGGGGGGTGAGTGTGCTGGGATGTGGGCCTGCAGCACCAGCAGCTGCCTGCTCTACCTTCAGCAGCACAGCCCTTCCCTTCCTTTAAAAACATTTCTGTACAAGTTGTCACCTTCCCCCTGCACATCTGGGCAGAGAAAGGCTTGTCTTCTAATACAGTTCCCAATGCCCCAAGGACCCTTTCTTCAGAAGCCTGCAGAGGAGGCTCATCCCAGTGTTTTTCCTCTTAGCAATCCTCCTGCATTTCTTTGCAGTTCTTAATTTGCATTTCCTAGAAACTTGTGGCTGATAAATTCCAGTGGCTGGAGAGGGTGCTACTGAGCCAAGGAGCCCAATCCACACCCCTGGCAAAGGAGACCGTTCAGCCAGTTCCCCACCACAGACCGCTAGGACTCCAGCCAGCAGGCCTGCCTCCACAGAGTCCTGGAGAACCCAGAGAAACTGGAGGAGGACACGGCTGGATGGAGCTTCCTCCATCGGCCGTGGGACTGTCACTCTGGTGCCCAGCCCTGCCAGGGCCAGTCAGCAATGTCATCCCTATACCAAGGGCTGCAGCAGCGAATGGGATGTAACTACGAGGTCTAAATGCAGTTATCCACAGCTTGCATACTTCCACTAAAGGGCTGCATCTGTACCTTCTCCAGAACCTGGCATGGGGAAAAGCACTCTGCAGGGGGAGGCAGTAGATAGGGTGGGGAATGAGGGGGGTCCTCAGCCAAACTCTGCCATCAATATTAATTCTGAGCAAAACACCCAACCTGTGTGCCTTGGTTTTCTTGTCTGCGTAGTATGGAAAACAATTGTGAGGAAATATTGCCTATTTCTGGGGCTTCCCAGGAGACTCAGTGATAAAGAATCTGCCTGCCAATGCAGGAGATGCAGGAGACTTGGGTTCGATCCCTGGGTTGGAAAAACACCCTGTAAAAGGAAATGGCAACCCACTCCAGTATTCTTGCTTGGGTAATCCTATGTTCAGAGGAGCCTACAGTCCATGGGGTCGCAGAGAGCCGGACACGACTGAGCACACATACATATATACATACATACATATTTCCTATTTCTACCTAACTGAAGTTCTCAAGAGTACAAAACTCAAATATTAGGCAATCTGAAAGAGTAAGGTAACCTTATAACTAAGATTTTAAATGACAGCTTAGGACGTCCCTGGTGGTCCAGTGGTTAAGAATCCACCTGCTGATGCAGTGCACCCAGTTTGATTCCTGGTCCACCACCAGCCCACATGCCACAGGGCGACTAAGCCCATGGATCCCAACTACTTAAGTCTGTGTGCCTAGAGCCTGTGCTCCACAACAAGAAGCCACTGCAATGAGAAGCCCACACACCACAACTAGAGAGCAGCCCCTGCTCATCATAATTAGGGAAAGCCCGCAGGTAGCAACAAAGACTTAGCACAAAGAAAGGAAAAAAAGACCATCTAAATTATAGCAAATAACTCAAAGGCTCAATAGTAGGAAAACGGTGAAAATTCATAGTACATCAACATAGGTAATAGCTGGTCACCTTTAACAATAAATGGATTACTGGATACTGTGTAAATGGGCCGAACATTGTAAAAGTGATTTTAGAGGATTTACTTAAGTGTTCCTGGTCTTTAACCCAGCATTTTCCTTGTCAGAAATCAATATATTGAACTGAAAAATATTCAAGTATTTTAAAGATAAACTCCAGTATGAAAACAAATTTTATTTGAGGGTGTTCATTGCCATGTTATATAAGAATTTTTTTTTTTTAAAGAACAAAACTTACATACTCACTAACAAGGGGCTAGTTGAACTAACTGAATCCTTCTCATTCATCAGTGGACACTAACCACCTGTGAAAAATAACAAAGCAGCTCTATGTCTGCTGTTTATAAAGATATCCAAAAATTAAAGGATCATGTTTCAGAAAAGAAAAAAAAAAAGAAAAAGTACACAAACTGTCAACCCAGGGCAATGTGCACAGGCAGCAATACTAAACATAAAAATAACACAGAGCAGAATGTAGAGGCAAACCACAAAATACACGAAAATATTCTGATGACACCAAAAAGGTCACAAGAGGAATCAAAGCAATGTAAATAGGGTTTAATGTTCATTTCCCGTTCATTTCTTTTTTCAAATTGTTGACTAAGCCCACACTCCTTTCCAAAAAAAGGCAAGATATTGTTGGTTATTGTTTTAACTGTGAGATTCTGAGCAGGTGATTCCTCCCCAAGATGGCCATTTGTAAACTGCAGATTAAACTGGCTCTGGTCCGTGTCTCAAGGCTGCATGTCCCTCCTTGGACACTCTGCAGGCTCTGCTTGACTAAGTATTGATCTCAGTGTTGCTAATCCCCCAGAATCCAGTAAGTAAGTAACAGGCTCCCAGGACCATCTGCAATCCTGTGAACTTGGCCCTGGAAAGGGGAGGCTGATGAGCTGTCCCAGGTCCGGGAGGCAGTCTTGGGGCTAGGGAATTTCTATCATTCTCTCATTTACTTTCAGAAATGCACTGAGCCCCAGCACTATACGAGGTGCTGGGGACACAGCAGAGAACAAAACAGACATTGTCTCTGGCTTCATGAACCCACTGGGGCAGGGGCAGGCTGGAGGGAGGGAGAGGGAGGCAGACCTGGATGGATAGTTGCACAGGTGTGTGGGGAGGGACGACACTACAGGTAGGGAGGAAAGGAGAACTCACAGTGCTCTGACCAAGTGTGTGGATCCAGGGAAAACCACCTTTGTCTGAACAGCGTGGTGGTGAGGGGTAGGGAGGAAGGGCCCAGACCCTCTCCGTTACAGTTGGATAGCCTAAATGTTCAAATCACGTCCCATCACAAGGGCAGCCCCTGAAATGTTCCCAGAGTCTCGAGCAGGGTATTGGGGAGCCCTCAGGACAGGAAAGCATATCCTAAGCAGCCCTTAGGACAGGAAAAGATATCAGGATCCCAATAAACAGACCTCAATCCATGCCTTCATCTCACCACTGAGACAAAAGAAGAGAGTAGAAAATTGAATACTATTTATCCATGAAAGACCAGAAACAGACAATTCAATGCGAAAAGTACAGACACAGACACACAGACACACACGCACGCTCATAGTCTGCCCCGAAAGGTGTGGAAGTAAACAACAGCTCAGCCAGTGGAGATCACAGGTTATCTTGAAATGATCAGCCTGCCTCCACCTACAAGTCCAGGCAGGCTGAGTTCATTTTCCGGAAGATATACACAGTGAGGCAGGTCTGGGAAGCTGAGAGAAAAAAAAAAAAGAATGCTTTCAGTTTAAGGGGCTGTGCATTCTATCCTGTGTAGCACAGTAATTAACCTGGGGCAGACTAACCTGGACCGTGAAGAGGGGAGGGTAGCATCAGGGTTAGGTCGGCTGGCCCAGGCCTATGCTGGGCTCTGCCACACGTGGCCATGGAGACACAGACATGGAGACCAGACTTGCGGACACAGTGGAGGAAGGAGAGGGTGGGATGAACTGACAGCTGATTGGAAACTCATACACTCCCACAGGTAAAACAGATACCAAATGGGGATTTGCTCTATGACTCACGGAGCTCACACCAGTGCTCTGTGACAACCTAGAGGGGCGGGACGGGGTGGGAGGTGGGAGAGAGGTTCAAGAGGGAGGAGACTATGTATATCTATGGCTGATTCATGTTGATGGATGGCAGAAACCAACACAATACTCCAAAGCAATTACCCTTCAATTAAAGACAAACAAATATTTTTTAAAACGGGGGAAAAAATGTCAGTGGTTGTAACCACTCTGCCATGTGAGAAGATGCTAAGAGAACCAGAAGGGGAAACTTATCAATAGTGGCAACTCACCCGTGGGCATTGACCTGGGTGTTTGCATGCTAAGTCACTTCAGTTGTGTTCGACTTTGCGACCCTATGGACTGTAGGCCACCAGGCTCCTCTGCCCATGAGATTCTCCAGGCAAGTATACTGGAGTGGGTTGCCATGCTCTCCTCCAGGGGATCTTCTCAATCCAGGGATCGAAGCTGTGTCACTTATGTCTCCTGCATTGCAGGCAGATTCTCTACCACTAGCACCACCTGAACAGAACTGACAGTCGAAGGTCCCAGTATGGCTTTGCATGTTTATCTGTAGTCTGGGTGCACTCTGGGGGCGACTCACCCTGGGGAGCCCCCTGACCTGCTGTCGGCGGCTCCTGCAGCCCGTCATGCTGCAGAGACCAAGGGTGGGGAGGGCCTGATTTTGTAAGAGCCGAACATACAAAGATTAAGGATGAAACAGAGGTCACCTATAGGAAGTCACACTAAACCAAAAAGGGACTCTTGTACCAGGGGCTCTGATGGAGTGGTGAGAACCAGGAACCAGGGGTCAGACGCCACCACGGGGGTGTTTTTCAATTCCCAACAGAGGTGTTCTTTATCATCAAACATTCTCAAGTTGGAGCACATCTAAATGGTCTGGGAGTGTGCTCTTTAAAGGGTTCCACCAATGAGTCCCTCTGCGACGTGACTCATTCCTCTCTTAACTCACCTGCTTTGTAACATGCATTTCCCATCCATTCGTCCCACCTTTGATGTAATGTGATCAGCACTCAAGGCGGGTCAGCAGACACTCACTACAAAGCCAGGAGGAGCCTGGGAACCAGGGGGTGGCCTGCAGAGCTCAAAGGCAATGAAGGGGCTCCAAGAAAATGCCTCTGACGAAAGGCTAAGGGAGCCAGATTATGCCGACAGAAGAGAAGGCTGCCAGGCATAGAACAACATGCTTTGGCTTTTATAACTTCTCTGATATTCAGACAATAGGAACTAATTCCACAGGGAACAAAGAAAAGGAAAAGGGACTTTGAAATGTTGCCCAGGGGATGCAGGCTGGATGTCAGGGAGGAGTTCCTGACTGTGATGGCCAGAGCAGGTGCACCTCTCCCCCTGGCATGGATCGGAGCTGTTCCTACTGCGAGGCAGATGGATTTGATGCCCTCTTACGATCCTAAAATATCACTTTCAGTTCTCAAACATCCGATATAAAAATAAACTTGACTAAACTGTTATGACTTCACAAGAAGGCTCTTTTAAAAAAAAATTGTGCTAGAAATGAAACCATATGTCTACAAGAAGACTTGTACAAGACTGTTCAAAGCAGTCTTATTATTCCTAACAGCCCAAATCTGCGAATAAACCAAATGTCCATCAACAAATGAATTGGATAAACAGGTTGCAGTATATTCACAGAATGGAAAACCAATCAGGAATAAAAGGAACTACTGAGGCAACCCATGGCATGGCAGAATCTCCTGAGTGAAAGGGGCCCAACCCAAAGGACAAACCATCCAATTTCATTTATATGAAAATCCAGAAAGGGCATCACTAATCAGTGGTGGAAGAAATCTGAACAATGGTTGCCTTGGGGTGGGTGGGGATGAATTCTTGCCCTTGAAAGACAGAAATGCTCCCGAGACAACAGAAATGTTCCATGTCTTGTTTTGGGTGCTGGGTGCACAGGTGTATGAGCTTCCCAGGTGACGCTAGTGATAAAGAACCCACCTGCCAATGCAGGAGATATAAGAGACACGGGTTCAATCCTTGAGTCAGGAATATCCTCTGGAGGAGGGCACGGCAACCCACTCCAGTATCCTTGCCTGGAGAATTCCACGGACAGAGGAGCCTGGTGGGCTACAGTCCATAGGGTTGCAAAGAGTCGGACACTACATTCTCAATTAAAACCACTGAAGAGAAAATTAAAGTGATGAGAATAAAGTAGTACTGCTTATAATATTCTTTACTACTCTTGTAGTCTGTAGATTGAATTTGCCCTCCTCTATTAAAAATTTTCATAGAGGACTTAGCATGCACGCACACACATGTGTATATAGTTGTCAAAACTCACTGAATTGACTACACGAGATCTGTGTACTTGACTGGATACAGAATCTAGCTTGATTAAAAACATAGAAACGATAATTAACTCAGGGTTCTTTGATTTGTTGTTGTTTAGTCACTAAGTCATATCTGACTCTTTTGTGACCCTGTGACTGTAGCCTGCCCGGCTCCTCTGTCCGTGGGATTCTTCAGGCAAGAATATTGGAGTGGGTTGCCATTCCCTTCTCCAGGGGATCTTCCCAACCCAGGGATCAAACTCACATCTCCTGCACTAGCAGGCGGATTCTTTACCACTGAGCCACCAGGAAAGCCCTGTGATATACAGTCTTAAAGCAATGTTTTCCAGTTTTCCTTTGGGCTGTATGACTCTGGACAAGCTATTTAGACTTTCTAGGCCTCGGTCTCCTCATCTGTAATAATAGCACCGACCTCATAGGAGTGTTTTTAAGATGAAGCCTCGTTAACACATGTGCAGGTGGGAAGATCTCAACGAAGCCCTAGCTATTATTATAAAACTAGTTTATTTTCCCTTCTCTACTTTCAACCATACAAAAAATACTTTGAAAACACTGCTTAAAACCTCTTTGTGGGCTACCATGTTGAGAGTTCGTGAGGCTACCACACACGTCCCATCACTTCTGTGCTGTTACCACCTGCAGTGTCCTAGTAAAAATGCATAAATGAAGTCCTAACCCTGAACAGCTCAGAATGTGACTGTATTTGGAGAAAGGCTATTCAGAGAGATAATTAAGATTAAATGAGGCTGCTGGGGTGGGCTCTGTTCCCATATGAATGGTGTCGTTACAGGAGAGGAGACTTGCGCACTGACGTGCACGCACCGGAAGACGGTGTGAACACGCGGGGAGAAGAGGACCATCTGTACACCGAGGAGACCAGCCTCAGAAGGAACCGACCCTGCCAACACCTTGATCACAGATTTTTAGCCTCCAGGACTGTGAGAAAATGAGCTCCTGTTGTTTAACCCAGGCCGGGGCCGTTCTCACGGCAGCTCTAACACGCAGGCGACCATCTCCCTGTTTCCGCGGGGACCCTTCCCCAAGGCCCCGACCACACTCACTGCTGCTCTTGGTGTACAAGCGGAGAAGCTCGGCCAGGCCGCTCTTCTTCACCACGGCCGTGCTGCTCAGGTTCTCCTGGTCAAGAATCCTGAGGAAGTCATCTAGCTCCGTCAGCAGCTGCTCCAGGGCTAGAGACAGAAAACAAGACACTCTTAAAGCAGCTGCCTTCTCCCCAAAGGCCCCACTCAGATACACCTCTGATCCCATAGCATCCCATGACGGACACTCTGGTCTCAAGGGGAGGCGTGTGGGGTGAGGTCAGGCAGCACACAGGGGACCCAGGCAATAGGTATGATTCCCAGCTCCAGGGTGGTGGGGACAGGCCAACAGGCCCTTGGCTTTGGGATGGACAACCTCGGCCAAAGCTACAGGGCCACCATCTGCTGGAGTGACAGTGGTCAAGGTGGCCCGACAAAGCCCCTCAGGCCATGAGAGTCTCTGGAAACAGGATTTTCTTCCTCAATTAAAGAACAGCTCGGGGCCTGGTGAACTTGAACACAGATCAAACCCACAACCACCAAAAGAAATGCTGTGGTTGACCCAGTTGTTAAACCTTTCCCCAAGGATGGGGAAACACAGTCACTCCAGGGAGATGAAACGGTGATTATGCTGTCCCTGCAGGACTATAGACAACCCATCAAAAGCCACGCTTGGACAAACAAAACCTTTCTCCAAGATTCTTCAGTGACTGAGAATCAATGTCACGAGTCCAGCATCACTCCCAAGTTGGTTAAGGGCTGCAGTGCCTCGGGATCCACAGCCCTTATTTGTGGTGTCTAATAGGTGTCTCTCAAGTGTCACTGTTTCAGATTCCTTGCCTGGAGAATCCCAGGGAAGGGAGAGCCTGGTGGGCTGCCGTCTATGGGGCCACACAAGGTTGGACATGACTGAAGCGACTCAGCAAAAGTAGCAATAGGTGTCTCTCAAGTGCCACTGTTACAGAAGCACTTGTTGACTTCTAGCTGGAAGCACCGTGCAGAAATTATTAGTGCAGTGGGCAACAGGGTAGATGCAGGACCTTCACCACATCATTACTGTTATTGTTGTTATTGTTAATGACCTAAATCTCAACTAAGAACAGAATGTCAGACACTTCCCTGATAGTCCAGTGACTGAGACTCCACACTCCTGACACAGGGGACCCGGGATCGACCCCTGGTCAGGGAACCAGATCCCACATGCAGCAAATAGGAGTTCTCATGCTACAGTGAAGATCAAAGATCCTAAGCGCCGCAACTAAGACACAGTGTAGCCAAGTAAATAAATAAAAACAAATATATATAAAAAGAGAACAGGATTCCGCATTCACGGGTGGGGTCCTCATCTTGGCTCTCTCTCCCTGCCCGGCTGGCTCTTCTGAATGTGCTCATTAATGGCAGTGGTTTTGAGGGTCTAAACAGTGCTTTCCAAACCTGGCTACATTGGAATCACCTGAAGAGATTTTCAAACCTCTGATGCCCAAGCCACACCCAGATGGATGACATCCAAGCCTCTGGGAATGAGACTCAGGGGTCAGTAGTTCTCAGACCTCCTCAGGTGATTCTGATATGCAGATAGTTTATTTTTGCAGCAATAAACCTGACATACTTTTAATTAAACTATCCCTTCAATTTTAAAAAATTCAAAGAAAATAAACATGTTTAAAAATGCCCTTATTTACAAGTTAGTACACTTTTTAACTTTGACATTCAGGCTTTCGTAGACAGCTTTCAGAATTAATTACTTTTTGAACTATTATTTTCATTCTTCCCTGTCACAGGGAGTTAACAGTGATGGACTTAAGACACATTTTTTTCCTTTTTTTTTTCCCCTCTTTTTCTCTAACCAGAAGCTTGGAAGACCACAAGGAAGAAAAAAAAAAAAGCAAAGATCTGTTATACATGATAAAGTTGTCAAGAAATGTCTTATTCCTAGAAAAGAAACTTTGCATCTGTTGAGCTTTTGAAACAAACAGTGTGAGCTTTTGAAGCTGAGAAGCATGGGTCTGAACACAAGGCCAGGGGCCACACCTGTGGGCTCTGCTTCCGAGGCAGCAACCGAGTGGCCTAGGCCTGCCCTCCACCATCTACTGTGGGAACTCCGAGCAGTCGCTCAAACTCCAGGCTTGTTCCCTCTGTACCGTGGAGAAGAGCACGTGGGCCCCACCCATCTCACAAGATTGGTGTAAAAGACAAAACCTGTGAAGCTCTCCACAGCTTCACTTGTGAAATGCTACGCTAACCACACAAAGAGCTCTGTCATCTCTTCCCATCCTGTGGCATCACTAGTTATTTCTTCTTCTCCACCTTAGAGTGCTCATCTCTAAGCTCCGCTTTAGAGAAAAATGCAAAACCTTGCCCCTAACACTCCCTACCACAGAAGGGGGTGGAAGGAAAGGAAGGTCACTTCCTCAGAGCAGCCTTGCTTGACCACCTTCTCCAAACTAGCTATTTATTATCATTTTCTAACTCAACATCTAGGCCTTCATAGCCCTAGTAGGGCTATGTGGTACTATGTGGTACTATGTGGTACTATGTGGTACTACTTCATAGTAGTAGGGCTATGTGGTAGGGCTACTTCTTAGTAATAAGAATATACCTCATTTTTAAGATTTGTAAATGAGTAACATCAATAACAAATGAAATAATAGTTTTTATTTACTTGCTCATTTTTAACATGCATCTTTGTCTTTCTCACCCTGGTCTAGTCTGTTAGCTCAATGAGAATCAGAACCACATCCATCCTAATCCTTGGCACCTCACACTGTTACAGGTGTTGAATGAATGTTTATGGAAAGAATTAATAAATAAGTGAGTAAATTCGGCACCTACTAGCTCACAGCAACTCTAGGAGGTAAGCAACATTATGCCCATTTTGCAGATGTAGACCTCAAGGCCCAGAGAAGACCCATAATGTCCCACACGGCCAGTGGCAGAGAGCTGGGTTTGCTACCTGACTCCAAGACTGAGCTCCTGGCAACACCCCAACTGATGGCTCCATGTAGGGCTTTCTTTCAGCATCCTTCAAAGGCCTGGCTCCCCAGAACTGGACCAGAACCCTAGACTACCTGCTAACCTCCCCCCTGACCAATAATGAAGCCCTCATGCTCCCCTAGTTCTCAATGGCCTGTTTTTGTTCAAACACCCCTTTGACTCTCAGTGGAGCAGTAGCCTCTGACTTCATTCCTGAAAAACCAAACTCCCTGGAATGAATATTGCCGTTGACTGGGAGAGAGCTGGAGGAAGCAAAAGGGAATGAGGATGTTTATTTCAGAGGAGAAGAGAGACAAAAGTCTGGACACATGTGATCATCAGATCAAACAGCCTGCTCACTCAGATGAGTGGGTGGATGGAAGATGCCCTCATCTCTGCCAGAGACAAGATGAGTAGATGGTGCGTGATAGGCAAGGCAAGACGAGAAAGAAGCTGCATTGGGTAGCTCTGCTTGGCAAAGAACCATGAACCAACAGCAGAGCCTCCTGCCCAGTCCTTAGGTATTGGGAAGAGCACCCTGAGAAGTCTCCAAGAGGCCAATGGCTTTTGCCCAGTTTTACTTAAAATTGATCAAAATCTTTATGGAGTGAATTTTGAAAGAGCACCAGCAAAAGTTCCCTGAGCTCACTGGATTAGTAAGTCCCCTACCTACAAAAGAGTTCCATTCTGAGAGCGTGTTCATAAGTCCAGTTTGTTCATTAAGTCCAACTAACACAATCAGCTCTATAGTACTGTAACAGATGTATCATACTTTCCCCACAAATACATAAAAAACACAAAAATTAACACACTTTGAATCTTACATTTTGCATCTTGAAAAGTCCAGTAGTACAGCACAACCTTATGGAAGAAAGTGAAGAAGAACTAAAGAGCCTCTTGATGAAAATGAAAGAGGAAAATGAAAAGTTGGCTTAAAGCTCAACATTCAGGAAACTAAGATCATGGCATCTGGTCCCATCACTTCATGGCAAATAGATGGGGAAGCAGTGGAAACAGTGGCTGACTTTATTTTTCTGGGCTCCAAAATCACTGCAGACGGTGATTGTAGCCGTGAAATTAAAAGACACTTACTCCTTGGAAGGAAAGTTATGACCCACCTAGACAGCATATTAAAAAGCAGAGACCTTACTTTGTCAACAAAGGTCCATCTAGTCAAGGCTATGGTTTTTCCAGTGGTCATGTATGATGTAAGAGTTGGACTATAAAGAAAGCTGAGCGCCAAAGAATGGATGCTTTTGAACCGTGGTGTTGGAGAAGACTCTTGAGTGTCCCTTGGACTGCAAGGAGATCCAACCAGTCCATCCTAAAGGAGATCAGTCCTGGGTGTTCATTGGAAGGACTAATGTTGAAGTTGAAACTCCAATACTTTGGCCACCTGATGCAAAGAGCTGACTCATTAGGAAAGACCCTGATGCTGGGAAAGATTGAGGGCAGGAGGAGAAGAGGACGACAGAGGATGAGATGGTTGGATGGCATCACCAACTCAATGGACATGGGTTTGGGTGGACTCCAGGAGTTGGTGATGGACAGGGAGGTCTGGCGTGCTGCAGTTCATGGGGTCGCAAAGAGTCGGACATGACTGAGCGACTGAACGGAACTGAATGGCACAACCGCTGGCATACAGGGGCTGGCAGTGAGTGAACAAGCAAGAAGAGTTACTGACTGGAGGAGGGAAAGGATGTGGAAGATGGTAGAACTGAAGGATTTTCAGCAATAGGAGATGGAGGGCAAGGTGCAATTTCACTCATGCCTGATGTTGATGGCACAGGTTCTGGTTTCTCACGGGATTCAATTCTATCTACTCTCTGGGAAAAAAATGACCCAGCAACATCTGGGCAGCAGCTCCTTTTTCCTCGTCATAGAAGAAATGGTAGCACTCGATTGCATTCTGGACGGCTGCTGCAACCTTCATGTACTGTCCTATGCCTCGAGAACTAACGGTGCCTCCTCAAGTGCTTCCCCTTGCTGTTTACTGCATCGTGAATCTCTTTGGTTCTTCAGCTACTTCTTCTTCCTCTTGTTTCTCTTAATCCTTTCTCTGGGCCTCTATTTCCATTAGGTGTTCAATGCACATTCGCATTTTTGAAAATTCACAACTTGAAGGTTCAAATGTAGGGGACTCACTGTACCAGGTGAGACCCTAGAGTGTGCCCAGC